ATGCATGTGCGCGTAGTTCAAAGAACCATTGCGTCATGCGCACTGCTCAAACTTCGTGATCTTGGTGCGTGAAAATTCCGAAAATGACCTGTCATGTAGTAGGGCTGCATGCTCTCACTTTTTAACTTCAAATTCGATTACTTGATAACACCCGAAGATATCGGCACGCTTCGACTTCGTTCCGTTCTGGCTTATTTTGGCGGTTGTAAAAACGCAGAGCTTACACAAGAGCCTTGCTCAGAACTAAACGGAAAGAACCCGGCTCGAAAGGATGCTGTGCTAAATTACCCAAGCTTCTATACACGTTTGCAAGTCCGGTCTCAGGGCGCCACCATCTTGCCCAGTGGGGTGCGCTTGGGCGCGGCCATAATCCGATTATGACGCCTTTGCAAGGCTTCGCAATCGGATTAGGACGCGTCCGAGCGCACCCCAGCGAGCAAGATGGCAGCTCCCTGAAGCCGGACTTGCAAACGTGTATACTTCGTTTCAATTTATCTGCGAGCGAAACCAAAGCTAGAAGCGCGAGACCAGCGCTTTGTGCGTTTCTCCCCAGCTTGCGCGCTCGAGCAAAGCCTGAACGCACGGAGCTTCCGTGCTCGCGCTTCCAGCTTTGCCTTCGCTCGCACATAAGGTGAAACGAAGTATAGGTGCATGCGGGGACTGTAGGTACGCGCGCAGCACGTGCTGGCGTCAACAGCAGTAATTTTAGAGCGCAGCTCTTAGGGGCCCGTTTCCGGCTTGAGCGGCGTCGCCGTCGCCGTCGCCGTCGGCGTAACCGCGCGGTGCATCATGGGAAATATCCCATAATACACCGCGCGAGCCCCCCACCGGGGTCACGTGACTTCGTGGGGAGGCACGTGACCCCCCCCCCCGAGGTCACGTGACCCCCCGAAGTCACGTGACCCCCTCCTCGAGGTCACGTGACTCCCCTGAGGTCACGTGACCCCCTCCTCTAGGTCACGTGACTCCCCTGAGGTCACGTGACCCCCTCCTCGAGGTCACGTGACCCCCCGAGGTCACGTGACCCTCGCCGATGTCGCGTGACCCCCCGATGACGTCATCGACACTGATGACGTCACCGGCATCCACATCGTCATCATTAGTGATGACGATGACGATGCGGATGCCGGTGACGTCATAAGTGATGATGACGATGACGATGTGGATGCTGGTGACGTCATCAGTGATGATGACGATGTGGATGCCGGTGACGTCATCAGTGATGATGACATCAGTGATGATGACGTCATCAGTGACGATGACGATGTGGATGCCGGTGACGTCATCAGTGATGATGACGATGTGGATGCCGGTGACGTCATCAGTGATGACGTCATCAGTGATGATGACGATGACGATGCGGATGCCGGTGACGTCATCAGTGATGATGACGATGTGGATGCCGGTGACGTCATCAGTGATGATGACGATGACGATGTGGATGCCGGTGACGTCATCGGTGATGATGACGATGACGATGTGGATGCCGGTGACGTTACCGACATCCGCATCGTCATCATCACTGATGACGAAATCAGTGACGTCATTGATGTCGTCACCGGCATTCGCATCGTCATCGTCATCATCACTGATGACGTCGTCAGCGACGTCACTGATGACGTCACCGACATTCGCATCGTCATCATCACTGGTGAAGTCATCAGTGACGTCACTAATGACGTCATCAGTGACGTCAGTGATGACATCATCGGCATTGGGGGTCAGGTGACCCCCCAAGGTCACGTAACCCCCCCTGGTTAGTCTAACCCCCCCCCCCCCCAGCGCCCTTCCGTCCTCCTCCTCAAGAGCTGCGCTCCAATTCGGCGTTACAGGGAGTTGTAAGCGGCTTTCACTTTTTAGAGCGCAGCTCTTAGGGGCCCGTTTCCAGCCTGAGCGGCGTCGCCGTTGGCGTCGGCGTCACCGTCGGCGTAACCGCGCCCCTCCCTCTCCTTCTCCCCCTCCTCCTCCCCTCCTCCTCCTCCTCCCCTCCTCCTCCCCCCTCTTCCTCCTCCCCCTCCCCCTCCTTCTCCTCCTCCTCCCCTCATTGTCCGGCTTGAGCGGCAAGGAGGAAAGCAGTACGAAGGTGGAGGAGGGGGGGAGGAGAGACGAGGAGGCGGAGGCGAGGGGAGGAGCTTGAAGGACGAGGAGGTGGTAAAGGAGAGGGAGGGGGAGCAGGAGGGGAGGAGGACTAGCAGGCATGATCACGAGGGAGGAGGAGGAATATAGCCTCCACTCCTCCTCCTCAAGAGCTGCGCTCCTATTCGGCGTTACAGGAAGTTGTAAACGGCTTTCACTTTTTTTTTAAAGAAAAGTTCTAGATGAAATAGAATGTTCCACGCGCTTTCGTTGGTACCTTTTTTTTTTATTTATTTACTTCGAATCTTTCTTAGACGCAAGGCGAGCGCGTGCAGATCGTGTAGCTACACGCGCCGTATGCCCGAGGGAGCTAAAACTTGTGTTTTAAACATTTTGGCATGGCTTGCAAGCGCTTCCAAACGCGTTGCGTCTTTCGCGTCGTCTGCTACGGCGGCAACGTTGGTGGCGCCCCCACGATCGGGCGCGGCTGTGCAAGTCCGGCTTCAGGGCGCCGCCATCTTGCTTGACTGGGGTGCGCTTGGGCGAATCATAATCCGATGACGAAGCCTTGCTGAGGCGTTGTAATCGGATTATGGCCGCGCCCAAGAGCGCACCCCAGTGAGGAAGATGGCGGCGCCCTGAGACCGGGGAGTCAATAAATAAGTGATTCTATGAAGTGCGTCATCGAATGTTTCGCGGGAACAAGTTACCGTCTTAGTAAAAAGAAACTAATAATTTTTTTTTTTTTTTTTTTGCGTTAAAGGAGCTGTGCAACGATTTTAACGTTGAAAGAATTGGCATTTTCTGCTTTTGATATTGTTCACTGTGTCACAAATGGCAGAAAACACACCTCCTTTCATCGCAATGTTGCGATTCCGCCGCGTAATAGCGAGGCAAAACTTGGAATATTTCCCGACCTGCAGCCACGAGCGGCGGCCATGAGAAACAAGCGGCGTGACGTCACTTGGGTCGTTGTAAGAAAGATAGCAAGTTGTGCGAATACCTGCTCGATAAAAGGTAACTCTTTTTACAAATCTTGTCGTTCCAACGTATATATAAATGCGTCAACACCCTGGTATCATCGACAACTTTTATTATACGGAGTTTTAGTGGCGCCATCTATCCTAGGTCCACAAAACCGCGAACAGCCGCCAGAAGCCGGAGGGGGAGGGGAACAGCGCCGGACGGGCAAGGACGGGTGGTCACGCAGTCGGCAGCGGATGAGTTCTCGCTGCTCGCTGATGGCTCTAAAGAGAGAACTTTTCCGGAACTCCGCGCCTACTCTAGTGACGTCACTGTGCACGTGACCCGGAAGACGATGCACGAGTTGAGAGGCGGCAAAAACCTGGATCTTTTTCATTTTTTTAAGTAAAAACTAGGGTATCCAGGCAAAATCTGTTTTCTGTAGTTCACTGCAGAAGTTCACTGCATCAACTTCCACAATTATTTAAGCAAAGCCCTGAAATTGTTGCACAGCTCCTTTAAGGAAGGTAATATTTTCTAAAAAAAACTGCTTTAAAGGGATGCTGAACCGAAATTAGGATTTCGCAAAATAAGGCTGCAGAAACGTTGACCGGGACGCTACGAACTCCAAACCTTCACTCATACATCCATATATGAGACGCATGGCCGTATTTCTGGAAAAGAAGGGCACGGTCAAGCAAGGACTGCGACGTCACGATCCTCCTGGAACAGTTGAGAATGAGGGCAAGCGTGCTTGCTTCTCCCCCCACTTCGGTTCACCCGCTCGTGGGGACGAAGCGGAGAGGGAAAGGGAATGAATGAGAATCGTGACGTGACATGTCTGGTCGGCCTCGTCGGCCGTGTTCAATCGCGCACTTTGACAAAAATACAGCCAACCGTTAGAAATATCGCTGTATGAATATTTTTTTTTTTTTTTTTTTTTTTTGGGGGGGAGGGGGGGGGGGGGTTAGCGTCTCGCCTATCGCTACAGCCTTGTTTTGCGAGCTCGGGCAAACAAAGCCTCAAACGAACAAGTCACAAGTAGAAGAAACCTCCCCTTTTCTGCAGACTGGTGTGGTCATGATACCAAAAGCAAAAAAAATGCTTCGACAGCGAGCGCGACCCTGTGGCGCCATGGCTTGCAAAGTTTCCGAATCAGTGGCGCACGCCCATATGCAGCCCTTAAATTGCCTGTTTCTTCTTTTCTTTTTTCTTTTTGTATGCTTAGAGTTTTAACTAAGAAAGTTTGGTAGTTCATAATCGTCCGGTTACTTCGCCAGAGCGCCAGCAATGCCAGCGGCTGCTGTGCGCCCCAAGCAAAAAAGAAAAACTTTTTTCTTTTTTTTTTTAATATTTATATTTGGTCGCCTGCAGGCTTTCTCAAACAACACGTTAGTCGATCCGATCAGGCCTTGGACCCTGACTTAGCGGCGCATCTCCCCACTGGCTGACACGAAACACTGCGAGACTCGAGGCGGCCGCAAACGCTCGGTAACATCACAGAAAGGATTTTCTCTTCCTACCACTGCTTCTCCTCCTCTTTTTTTGAACTTTTTTTTTTTTATGACCTTTTTTTTTCTTAGGCATTCAGACTTCAGGGGAGAGTTAAGGGGACACAGGTGAAAGTTTCCGATTCCGCTTGCGGCGGGGAAGAACGCAGTCGGCGTGATTACCGCTGATTTTGCTAGTCTAAATGTAATCGTAACCTCTGGTGGTTAGCAAGAACATCGACATGGTTCCACATTTTGCGGATGCGGTTCGGATACGGATACAAAGTATGCGGATGCAGATCAGATACGGATAAAATAATGTAAAAAGTTTGCGGATGCGGTTCGGATGCGGATACAAAGTCTGCGGATGCGGATCGGATACTCAAACTGTTATCCGCGCAGGGCTCCAGACATTTTTGTTCAGAAATCCTATATAGTCTTGGTTGAGTTCTACACAAACTTTATACAAACTTTTTTCAATTTAAATAGAACTTTAATACATTTTTAAAAGCTTTCTTCAGCACATGGCAAGGTGAAGGCCTGCCACCCACACAGAACACATATAAAAAGAAATGCTGAAATTCCAGGAGAATCTTGTCGTTGCCAGCCCTTAGCAAGCTCACAAAACGTATCAATATTAAAACCTTCAGCAGAACATGACACAAACTAGTCAATCCCACGAACATCTTGGACGCTGTCACACTTCACTCGGGAATGCAAGAGAGGTCCATTGTCAAAACACGGCTGACTGTGCATTCTCCTGGCTGTAAAAGAAACAAAAAACAAATGAGTATACATGGAACCAAAGAAAATAAACCACCTACAACCCTAGTATGTGGACAAACACAAAAACACAAAATGCATTCATTGCATTATTAAAATTTGTATTGGTCCTTTGTCCCTCTTGTTTTCCTTCTCCAGGGATCATTGTCGTCATTCTTGTCCAGCTCACTTGCAGCTTTGCATTAATTGCATTATTATCATAATCTTAAAATGCAGGTCGTTTCCCGTTTTTGGTGTTAGACTGGTGGCACCTGATAAAATCCGTTTGTTCTACTCACATCGAACTCTTGATTAGCTCAGTTGGTAGAGCGCTTCACTGGAAATGGAGAGGTCCCGGGTCCGATACCAGGACTAGGCGAATTTTTTCGGTCACGCACCACTCACCTAGCTGCGTTTGTCCTTTGTCCCCCTTTTTCTCCTTCTCCAGGGATTATTATCGTCAATCATTAACAAAGTTCCCAAGAAATGCATGGTACAATACCATATTTTCACGATTCTAAGCACCCCCCCGGAAGCTAACAATAGCGTGGCTGCAAGGCACGCACGGCCGAGAAGTCTGGGCTCAAGGAATTATCCAGCCTTTGGAGATGTTTTGTCCGGAAACCTCGGACTTAAGCTGTCCCTGATGAAGAAAAGCCCACACTTCGTGGGAAAAAAATCCTTGTCTACAGCTTCGTTTGATGTTCTCCCAGGACACAACCTTCTTCCCACCGAACTGCACACAAGGCTGCATCTCCTTTCGGGAACCAAACCTTTTATCTCGTTTCCTTATCGGTACCGGGATGTTTTCTAAGCCTTCAAGTCACGTGCATGTTCCCTAGAAGTTGGAAAATCCCATTCGCGTGTTTCTTCAACATAAACTCGATAGATGCCTATTTTTTATCAAAAATCAAAAATCGATAACGGAAAAACACTGAACGTGTGAGAAAGAATAATCTCCAGAAGAAAAAAGACCTTGAATTAGGAGAAAAGTGAACTCCAAAGACAGGGAACCCCTAGCTATGCTTCATTTGTGCTCACGGTAGAAAAAGAATAAAACAGCCTACTTAGAAGCAGCAGCCACTGAGCAGGTCCCTGTGCTCGGGGAAGCCCAAGCGCATATATTCGCGACTCCAACTAATTATAGGTGGCACCACCCATTTTCCAAGATGGCGGGTTTAGTGAGGGTCAGAGATGCCTGCCGCTATTGAGCCTGTCTAGTGTAATTATAATGCAATTAAATGCAAAGGTGCAAGCGAGCTGGACAAGATTGATGAAAATAAACCCTGGAGAAGGGGAACAAGGGGGACAAAGGGGGACATCAATCTTGTCCAGCTCGCTTGCACCTTTGCATTTAATTGCATTATAATTACAACCTTAACTTGCAAGTTCACCCTTGTTGGTGTTCGACTGGTGGCAGCTGATAAAACCCGTTTGCTCTACTGACGTCTAACCCCTGGTTAGCTCAGTTGGTAGAGCGCTCCACTTGTAATGGAGAGGTCCCGGGTTCGATACCCGGACCAGGCGGATTTTTTCGGTCGCTCACCAGTCACCTAGCTGTGTTTGGAGATTTATGTTTGTCCTTTGTCCCCCTTGTTCCCCTTCTCCAGGGTTTATTTTCATCAATCCTGTCTAGTGCGCTGGCTTCACTGAGCGACATAAATTATTTTTGGTAATACGAGGAAGCTAATGTTTTATAAGCGCAGGTCACCTCTTCAACCTGAAAACAAGAACGTTGTTTGGCGTATTAATTAGGGAAGGATGCGCGTTTTGATTCTGGAGCAATCCGAAACTTACCTCTATTTTGGATTTAATTTCACGATAGAGGTCTTAATTTCGGATTCTTTCATGACTCAAGATGTGTCTCACATCGTAATTATTTACTTAGAAAAGTTGTTCGCAAAAACTTTATTTTCTGACATACTGTTCGATCGAGGCTGATATTCGTAGTTGTTGAAAAAATCAGTGCTGATATCTGTGCGTTCTCGCTGCCTTTTTCTCGCTCAGATAATTGTCATGGGAAATAATGACAATTATCCCAGCACAAGAATAAGAGAATAATTCCAATTTTTACAATATGTCCACGAAACGCATAAACTAATATACGCTGCTCTCATTGCAACAACCCAAGACAGAATCCGAGTCAGACAGCTGATGTGTGTGTGTGTGTTTTTATAGCACCGCGTGACGCGTAGGACTTCATATTACGTCCAGCGTTTAACTGTTTGTCTATCCTGATAACTATGTCAGAGTTTTTCATATGCTAAAAAGAAAACAGAATTATACCTTTCTGGAAAGACTATTATGGTTAAATAGAGTATTCTCGTGATATTGGCGTTAATTAGAGGCATACATTGCCGCAATTTGTATTAATAATAATAATATTGAAATTCACATATTTGAATAAGTAATTCTTCAAGCTCTTATATGATTTGTTGCTTATGATCTAATTTTAAACGCGCGAAGAAATATGACAATGAAAACTGTGCTAATTGTCTCTAATTGCTGCATTTTAATTACAAATAAAATAAAAATAGTCTAAAATTAATGAAAACATTCTAGCTAATGTGAGAAATCCATGTAAAATTACATTAATTGTGGGTAAAGTATGTTGTGCCATCAAAGTCGAGACTTCTGACAATCGGCGAAACGTCCAAAGTCGCCGCCAATATACTTCCAGACCAAATGCCCGAAAGTTTAAAAAAAAAAACTTCTTTTTTAATTACTAGTTTTTTTATAACATTTATTTACTTTTGTATTTGCTCGCCGTCGTTTTGCCAATCTCAGCCTTTCCAGTTCGAAGGAACGTCTACCTGCTTGCACGTCTGCTCACTGCAGCACATTTTCGTTGGCGTTGGAAGCCGGTAAACAGTAGTGAGTTTTAATGTTGCTTATACGAGCGAACTCAAGCCCTGTGTGTTTGTGTTAGCTTTGCGCGTTCCACACTGCGCGTGCGCGGAGCCCGAAATTGCGGTCTTGGATGGCGCATGGCAATGAGACGCACGCACAACGTGGGGCACGCAACTCTAACGCAAACGCACACCGCTTGCGTTTGCTTCTATGCGCAATACTAAAATTCTCCAGTAAGGTACAATCCCATACCGGCTGCAGCACTACGCTGGGACAGTGAAGAGTGTTGTATGCATTCGGAAACGACATTTCGCAAGCCATGATCGCGAGCAGTTCCACCATGCCCGCTGAGCAGGAGAATCACGGGACCCTCACTACAGCGCTTCCTGTTTCCGCCGCGAGAGGGCGAGCGTCGAGCTGGAGATGCGAATAGGCGACGACATATATTGGCAATGGAAGAGACATTTGACCTTTGGTAGCACGTTTTGTAGCAGGCGAAATGTTGCTTTGGGGTCAGCTACTGAAGCTTTCGGAATACCGATTTACACGAATGTAGGTCGACCCATTGTTCTATTTTTGAAAATCTGAAGTGGGGGCGAGGCCACTTATAACCGAACCAAAGCATCCCACCGCCGACCAAAACGAAACAATTACAATATCAAGAGCACCTAGGCTTGTTACGAGTTTAGTCGGCTGTACCTGTAGCATTGCGCTATTCTGTGCACAAATTTTAAAAGATTGTTTTATTTTTTTTTATTTGTGCGAACGAGTATTATTGATAGCGATTTGCAAATTAGCCCAGATGTACTGCACTGACCAGCACACAGTGCACCCGACTCAGAGGGGTGGTGGCACTTACTGCCACGCTTCACTCCCCGCAGCTTCTTTTCGCAGTTTTCCGCACAATTCACGGTCGCACGTCGTTTGATTGAGTGTCGAGATCGTGCCGGAGTACCAAATGTTTTTTTGTATTGACGCGCGTGATTCAGGCACTTTAAGTTTTCGGTGCTCGTTTATGGCCATTCTTCATCCAGAAGCAACAATCAACTGCGCTGCTGGATGCAAGTTCGACACGTCGGAGCGGGTGGTGCTCCAGTGAGTTTGTAATGGGCCGGGATCTTAACTGTGACGGCAAAAGAGGCTTGCAAGGGCCAAAGCATGAATAGGTAAGGATCCCTTCCGGAGTAGGAGGTAAGGCTTGCAACGTACACTGCAGAAGTGCGCAATCGGTCCCTGCCCTTGAAGTGCAACACAATCACCGAGCAAACCAGGAAGATACGGTTGATGCTGTCTTTTGCGAAGTGCGAGATTTCGTTGGACAACGCCACCGACACGCTTTGAGAGAGTAGCAGTGATGACAACGGGACTGACATCACCAGTGCGGACAGTTCATAGCCTCTAGTCGCGCACAGAGTGAGAATGACAGGGAGCAGCTTCAGTTCTCCCGCCTCCAGCGTCTTTCTAGCTTCAATAACGTCTGGGCATCTATCTCATGCACCTCGTGCGTGCATGCACAGTCAAAGCATGCCAGAAGGCATAAATTGCGTGCTGGAGGCTGGGCTTTTGAAAGAGATACCCTGCCGTTCTCACGCATTCGCCGTAAAATGTGCCTCTACAGAATTTTTTTTCTTTCTTTTTGCTGATGTGCAATGTGGGCAGGTTGACTTACAACTGAGTCTACTTATAATCATGTAAATACGATAGATGCCAACCAGCGGCGTACCCAGGGTCAGCGGCACCCAAGGCAGTAGCACTCTGCGACACCCACCCCCTCTCGTTGCCCTCTGCAACCAGCACCCCTCCTGCTCATTGCCCGCTGCAACACAACCCCCTTTCACTGTCCAGCTGCGTACCCCTGAGTGCTGCACCCAGGATGGTCCACCCCCTCCCCCCTAGTGACGCCACTGATGCAAACATCTGCTTGTAGATTGCCTGAAAATGAAAAAGTGATTGTATTGATCGCTAAGCAAGTTAATCTTTGATAGTAATTGAAGTTTCCCTTTCAATGCTAAAGTGTATGTTTTATTATCTTTTCTAATTAGAATAGAAGGATGCAAAATGAACACACAGCCTTCTTAAAAATTAAGCTCAGGTCAGAGAAGGTTGCACTTGGCTATTAAAAGCATAATTCAATGCTTCAGTTGAATACCCCCCCCCCCCCCCAACCTCCCCCCACTCTTCTACACTTGGTAATTCATTTAGCCTGTAAATATAATTCTTGTAAAATGCGAGCAAAAACCAGCATATCCTCCAAAGTATGTCTATCAATAAAAATACAGTAATCCCTAGTTATAACGAAATCGCTTTTTTTGAATTAGCTCTTTTATGAAAGTTCAACATGGTCCCGAGTGAAATGCACGCATTTTGAACTGGATTATTCCAAGTCTATCGGCGGCCGACAACGTTTATTACGAAGGCCGAGATGCCGAAAGCATGCAAGCCTACACGGAGGCGCACGGAGACCCTCGCGTTGTCTTTCCCTTCTCCATCGAGACAAATGGCAAACTGGGAAAATGGTAAACAAGAAAACGGAGCAACCAGGTGACGGAGGGCAGGGTGCACAGAGCGCTGTCTCCAATGCCGATGTGCCAAAGTGGGAAGGGACCGGCGTCCACGTTCCGTGCTACTCATGACGCCCGCGGCCGCCGCTGCCCAACTCCTGTCGGAATTGGGTCAAGGGAGCGATGGGGCCGATGGAGCCCGGAAGAGATCATCCCTTCGGAAGCCCCCACGTGTGTGCCTGTGGTGTGCACGCGTGTCGCATAGGGTGTGCAAGTGTTTACCTAAAGTCACCTAGATCTGCGAGGTTGAGAAAAGTGGCCGGCCCAAGTCCGAAATCGCCAAGGAATTCGACACTCTGGCATTAGCTGTTCGACACTGTCCACCATTTTGCAGAACAAGCAAGGCATACTGGACAGGTTCGAGAAGTTTCCCATGCAAGACAAAGTGCGCTCGTGACCCGAAGGTGAAAGATCGCCAAGTGCCTTGCGCTCAACCGAATTTTCTATGGCAAGCATGCCTGCCGAGCCGGCACCCGGTTCCCAGCGCTGCAACAATCTCTACAGGAGTGTGTGTAAACATAACGGCGAAGCCACCGAGGATAATTTTGATTTGTTCGCCCTTGTCGAGGCTAACGTTCCCGTTGTTGCTCCTGCCACAAATGCTGTGATTGTGGACTTTGAGTGCGGAGAGGGTGAACACGAAGTGATGCCGGAGAGGCACTTCGGGAAAAGAAGACAACTGCAGAGATGCAAAACATCCTACGGCTGCTTTGTAACGAAGTGGAGTGCAGCGGCGGTGACAGTGCTCTTGCAATGCCTGGAGCAGTTCGAGGAGAACTGATGCCCGGACAAAATTATAGGCAAACACCAGTTTTTTTTTTTTTTTTACTCGGTAAAGCTGATGTCCCCAAGTTTTCTACATGGAATGCCTACCAGATGCAAGATTCTAACATCATAAACTGCAAAAAGAAAGCACCCTCAAATATTACGAAGCCCTACAGTTGTGCTTTACCGGCATTGGAATCAGAGTTGAGTCAAAATTCACTGCCCTTGCATGGGAACTACCTTGACTAAAGTATATACTGAAACATAGACCTGCACTCTTTTCTCGGCACAGCCTGTTTAGAGTTCATCCTACAGCGAAGACCAAAGGTCGACCTGTAATAGTACTCAGCATAATTTCCGAGCCAATCACACTGACCCAGACGTTCCTCGATGTCAGCCGCTGCTCTTGGCACTTCGGTGCAAAATGGTGATGCTTGGCACGCGTGCGCTGATGAGGCGGTGAAAGTTGACGTGAGTGGCACATGGAACACGGTAATACTGATCGTAGCCACAGCATGGATGTAGGTAGCAGACATGATAATCAAGTGATCTCATCGGGAGTAAAATACCCTGACTTCGTATTATCACAGTAGTCTCAGTATTTTGCGAAATTTTCTAGCGAATTTTAGCTTCCAACATTGTCGGAAAATTCAGACAATGACAGGGCCAGCGCAACTGGCAAGCAATTGCTACAGCACTTTGTTTCATATTAAGTGAAAATGCAACCGATGCTACAAGCCAATGGAACCAATCAGTGCCAAAAGTGCGACATCGAGGCATTCGTCATCATTTTGTGAGTATTCTCTCGTCGGCTAAATCAATGAAGCGCAGCGAATACCCCGTGACCTGGGCTTTTAGTATGTGCGTTTATGGTTGTATGTATATTCGAGCCTCCGATTGTGCTCTGACCTAAGAAGAAAATAGCTATATGGTTAGTAAAGACGCTGCGAAATACATATTTGTACCAATTTACTTTTCTTTTCCTTGCCTGAATATTAGGATTAACCGATAATACATTTTTATTTGTTTGCTCTGTTTAAGCCAATGTTAGCACAGGTGTAGAGAAATTCTTGCCAAAATCAGAATTTTGGTGCAAGATGTAGCAGACTATCCGTTCATGGTGCAATTGGTGCAGCACTACCAAACAGATATATACACAAAGAAGCAGCACAACATCACCTGTAAGGTCTGTACTCTTTTCTAGATCACTGCTGCAGAAAAATACTGGCATTGTCCATTGTATAAAAATAAATAAAGCTGACAAGCACTCGAACAACCTCAACTCATCGCGGCAAAACGAACATGCCTAACCTATCTTCCGCTTTCTTTCTCCACCCTTCTGTCGCTCGCTTTCTCGTTCTTTCTCTCGGGACCGCGGATGTAGGCATCTAGGATAGACCCAGAAGTGACGACAGATCCATATAGACTAAGAACAAAAAATGAATGTAACAATCCAAATCTTGCTCGAGTGGATCCGAGCGATTCCCAAGCGGTCATATCCCGTGATAAAACAGACAGAGTGACACCGGACATGAGTAGATTTCCAAACACCGATGTAGTACAAAACCATTACCCCAAAGCAAGACCGAATAAATTCTGGAAGGAAGGACGGCATGTGCTCACATCTGGCACGATGCCCACGAGGGCGTCGGCGTGGCTGTAGAACTCCTCCTTGAGGGAGATTACGATGCACTGGAAGGAGGTCTCCGTCTGCTCCCGGATGAAGTGGGCCACTTTGCCAATGTTGGTGTTGTCCAGGGCTGCGTCAATCTCGTCCAGCACAAAGAAGGGCGCCGGCTGGAAGCTGCGGGCAGACGGGCGAGGCCTTCAGGGACGGAGCTGGCGGGGGCCCACATTGACCTTTCTATTCCTCTTTTACTCCACCACGATTTGTTGGTACATTGAAAAAAGCAAACTTAAATCTCCCACACTTCAGCGAGGACCAAAACGGAATAAGTTCTGCACATCGAAGATGGTCACTTCTCGTTTGTTCACATTTATTTTGCGGTCCGATCACGTTGATTCGATCTGGTTGTTTTCAAAGTAAAGCCAACATCGGGCTCAACTTGAAGAGGAGACTACACTCTGCATCAACTTTTCCATACAACGTTGGCAAGACTAGCATAGTTTCACCAGCACTGCAGCACCGCAGTGCTAAAGAAAAAAGTGGCTCTGCCTTTCCCTATTTCTTGTCAACAATACTGATGCCGATGCCAGTAAAAAAAAAAGAGAAGAGGAGGTGGACACCTCTATTTCTCGTTTACTTTTCTCAAAGCATGGCAGAAACAATGCTAGCCTAGCCAACATCACAGACAGGTTGGTGTGGAGTGTAAACAATTTGCACGAACCAAAGCTAATCTTCTCTAGTACAGTCTGTCTTCAGGGTGTCTAGCAAATTATTATTTTGCCATTCCCTGACTTTTCCAGGTTTTTCCTAACAATTTTAGGTGGAATTCCCTGACCACTGTAGAGGCAGTTAAATATATAAGACCATTACAACAGAAGGCATTGAGCCTTGAGCACCGTGAGGATCGTTTTGCACGGGCTTAATCCAACTTGCATGTTCCGAAATATTTGGGTTCGTCCAGTCCGGATTAAATGAGCACTTTCTTTCTGCCGACATCGTCAGTGAAGAGGCCACTCCCGGAAACATGATGAAAGCACGACGCTCAACCACACACGTCAATAACCGAATGGCAGCACGGCCGCCAGATGCACACTTTCGGATACTTTCGGTTTGGATTGGATTGGGGTCTGCAGCTTTTCCATTTGTCACTAAATCTAGTAGCTCTAATTGGATCTAGCCTAGTGTCGTGCCCTCAATCCAATCCAAATTAAGGCTTGTACTGGACCTGTCGGTGTTCCATTTCCATCCACTAACACACTCTACATCGGGTGAGCACAGCCCGCGCTCCGCTCTAATTTATTGCCTATTTTTCTGCCCCTGAGTCCTCGAGCCTTTGCTCGGGGCACCCGATGGCGTTTCCAGCTCATTTTCCCTTCCTTGACTGGGCTCGATTTTTGACAATATCCCTAACAATTCCCTCATTTTTCCCTGTAATTAAACTTTCCCTGACAATTCCCGGTTCTCTCGGTCGCTAGACACCGTGGTCTCACACTTACTGCTGCCCATTCTGTCACCTCTCCATCTTTATTAAGGGGAGATGTGGGTCGAAAAACAACAATATTTTGCAAAATATTTGATTTTGGGTTTAATGCTGTTTTAATATTTTTGTATCTTTATATTTGGTGTATACAAATAATTAGTGCCCGCCATCACATTTAGGTGGACAAGTAGGCCTAGCCATCTCCTCTCCAGTGAAGTCTTCTGTAGCTTCAATTTCTCATAAACATTTTTTCACAAAATATTATTGTTTGTACAGCCAAAGAGTATACTGTCGAGTCCGGTTATAACGAAGTCAACAGGAATGGGAAATCACTTGGCTATATCCGCTATTTCGTTATAACAGACTTCGCTATAACCGGTCTCGACATTAGCTACACATCTATGATAACATTCCAACATGTTTTTCTTTTTCCATAATTTTGAAGCATCTTCATAATTTGTGCACAAGAATTTCTGTTTTCAATATTGTCCTGTAATAACCAAATTTGGAATGCATAAACTTTGGAATATGTAGAACGCAACCTATCTAGGTTTGGTTAGAATGTATATTTTTTATATTTATGAAAAATTTAATGTTTTTTTTGCCCCTTGAAATGACAGTTTGGCCTTTTATTACTATTTTAAAATAAAAGAAGTGTTGCACACATCATTTTTGTTGTTCATTGCACTTTGGTTTAAAAGGAGCAAATTGGGTTATTTCTAGGGGTGTGTGAATACCGAATAGTAGTTTTCGAATCAAATACCGAATCGAATCAAGAAAAAAAAGACAAATATCGAATTGAATATCGAATAGTGATTTTATTTGTAGGAATTTTTCAAAGTGTGCTGCGAATGAGATTATTATATGTGAAGAGTATGCTCTTGGTGCAGAATATGCGTCTTGAACAAAACAAAAGCCAAAATCTAAAAAAATTTCTGGTAAAAAAAAAACAAAAAAAGCAGTTGCTGTTAGACGTTGGGCACTAAAGATCCAATTTTATGGTGCAAACATAATCTATCTACCCTAAACGTCACAAAAAGCCAAAGTTACAGTCACGCGTGCCTTTTTTTTTTTTTCTTTAAAAACACAACCTAACACCGCGACTTTTTTAAAAATATTTGTATATCTCAGAAAAGGGGCATTTTACGATAGTTGGTCTCCATTTTAAGGAAAAAAAAAAGGGCACCCGGGATTTGATTTCACATAAATAAACAGATAGGTGTTAAATCTGAGTAAACAGGCTTAAACAGTATAATCTGAACTAAGAAAAAAAAAATGTGGTTAGGTGGCACAAGACACCGTCCAACTCTCGCTATACATTCATTTTTCAGTCTATCCTTTTAGAGAGCCTTGATTTAAAAGAGGGAGCAACCAAAACTGAAACCACGGAGACTGCTCCAGCGCAGATTGATCGTCAGTGCACATGTGTTGTGTTGTCGCGTGGAAAGAAGGCGAGCAAACAGAAGAGCGATGATGCCTGCCCTGCCTGCCCGATCCCGATCGACGCTTTCGTCTTTTCGTCACCTTCTCGCAGTTCGTAATTCAAACGCGGCTATCGAACTGTCGGAAACCCTCTCAAATCTAGGCACACTATTTTTCCGTTCGTTTCGTTCCGAATCAGAATTTGCGGTTCCAAAAGAACGACGACGATAACTCAGCTGGTTTCATCGGCGTGGTAACGTGGTTTTCTTTCTGCGATCGTGCAGTCGTCGATTTCTGCGAGTGCGGTAAGTGTGTTTTACATCGGCGCTTTAATTTGAAACGATGGGCTTTACTCGTGAAAAGAATTAAGCATGGTGCCGAATTCCGGCTTCCCAACAATTCCTCTAGGGAAGCGGTGCTAATGGGATGTTTCGGTTGTGATTCAAGGGTAGATTGTGTCAGGATCGTGAGTAAATCTGCGTGCTATAAAGTTTGTGGCGTTCGTTACTTTTCTTTTTTCTAACCTGTGCATTAGATTTTTGTGGAATGGTAAGACCAAGAGATGTTTCTCGCATGGTCTGTCTAACATCACGGCGCTTACATCGAGAGAAAAAATGGCTTTTTTGTTTGCTCCGTGCCGACTGCGCGTCTTTGGCCGAATATATTGAATATTCGAGTAACCGAATACTAGGAATTCGATTCGTGAATAGAATTATTCGGGAACTTTCTATTCGATTTGAATTCGTATATTCGAGTATTCGCACACCCCTAGTTATTTCACTAAGCCTTTTTAAGTGTTTTGCCATGCCTCACATACATTACAAGAACATGGTTTCGCATGTACATGGTTTCGAGAACATAAAAAACAAGATATATTACATGATTTATAAAGAAAAATTAAGCACGATAAACTGAGAAAATTTAATCTCAATATAGTAGATAATTATAAAAAACTTTCCCCCAATGCATGTCTCCTTAACTACTCAAAAGAAATGATTCTACTGTAAAAGCCAGTCACTGCACATCTACTGTTATAGCTGTCTTAGAACACTCTCAACACCAACTCCATTAAGGTACACTAAAAAGAAGCAACAGGTCAAGACGACAAGCATCCACAAAGGACGATGTCATCTGCACCACTTGCACAAGACATCATCCGCAACAGGTGCAGGTGCCACAGAAAATGACACGGGGGGACATTTTCCACAAAGAACGTCCCCCGACATCCTCGGCAAGGTCTCCCCTCACATTCTCTACGAGACGTCCCCCGACATCCTCCGCCGGACGCAAAGGGACATTCCGCAGAGATCTCAGCTCTGCACGGGCCGGATCGCAATGTCTGGGACGTTGACCGTTGCTCACCTGTGCACGGCGAAGAGAAGGGCAAGGGCGGCCACCGTCTTCTCCCCTCCGGACAGGTTGCTCATGGGCTGGAAGCGCTTCCCCGGCGCCACGCAGTTGTAGTTGATGCCCTCCAGGTAGGGCTCCTCGGGGTTCTCGGGGCCCAGGAAGGCCTGGGCGCTCTGGTTGTTGGTCAGGGCCTGCGAGATGGCGGAAGGGGGACACCTGACAGAGGGCCTGAGCGAGACTCGTGGCACACAACCGTGTTTAAGAGCAGAATCGCAGAATCGCTATGGCGCCTGGAACGAGTTTTCAACCAGTCCATTTGGCGTCCCATCCCGCGGCCCCGGAGCGGCAAGGAATGACGTCGCAAAAGCCGGTGTGTTATGCTCTGGGACGTCGTGATCGTGGCGGTTTATGCTAGACGTCCCAGCAAAAAATGCGAGCATCATGGTCGTCGCTCCGTCCTGACTTCCGGCTGCCAAAGCGTCTGTGGACGGTCACACCGAAGAGCGACCTGCTGCAGATCGAGTGTCTGCCACATCTATCGCCTCCGCTGCAGCACAACCAGGGTCATAGCCGCCGCTGATGCGACACTATTGCAACGTCGTCAGGGGGAAACAGAAGTACTGGTCTTTAGGACGCAGTAAGTGCACCCGTCGGAGACGCGTTCGCAGCATTGTAGCATCGCTGGCACTAAACTGTTGCGCTAAGCTATGGCACTAGTCCCGTCTTCGTGTTCTCGTTTTTTGTCTGTCCTTCACGCCATCTGTCGTTCGTAATGCGCCAAACGGTTGCCTAAAGGCGCCGACGAGATAAAAACGGCAGAGGTTTTTCGTCGCTCTGCCTCCAATACAAGCTTCCTACCCAATGACGCTTCTTTGGCGTCCCGCTCCCGTGGGCACACGATGGCAATTTTGCAATGCCCGTGCAAGATCAGTTAGCGATACGTCGGTGTTTTTGCTCTTACTACCACAGTATAAACTCAGGGCTCCATGGGTAATGCTTCTCCGCAGTGCATGGGCGCACGGTGAGAAGCACACTCGACGGGGCTAACCCACCGCGACTCACACTTCTAAAAGTACAAACATTGCAGTTCACATCGAAACGAACATCGAACTGCGCATTATTCGAAACTTCTATTTGAAAATTCGAATATTCGCGCAACACCAGTCGAAACTGTCAGCGACAGGGTAATACGACACCGCCCAAGCTTCCCGAAGCAGTGTCTAAAGCTCGGGAAATCACATTTTCCAGTCGCAACCATCGCCGATCGCACCCGCTCTGCACAAGGCACCGAAATGGAGGGCACCAGCGAGACAGTCAAGGAATGGCACGTCTATCCTCTGAGCGCAGCTTACTCGGTGGCTCCCCTAGCCATGCCCTTGCCCACCTTGTAGATCTCGTCGATGCGGTTGGAGACCCTGTCGAAGCAGGTGGTGAACTTGTGGTGGCGCTCCCGCTTGATCTTCTCAAAGGCCATCTTGGCCTTCTTGGCACGCTTGCGGGCGTTCTCGAACTCCGTGTCCGTCTCCTTCAGACGCTCCTTCACCCCGTCCAGCCTGGAAGGAGAGTCGCCCTCAGCACACTGTCACTCGCCGCACCCGCAATGTTCCCCCGACTTTTTCCGACGGCTGGGTTGGGTGAAACGTTCCAGGAAATATGTGGTTTCCATGATAATTCATGTGGAGGAGCATTTACAGTGATCTCTCGTTATAACGAAGTTAACGGGACAGCCAAAAAATTTCTATATAAGAGGTAATATGATGAAAGCGATACAGCCAAAAAAAAGTGCTAGCAGCCTTGAAGGTGGACGGGAAAACTGCGGAACACTGTGACCATATACAGGGTGTCATAAAAGAAAATTTAAACTGCCTTTTTTACCACAAAAATAAACTAGGCATCGCCGAACGCTCATTCTCCGCCCAAAGGTAGCGCTAGAGGTCACAACCAGATGCCAAAGTTTCAGCCCAATCCAATAACTTAATCAAAACTTATAAGTGATTTTTTGAAAATTTCAATGGGAAAATGGCGGCCGACGGAGTTTTTAAACACATGGGGCTCTATGGCACCAGAAACCAAAAACGGGCAAAAATGGACTCCATTTTCCCATTGAAATTTTCAGAAAATCACTTATAACTTTTGATTAAGTTATCGGATTGGGCTGAAACTTTGGCATCTGGTAGTGACCTCTAACTCTACCTTTGGGCAGAAAATGAGCGTTCGGCGATGCCTAGTTTATTCTTACGGTAAAAAAGGCAGTGTAAATTTTCTTTTGTGACATCCTGTATTTAATCAAACAAACCTTGGTTATGAACATCTTTAAATAGCTTTATTGAGCAAAAAATAATTAAGTGGAGTTTGCCGATAATTTTATCTGGGCATCACTTCTCCTTGAACTGCTCCAGGCATCGAAAGAACACTGTCACTGCCACTGCACTACACTTTGTTTCGAAGCAGCCATAGGATGTTTCGCGTCTCTGCAGTCGTCGGCATTTCCCGAGGCGCCTCTTTGATGCCGCTGTTTACCCTGGCTGCACGCAAGGTCTATGATTGCCGCACTCGTGGCAGAAGCAACAACGGAAACGTCCACATCAACAAGCACAAACATATCAAAGTTATCCTCGGTGGTTTTGCCAACCTGTTTTCACACACTCCTGTAGAGATCGTTGCAAATATTAAAAAAGTGTGTTGGCTCAGCAAGCACGCTGGCGAGGGAAAATCTGACATGCACGAAGCAGCTGGCAATCTTTCATCTTCGGATCGCGGGCGCACTTTCTCCTGCATGAGAAACTTCTCGAACCCGTCCAATATCTTGCTTGTTCTGCAAAACGGTGGGTAGTGTCAAACAGCCAATGCCGGAACTTCGAATTCTTTGGCGACTTCGGACTTGGGCCGGTCACTTTTCTCAACCTCGCAGATCTAAGCGACTTTCGGTAAACAATTCCCATCTCCCATCGACGTGCGTGTGCGTGTAGTACGCCACAGGTGCGCCCGCGCAGGCGTACCTGGGCACCGCGCAGGACTCCCGAAGGGATGATCCCCTACGAGCTCCATCACTCCATTGACCCGATTCTGACAAGAATCGGGCAGCGTCAGCCGTCAGTAGCATCGGAACCTTGAAGCAGCTCCTTGCCAGCGTGCCAGCGTAGGCGCATCGGTATCGGAAGCGGCACTCCACCAGCTCTGCGTACTCTATCCTTTGTCACCCATTTTCCCAGTTTGCTGTTTGCCTCGGTGAAGAAGGGGGAGGGAATGCAAGGGTCTCCGTACACCTCCGAGTAGGCTTGCATGCTTTCGGCACTTTGGCCTTCATAATAAGCATGGTCGGCTGTCGATACACTTAGAATAATCCGGATAAAATTGCATGCATTTAGGTTGAGACCACGTTGAACTTTAATAAAAGTGATAGAAAAAAGCTATTTTGTTTAGCGAGAGAATACTGTATGCAACTTGAAAGACTTTAAGACCTACTTGCGGACGATGCAATGTTTCATCCGCTCGCAGCGCCCATCAGGAGAGAACAACGCGGGTTGTGTCGTCGTCTCCACTTTAAAATTATGCGAGGTAAAATGCACCACCGAAATGTACATACAGTATAGACCACTTACAACGTAACCGCTTATAGTGCAGGACCGGGTATAACGCGTTTTTTTTAAACCACCGGTTCGCCTCCCATAGAACTCCATGTAATTACATACCGCTTAAAACGCAGGCGCGCGAAGGGAAATACCGGTTATAGTGCGGTTTCTGGCACAGCCCGCCGACCGCGCCGACGACCGGAGCAGCGAGCACGCTTGCCTGTGCGACACTAGATAACGGCGCTGACGGCGCGAGCCGCAAGCGTTGCGCAAGCGGCACTCGCGGGGCAAAGAGGTGCTCGAAGAAGCGGGAGAAGCGAAGAGAGAGGCTTCAGTTGCCCTAGCGACGGAGGGACGCACGCACGTGTCGTTCACGTGCGTGCGTCCCTCCGCTGCGTTGGAAACCAACAACCGCAACGACAGACCAATAGCAGGTCGAGGAGAAGTGTTCGCGCGCGTTGCATGCCCGTCGCGGGCCGGCTGCTTCTATCCGCGAACATGGCGTCGGTTGTGATCAACGTTGTGATCGTCGTCGTAGACGGCGTTCATCTCATCGTTCCGCGTAAAAGCGCTATCCTTGACTGTGCATTTTCGTTGTGTGTCGCTATGATAACCCAGCACGTACTGGAAGGGAAGATCCACCTACTCGAGCGGCGATGTCGTGGCGGCGCTCTCAAGACGGCAGAAACGCCCGTGTCGTCGTGTTTGTTTACTTCGACTACAGTGGTGATATCTAAGCATTTGTGTCCTCGAACATCGCCCGGATTTCTTATTCGGCGCATTTCATGCGTGTGCTCAAGTTCAAGGTATTACTGGCGCGTACCGTATGAAGGATCCGAATTTTCACGTGTTTTCATCTCCGGAGAAAAGTGATTAGGGTTAGCAATCCTGAACGCTCGCAACATCCGTCCGTAACCCGCGACGCCGCTAAGAGGCTGCGCCAGGCAAAAGCCGCTCATTTCTTTCAAAATGTGTGACACACTTGAGAGAGAAGTGTACTAGTCTGGTGAAATAAAGACTTTCCTCAAACTAAGCTTTATTTTTCATCTAACATAAAATAAATTCTTTTACAAAGGTAAGTTGTCACATGGCATGTATTTTGGCCTGAAAAATTGATGTTTCGGTTATAACGCGGTACCGCTTATAGTGCGGATTTTCGCGACTCCCGCGACATACGTTATATGCGGTCTACACTGTACTGTGAAAGTTTGAGCTTTATGCGTGCAGGCAACGACATCTCCTACTCGTTTTACAGTGCCGAGATTCATTGTGGACATCCCATATAGTTATTGTGGAGGCGAGCCGTTGGAAGTTAGTGTCGTATAAAACTCTCAGGAATTTCACGCGTAACAAAACTCCCTAGTTCCCCAGTGACTTTGAGGGTATCCGGCGGGGCTTACTTTTCCATGGCTCGCATGTTGGGTGCCTGCGTCCGCTGCAGGTGGTGTTGCATGTCAGCAATCTCCTTGCTCAGCCGGTCGCCCTCTTTCTTCACCTCCTCGGGGGTGTCCAGCTGGGTGGGGGTTCACACCCGGAGACAGGGTCACAACAAGCACCCACCCCCAGTGGAAGCCATTTCAACGTCCTTTTTCCGCGTCAAAAAGCTTAGACCGTCAACTGAAAGTAGCAACCGTTAACTCCTGAAACGACTTGGTTTTTGTTCAAACGGCGTTAGAATGAAAAATATTTAATCAGAATGTGCTTTGACCCTTATTTTCACCCGGCAAGTTTCCTTACATCCTCTCCCTACAAGAAAAACCTTAAAAGGGGCACTAAGCTACTCGGCGATAACGCATTTATGGTCAAAACTGTTCTTCTCATCTGACAGCGCACCCTGCTCTCTGCGATAGTTCTGAGCTTTGTCTTTGATACCGATATAAACAGAAAAGTCGGCCATGCATGAATGTAAAGTTTGGCTTTTAGGAGGCTTAGAGCCCATAAAGGGACAATCGTAGAAAGTGGTTTAGTGCCCCTTTAAAGGCGCTACAAGTAATCATCAATAAATAAATAAAGAGTCATCCCGAAGAGGCCAAAACGACATCGGAGAAGTTGCCGTATCATGCTGTCCTTTTTTTTGGCGTGCCTCTTGTCGAAGAAAAAGAACCAAAGAACGTATGAAGCTCACTTAGCACGGAGAGTGACGCGACCATTCTTAGGGCTAACCACTTTCACATTATCACTGTCCGAAAGTGGATTATAGACAGTGGCGTGTTTGTTGACATCAATTCATCTGATGGATGAAGCACGTCCAAGGCTGGGCAATTCCTCCTCTTCAGCTTCGCTAGGTGTGTGCACGGCTCGATTTCACAGTTGATCACTTCCACAACCACGCATTTGCAGCCATTACGAGAGCAGCTTGGCTTGGCTTGACTTGGCCAGGTTACTTGGCGGCAAAAGAAAATTGGCTTCAATTGAAAGTGCATTCATTACGCGAGAAAAAAAAAAAAAAAGCCCAAATATGGATGTCCGTTGTTGAAGGTGCATTCATTATGCGAGTAAATATGGTACATCTTGGGTGGCTGGTTGTGCGCCATGTACGCTTTTCATTCATTGTGTCGACCAAAAAAATTTGTAACATCAAAAATGTGTAATTTGTCTTTCATTCCTGTCAAATTAATTACACCGTTATTTGTTTTGCTTTAAAGGGGTACGGAAACGAAATTTTAGCGCCGATCTTTCTGCATAAATATGGGCTAGGGACAGGCACTACCTCGGAAATATCAATAGCACGCTGTAAAACACAGGAGAACTAATTTTAAACCTAATTAAACGATTTCAAATTCACATCTGGTGGATGGTGGGAAAGTTCTAGTGACATCACTTGTGGCATAGGAGCAGCACCGTTCTGCGGCAATACGGCATGCCGGCAGAATTAGCCTAGGCCTGAACGCGTTTGCAAAGCCTTGGCGGAGAAAGCCAAAGCGTAGTTAGCCACAGTGAGCTTGTTCTCGCTGCGGCTCTTTGCACGACACGACCCGAGCATGCTTCTGGCACGGCCGGTATTAGTTGCTGCGAGTTGCGAGCTGCGAGCCGACGTTAAAAAAGATGTTTGAACTACGAGAGTGTCAGCAAGAGCCACGCAAATAGCTGTTCACACTCGGAGCGGACACGCGCGTTTGATCGAAGTGCTGGATTCGCTCTGTTAGACCGCATTTCGGTAAGCGCTTCTGGACCGATCTTTTACGATTGCAACTCGATACTGACATGACACTTGGCAAAGAAAAGTTGGACCAACATCGCATAGCTCCGACGAACTGCCATAGCTCGACGGTGACGTAGCGTCGTGTCAGAACGAAAATGGCATACTAATAGCTAAGTGTACATACCGTGCTGCAAAGGTAATCTCTATGGCGTTTATTTGAGCTCTATATCACACAAAACAAGGAGATAGAATCAATATAAGTCCCTTTTCGACGACAGCGTTCGCCACCGCTTTCTCGGAAAACAAGGAGATCGAGATGACAAGGGGAAAAGATTGACCTCTGAAATTTAGTTCATGCAGGGATCAAACTATTCATCCGGGAAGGGTTCACAAGGGTCACGCGGGCATATTCCATTCAGCAGGCCAGCCGGTCGTGGCCAAGGACCGCCAGAGCAACGGTGCGCCGAGTCGGTGTTGCTGCTAGGCCTACTATATTCTGCCAAGCTCGCTTGGTTGGTAGAATCGCGGACCTTTTAGCTCTTCTCGGGTGTTTGTGGATCCTGCATTCTTGATCGTCGTGGTGTTTCAAGTACTCCTTCCTTTTTTCTTGCTGGTTGAAGTCGGGACGCACAAGAAGAGCAGGTAGAAAAATAAATGTCCGTTGGTCGTCGCTACCGATAACTGAGCGACGCTGTCGGCCATGTTGATTTGATCGTAAAAAGTGCGTAAGACAGCTGCGGAGCTGTCGTAGGATTCTGTCGTAACCTGCGCAAAAGTTACGACAATTTCGTTTCGAGAATACGGGTTTTCTTTCAAATTTGTCATACGCACTTTTTTCGTCGTAAGTTCGCTTTGAGAATCCGGCCTCAAAGCTGGTTTTGTCAGTGGTGCCGTGGTTGCCGACTTGCCGTGGTGCAGCGTGCGTGCAGCCCTTGCACATCTCAAACGGTCACGTTGTCACAGGTCGTAAATCAACGACGCGCCACCAGGTGGCAACGCTCGTAACCACAACATCCATGCCGTAGCTTTTCCCATCTGGCACAAGTGACGTCACGAATGCGCCCAATATCCCAAGACGCATCGCGCTCTCCGGTGGTTGATTTTTGAGCGCGCGCCCAATCGGGCCCCTAAGGGTGAAAAATATAGCCATCCGTTCAAAATACAAACGCGCGATTATGATTTCCGGATATCATTAATCATATTGAACCTATTTCTGACCATAATAGGTGTATTTCAAGTTTCGCTTCAATATCCCTTTAATGTTCGCATTTTTTATGGAGTAACGGGAAAGTAACGGCATTACTCTTTTACAGTAACTCTAACAAATTACTCACTGAAGATTGTAACTGTAACAGTTACTTTTTTACCCTAGGGAACTGTAACATAACATCGTTACTTTTTAGTGGTAACAAGCCCATGACAGCATCCTTATAGGATGTTTATTTTTCTAAAATGTGCATTACATATTTTTAAGTTTACTTCCACTCGCTTAGCGCTCATTTCGCAAATATCCATGCACATTCCCACGAAAAAGGGATGCGAGGATCCAATGAGAAAAACCGATGGGAAAGCCAAATGTGCCCTAAATTAAGACGTCCGATCACCCTACCAAAGTTTCTGTTAACCGTTTGGCTGCAGAACGAGCTGAAGCCGAGCGGACATCTGGCGTACCCACCTCCACCACTGTGGCACTGCCAAGATCGCAGCAGGCAAAGGCACAAACAACGCTTCTACCATGTGGCCGGGTAAAAATTAAGGAACCACGTTCGAGGTCGCGGTAAACGCACCGGTCGGAGACGCGTTCCGGGCACCCAATTCCGGTGAATACGCCGTCACTAAAAGGCGCCCCCACCTCTACGAGCTCCTCGGGCAGGATGGAGTAGTCGATGCGCAGCTGTCCCTCCCGCTCGTACAGGCGGGTGATGCTGCCGCTGGCCGGGTGGGCGCTCGAGGTCTCCGTGTCACCCCCGTCCCCGTGGGATGTCTCCTGGGAGGACGCGTCCGTGGGGGCCTCCAGCTCCTCCAGGGTCCCGTCGAGCAGTCGCAGAGGGATCTGCTCCAGCTGCACGGACGTGGGCACGAATTGTCGATTAAGGCAAGGGCGAATACGCCGTCCTTTTCGCTGCCGTGCTGCGAGGCGGTGCCTCGAAGATGGATGCCCAACTATAGTGCAGAGGAAGATGGACGGCTCTACCTCTAGGAGAGACGACGGACGGTGGAGCAGCATCGCTGTGGCGAGCGATGTACGGCAATAAATAAAAAGCAAGGGTGTGTGAATATTCTTAATTTTGAATGCAGATAAAAAATTTTAAAATGCGTGAATACCTATTCTAAATTTTTGATGCAGATAGAAAATTTTAAGAACTCTATTTGTATTCGATTAATAAATTCCCATTCAGCACTCGGCGAACGTTCGGCTGTGGTGGAATGTTTGGGCAAAGAATGAGTAATGCCGCACAAGCCGTGCCATGAGCGCGCCGAAATTTTCAACAATTTTCAATCGGAGCCCTAATTGTACATCTTGCTTATTTTTACGATTTGGCACACTCCCTGGAGAACTCCCCGTAGATATGATGCACTAGGAGTTCGGATTTTACAAAACACAATCATACACATCCTGCACATACAAACAACCTGGTGCATCACATTGCAAAAAAAAAAAGCCCCCCAAAAAAAACAAAAAACATCATAAAACAAAAATGTGCCGGAAGTCACATTCTCTTTTCTTCCATGTCCTTTTCTGTGTCTTCCTTTTCTTACCACGTTTCAGGTTAGGTTGTGTCGAAAAACATAAACTTTGCTCCAAAAGCATAGCACACATGTTTGCTCTAGCACAGACGTGCAATGCACTAGGACCCAGACAATTTCCGGAACAGGTCACGTGGCTCATTCCCACGGCCCACACAGTCCGGTGGACGACCCAAGAAGGTCCAACAAACAACACCAAGGGCATCGCACCATTCGGGGTGACGCACCTTACAGGTCTGGAGCACGCTGTGGCGGTCGAGCCTGCGCTGCTCCTGGCGGGCCTCGAGGGAGGTGAGGCTCTTCTGGACGACGGCAATGTCCTTCTGCACGGCGGCTAGGCGCTTGCGGATCTCGGCCATCTGCTCCTCCGCCTTGTCCAAGTCCTGCTTCTTGCCCAGCTTGCTGCTCTTCAGCTTCTCCAGGGATTGCATCTGGTCATCTATCATCTGCACGCCACCCACGACCGCAACGACAATGAGTGGCCAAACCTTGCTTCCTACAACGGGCCATCTGCTACTCGTGGAAATGTCTCCCACTACCAATTATACATGGGTGACCGAGGAGCACAAAGCATGAGCACTGGGCCAAACTCCGTTTCCTGAGACAGACAGGTCGTCTGCTAACCCTCCAACTGCCTGCCACTACTGATGAAGGTAGAACTAGTTACTGCTTCTCTTGGTAAACCCAAGAGAACCAATAACTAAAAAGAACTTTCCAATAAACAGCTGGGCAGCAAAGACTACTTCTTGTCTAACTCGAGAAACTGTCATGTGAGGAAGTAATAGATGCAACAATCCCAAAAGCAGGCAAACCGAAAAAACCTGGAACAGACGACATGAATATGCCAGAGCTATGCATCACTATTGCCGCCTGCGTTGTTAATGTCAGCGGAGCACTTGGCTGCTACGCAGGTGACCGGGTTTGATCCCTGCCATCGCCTGTTGTTTTCATCTTTCCCTAAGTTAATAGAGGATCCTTGATTGTTTGAGGGTCGTGTACTTTGTTCATACTCACTGGAACAATTGAAATCAAATGTTCTAGGCTTCCAGGGAAAGCCTTTAAAGGGACTGTGAACTGAAATTTGGATTTCAAGAAAACAATGCAGGAGATAGAGGCAGGAGGCTACAATCCCTACAACACGACTCGTAAGGCGGTATCTCGAATGGACGGCCGTATTTTTGGAAAAAGAGGTTGAGATTGAACCAGGCTGACGAAGCGCGTGACATAGAGATATTTCGTTTCCTCCACTCTTCGCTTCACTCCCTCAAAGCGGCGAGGTGGAGAAGAGGCGAGGCCGTTCCCTCTCCTTCTCGGAAAAACATGACAAAAACATTTTTGTCAAATGCGCCTCCTTTTTTTTAAAAATACGGTCATCCGCTCGAGATATCACTGTACGAGTGATGTTTTGATGTATGTAACATCCCGCTGCACGCTTTTGCCACGTGTCTTGTGGAGTCCAGATTTCGGTTCAGCATCCCTTTAAAAGACACCGAAAAGGAAAAAAAACAACTAATGTTCTTAAACAACCCAGAAAAATTACAAATATTACCAAGTCAATTTTCCGCTCGAAAAGCTTTTTTGTAAAATTATTTACAGCACTAGACCACTAGACTTGTTTTAGTTTATAGTTTTTAAACGCAAGCGCCAAAAATGTGTAACTACCGTCACCACATGTACACGCCAAGGGCAGCTTTCACATTGGCTACCTCTCCTCTCCTTACGTCTTAAGGGCGCCTGAGTGCCCCTCCTCTCCACTTTCCTCCCTCGTGCACAATTTCGCAATGTGGAGGAGAAATAGGGAGAGGATGAGAATGCTGCCCTTGGCGTGTACATGTGGTGACATGGTGGTGACAATACATACCCATTTTTGGCGTGCGTGTTTGAAAGCTGTAAACTATAAACAAGTCTAAGGTTGTAAATGATTTTACAAAAACAATACTTTTTGGGGCAGAAAATTTATTTTGTAACATTTGTAACTAGGGTGTGCGAATACTTGAATATATAAATTTGAATCGAATAACGAGTTCATAAATATTTCAATTCGCGAATCAAATTCCTAGTATTTGGTCACTCAAATATTGGCTATATTTGGCCAAAGACGCGCGGCCGGCGCGGAGCTGACACACGAGCCATGTTTTCTCCCGATGTTAGCGCAGTGATGTTTGACAGATCACGCAAGAAACACCTCTTGGTCCTACCATTCCACAAAAATCTAACACACAGGTTAGAAAAAATAAAAGTAAAAAACACAACAAACTTTATAGCAGGCAGATTTAATCCCGATCGTGACAAAATCTAACCTTGAATCACAACCGAAACATCCCGTTTGCGCCGCTTCCAAAGAAGAATTGTTGGGAGGCCGGAATTCCACGCAATGCCTAATTCTTTTCACGAGTAAAGCAGTAAGGCCCCTCGTTTCAAATCGAAGCGTCCATGTAGAATACACTTCCCACACTCACAGAAATCGGCGACTACAAGATCACAAAAAGAAAACCATGTTAACCACGAAGACGAAACCAGCCGTTGTTGTCGTTGTTGTTCCTCAAGCCGCAAGTTTGGATTCGGAATGAAACGGAATGGAAAAATAGTGTGCCTAGATTTGAGGGGGTTTCCAACCGTTCGATAGCTGCGTTTGAAATACGAACTGCGAGAGGGTGACGAAAACATGAAAGCGTCGATCGGGCAGCCATCGTTGCTCTTTCGTTTGCTCGCCTTTTTTCCAAGCGACAACACAGCACATGCGCACTTACGACCAATCTGCACAGGGGCCGTCTCCGTTGTTTGAGTTTCGCTTGCTCCCTCTTTTAAGTCTAGCCTCTCTAAAAGAGGGTAGATGGACGGAGGAATGGATGCATAGCAGCTGTTGGACAATGACTTGCACCACCAAACCATATGTTTTTTTCTTACTTCAGATTATATTGTTCAAGCCTGTTTACTCAGATTTAACTTCTATCTGTTTATTTATATAAAATAAAATCCCAGGTTCCCTTTTTTGCCCTTAAAATTGAGACCAAACATTGCAAAATGCCCCTTTTCTAAGATATACAGATATAAATAAAAAAAGAACATGTTGCGGTGTTAGGTCGTGCTATTTAAGAAGAAAAAAAGGCACACGTCGCTGTAACTTCGAGCTTTTTGTGATACTTAGGGTAGATTATGCTTGCGCCATAAAATTGGATATTTAGTGCCCCACGCCCATCAACAGCTGCTTTTCTTTGTTGCACCAATTTTATACATTTCAGTTTTTGTTATGTACGAGATGCATATTCTGCACCAGGTGCATACTCTGCACATATAAAATTTTCATTCACAGCACACTTCGAAGAGTTTCACAAATAAAATCTCTATTCAATATTCAATCCGATATTCGGCTTTTCTTTTTTTCTTGATTCGGCTCGGTATTCAATTAGATAACTACTATTCGGTATTCCCCAATGTTACTAAAACACTCAGTTGGGAAACTGCCATAGAGACTTATCTAACAAAGTGGCCCCGATCTGTCCTCGAGAACTGAGCTAATGACGAACACAACGCCGCCATTCCTCCCGCAGCGGCCACTCGAGGAACTGAACGTCACTTCTATTTTGGCTTTAATCGGCCATTTTGGCGCCGAAACAAATACAACGGAAGAGGTTACAGGGGTGCCGCCCCCGTCTCCTCAGCGGACGCGCCGCGACTTCTAATCGAAGTTAAAATGCACCTAGGTCGAGACGCGCTACCTGAAAGCACTGCTGAGGCATGGCTGTATAAAAACAATATTAATTGTGCCGAAAAACCCAGCAAACTAAAGATTTCAAAAACATCACGCGCCAATCATTTTGTGCTAAACTCCAATAAATTTCATACAAAAAGAGTCTTTTCCGTTTGTTTTTACGCAAAAACATGCTTTATAAAAGCTCAAGGTGACCACAGTACAGACTAATGATAAAGAGTGGCGCTGTTGTCGTATTTAGCTCGGTCTCGGTGGACGCCAGCGGCCCAAGTTTCGATGGCGAGTTTCCCAACTGTGTTTTAGTAACATTGGTATTCGCACACCCCTATTTGTAACGTCTCCAGGTTGCATACATTTTTTTTTTTCTCCTTTTCGGTGTTTTGGAAGGATGAATGGGTGTTAATGGCTACACCCTTTGTAACAGGCGGTAGCTTGCGCCACCTAGCATAAGTCTAAAAAGACAAACGTATGATTCCTCTCACCCTTCTAAGCCAATTTTCTCCTCCAACTATCATCAGGCAGTGTGGGATATCACGAGGATTACCTTTGAGGGATCAGGCAAAAAAAACTAAAAAAAACATAACCCCCCTCCCCCCTCCGCTCCCCTCCCCCTCCTCTTCTCCCCGGCAAGGGAGTTACCAATTTTCCTCTAATCAAACCTTGTCGACGTTACCGTCGACAAGGTTTGACTGGGAGACAGGGTTGAGACTTCGGGTCGGGGCCATGCGGGAAGGAGTCCCAATTTTCCTCTGTCCTGCCTGTCTCCCGATGTGCTAGTTAGTTGTGCATCATTAAATTTTGCCTAGACAATTTCCACCAATTTTCTAATCGCCTCTTTGTGACTGTAATCCTTTTCTCTTCCGTCCCTTTATCGTCGTAAGGGGTGGTACGAGTGTGACTCCTGTTTATCTTTCGGGGCTTGTTTAGCGTGCTCTCCGGCAGACGGCAAAACCACCCCGTCACTCCGCTTACCTTGGGTTGTGTTCTCATTTGTTTCGCCGTTTCACAGAGAGAGAAAGTTCCATTTAGCCAAGAAGAAAAAAGCAGTCGCAGGTCGCGCTAAAACAATTTGGTTTTGGCGTGGAGGCCCACTTTAGCCGACGAAGAGGCATAAAACCTTTATTTTGAAAGTGATTAATGCTCAGGCAGATGTGACAACAAATCCTTCACTCTTTTCGATTTTTCGGAATCTGACGATAGTTTGGTGGGAGTGATAAAAATAATGTGAATCCTGCAAGCATTCCACCAACTCTGGTGTCTGCACGTCAGTGGGACTCGGACCAGAAGTCCTGATTTAGAGCAAGACACCACACCTGGAAACCGAGGAAATGTTTTTGCTTTATTTTGAGGCAAATCGCCCGTTTAAAAGTAAAATTTTGCTCTCTGTTCCTCGAAGAAAAAAAATGAGTTGGCACGGGGTTAAAGGGGCACTCAAGTGGATTCTGAGATTGTCTATTTATTGTCATAACTCAATCTGCGGGCTCTAAGCATCCTAGAAATCCCAAAATTACATTCAAGGGCGGCCGATTTCCCTATTAAAAATCCAATCAAAGATCGCTGTTCTGCACCTAGGCGCACGCCGTCAGGGGCGCTGTCGGACGGGAAGGCAGCAGGGAAGGGCGTGCGCCATCCAATCACGAGTGACGGCTTCCCGGCGGATTGATCCTTCGAACCGGCGGAGTGATCTTCCGAATGTGCGCGTATTTGATGGATTCTCGTTGGGACTCATTTTGTTTACTTCGGGTCTTGCGTCGTGCGGAGATGGACCTGCCAAATCTAACACGGTTGGAGGTGAAAATTCTTCGGCGGACGGCAGATATCAGCTCAATCTCCTACGACGCCACTCCTACGCGCGACGCCGATGCCTTGAACGCGACGGACTCGGACGACAGTTCGCGATGCTCAATGTCGACACCGGAGGAAGACGACGAAACCGACGACGCAACCCAGCGGCTTGGGAACACCGACTGGTAGGTGATGAGCTGTTTATTATACCTCTCATATGTATAGCTGATGCTGGTTTTCTGTTTTAAGGTGCCTATGCAGTTGCTGCGTGCCGATGGAAACCGTCGCAGAGTGTGTCTGCTGCCGTGACTACCCGGCCGCCGTTCGCAAGCAGCAGGGCCGGCAGAGCTGCGTGACAAGCCACCCGGATTTCGAGGGGCTGTGCCTCGATCCGGGTGTGCTACAGCTGGCCTGTAGCACACCCGGGAGTGATGTGCGTGGGCACATCACTCCCGCGTAACAAGGCGAGGAGAAAACGTAGTTCGCTCTTTTTCAAACAATAATAGCTGTATTACGTCACCTACAGCCAAAGATTTGGCGTTGTTGTCAAAATATAATGTGCATGTGCCTAAAAAGAGCAACAATAATAACTTTAGCAATCTTTTCGCAGTTCGCTATTTCTATTGGTCGAATTCTATGGAGGTGGTGGAGACACGGGATGGACCCCGCAAGAGGATATAGTGCCTGTGTATTTCTATTGCTGTGAGTTTACTAGGGCGCCTTGCCATTTAGAACTGGTCATTTTTATTGACTGAAGCCCAACAAACAATATGCTTCCAAAAACAAGCTTCTCCAAAAAGCACTTGAGTGCCCCTTTAAGAGAAGCTATACTGCGCCCAGCAGAGTCAGTTTCACTCCAGCGCTTCATCCCGCTACTATGCCACCATCGACACATGCAATGCTGTCCTTCCGTTTCTTTTTGTTCTGGCACAAGTTCGCCACATTTAACATTAAGTTTCTGTCTGTCCATTTGCCGCCTCATCAATTGTCATTCGTGACACTATCTTGCACTGTTGGGCAAAAACAGAAAAATACAAAAAAGAAAACAGGCAGCTTAATGGTCTTTCCATTCATTGAAACATTGGTATAATCAGGTTTCATGATGACCCACAAAAAACATGTTTGCGTTCCATGGATTCACGCAAGACCATGGAAGGCTTTAAAGCGAGATCTCGTGCCACCGCTCGCAGTGTGCGCGCTCATGGTGTGTACGCGAAAGGTTTTAAAATTCTGAGGACACCTAAGCACTTATGAGTAGTGAATGCAAAAGCAAGCATGAATGTCGTTCTTCCGCTCCCTTAGTTTGTCTGCAGTGTACTGGCGTGAACGGCCACGTATCACTACTGTTGAGGTTGATGCCGGCGGCCGAGCGCGTGCTCTCACGAAGCGACTGCAGCACCTCTCCCCAACCCGGCAACACCTGACACGAGAGCGGCGGCCAAGCACGCGCTCTCGTGAAGCAGCTGCTCAGCCATATCTTGTGTATTCTATTTCTGCGATTATTAAGGATACAGTGATGTCTTCCTAATATAAGCACTTCCATTCTCCCAAAAAAGGGGTCGTTTTATAATGCGAGTTGTCCTAATAACGAGGCAAAAATTAAAGCATTTACCCAGTTCGTCCCCGAAAATCTTGTCCACGTAGCGGGGCGACCATATGAAGTCCATATTAACACAATATTATTGTATGACAACCGAAGAAGCTAGGTCTCTCAGCAAAATGTTCCCAGTCACTCTGGCATGCAGGAGGTTTCCTATACGAACAAGCCGCAAAGTAGTTTGTTTAACTAAAGAAAAAGAAATGCTTTGGAGCAATTTTATTTTATGCATCTCCTAAACTGACTGCTCGCACCATTTTTAAGTTTTAAGGAGAGGATTCTCAAAGTCCAGCAATGCAGCACATTTAGTAGGTGGCTTGAAAACCCCGGCAATTACCTTTACGTTTTTATTCTTTCGTTTTTAAGTATTCATTATAACAATGCGCTCGAATTAATGTAGTCCTTTATCTGTTTAGACAGAGAGAAAGCCTCCGAGTACCGCAGGGCACTGACCTGCATCTGGTTGGCTTCGGCCTCCTTGAGGTTCTCGAGCTCTCGCTCGTCGTCTTCCACCGTCTTCTTCCACTTGTTCACGTTCTCTGCAAAAAGCACCACCATCTGTCTGCCGACCATGGCTGTGCATGCAAAGCGCCCTCGATGCGATTGATTGTCGTCGTACTAGCGGTACTACCTTTCGTGCAAGGGGCCAATTGCAACCTCCAAAAACATCAGTAGCAAAAAAGTAGTAAAGAAGGGAATGAATAGAAAGCTGCATATAACCAGTCCCATTCTATAAGCGATTACATTTCGGGCGTTTGGCTTCCGTCGTCCACCTCGGTGCATCGACAAGGACAGAGGGATTGTTAGTAATAACCCTTCATTACCATCGTTCGTGCTCGGTTGCTGTCTCAGAGCTGAATCCTCTGTTACAAAAAAAAAAATAGGGACTGCTTTTGTAACCCCTGGTCAGGGAAAAATCACCCCCCTCCAGCGCTGCTATGCAGAAACGTTGTGTCATTCGTGCGTGCACCCACACGTTATAAATACTTGGCCCTTACTGTACCTGTAGTACATCTAAAAATTGCAATTACGGTATGCCTCCTAAATGCATGAGTCAAAGAAGCTTTTATAAGAGTAAACTTTTCCATCACCAAACATTCTCAACTCTCGCAACATTTGCCCAAATTCTTTGACATTCTCATGACTTTTCCAGGCTGAATAAAATCTCCCGACAATTCAAGCACCTCCAGGCTCTCACTGTCGAAAAAAAACATTTGAAATGTTTAAAACTGCTTGCCACTTGAAATGCAATATTTTTCGTTGCGGGCTGCCAAAGTGTTCCTAGGAAACCGGGCACTTTGTCCAGCACACCCAACAGGCCCGACCCAAACTTTTCCAACCGTTCTCATTTCGAAGGACATCAAAGGACGAGAGCAGAGCAGTATTCATTGAATAAAGACATGTTTTGATCAATCACTCTTATTGGTAAGTAAAGTGCTATTTAAAATTAAACTCAACCATGCACCGATGAATTGCTAGAAGCCAAATGCCTTTTTTCCTACTGTGTGTAGTAGATATTTGTTCAGAAAGCCTTGTATGCTCTAGAATAGTTGTACTTGAAGAGAACTTAGGAAGGGACGGGACGGGGAGGGAAGGAAAAAATTAAGGGATGGAAGGGGAAGCGGGGGGGGTTTCATGCTCAAGAATCTTTGCCCTTCAGAATTAGAAAACACAAAGTTTGAAGTTCGTTCATTGGCACAAGAAACATACCGGAGGTATCTTTGGAGCGCTCATACTCAAGCCGATTGACGATGCGGTTCTTCTGGTTCTCAAACTCGAGCTTCTTCTTGTCCCGCTCTTGGGTCGCTCGCAGCTCCCGCTCTTCATATTGGCTGCGGGGACAGAAGAAAGCGCGCCCCAAGAAACGATCTTCAAACGACATAAGACCAACATGGCAGCAACAGCAACAAAAGGCATGTAGGTAGCGTGCCTTTCACTGCTGTGGCAAGCCACTGTTCGATACAGTGTCATACGCAATGAGACGCATGTGGCTACTCGCATGCGTGCTAAAAGCAGGTGCTCGCTTCAAGGCATATTTTTGCAAATTCCCCGTGCCCATCATTTCAGCATAGAATTTAGGAAAAACTAAAATGGGAGCCAGAGTGGATCCAGGAGCACACTCACAATGTTAGGTAAGAGTTATCTTCTTCTCTAATGCAGAGAGGTCAACCTATTTGCCGCCCTTCTGCCCATCGTACGAGCAGATTAAGGCATTCACCGAGCAACGATGTTAAAACAAGATGTCCAGCATTAGTGGCACACCCCAATTCCCCCGACTAATGTAAAGAAAATAGAGAGGCAACAGCACCAACGTTGATGTCAATGGTATGACACTAGGTTATGAAGCCTCCGTGGGCTTCCGATGAATGACGGGACTTTCGGTATTTGCATTATTTCTGTATTTCCTGTCAATAAAGCTACTGACCCACCAAAAAATTGCATTCTGGACTTCTCTGGACACATACAGTATGAGGCAATGATAGCACTAGTTACGGCAGCATTTATTTGCAAATTCTGACGACTCCCGCAATGTTTAAACCAAATTCCCCGACATTTCCCCAATAGTGAAGGCCGACCAAGTTCCCCAATAATTATACAAACTACTGCTAAGCACTTCGCTGATTACGCACTGGCAGCCCTTCTAAGCTTAAAAACTGAAGCCCAGGCAACGTCTTTCTCACAGACTATGTGCATAGGAACGTGCACACGGAAAGAACACCAATTCCCCTGATTTTTTGGACCAGGTTCCAAACTGTTGATCTAAATGCGCTGCTGTGTCAGTGTTAAACGTCACCAAGATAATAATAAAAAATAAAATAAAGAGCACATACACACGTCCAGTTTTAGAGCGCAGCTCTTAGGCGCCCGTTTCCAGCTTGAGCGGCGTCGCCGTAACCGTGCAGTGCATCATGGGTAAATTGCCCGCTAAATCTAGCGGAAAAATTTCCCTGCTAAATCTAGCGAAAAAATTTTCCCACTAGATCTAGCGGAGAAATTTCCCCGCTAAATCTAGTGGAAAAATTTCCCCGCTAAATCTAGCGGAAAAATTTCCCCACTAAATCTAGCGGAAAAATTTCCCCGCTAAATCTAGCGGAAAAGTCTCCCCGCTAGACTTAGCGAAAAAATTTTCCCGCTAGATTTTGGGAAAATTTTCCCCGCTATATCTAGCGGAAAAATATCTCGGGGGGTCACGTGACACCCCGAGGTCACATGACACCCCCCAGGCAGTGGCGGATCCAAGGGGGGGGGGGGCGGTGGGGGGCGATCGCCCCCCCCAGACGCCTCGCCAGGCAACACCCCCCCCCCCCCCCCCCCCCCCCCCCCCCCCGGGGTTATTCGTCAGCTCGAAGAAAAAATGTAAGCAATCGACGCGAGGGACAAAAGATTAAAACAGCGGTGGGTGGACGCGCCTGCTGGGCGCTTCCAAAGTGGGGTTTATCTCCGTCAAGGTCACGGCACGTCTTCCCGACAGGGACAGCGCCAAGAGTTTCGAAGTGGAGACAGTGGGGAGGCGCACCAAATATCAGGGTCCTCGACTGCAGGCACACTTCCAAACAAGGCCAGCACGTTGAGCACGGGGGGAAAATACCTGCAACATATCTAGTCCCCCCCCTCCCTCCCTCCCTCTCTCTCTCTCTCACCCTCCCTCCCTCCCTCCCTCCCTCCCTCCCTCCCTCCCTCCCTCCCTCCCTCCCCCCTCCCCCCTTCCCCTCCCTCTCTCTCTCTCTGGAGGTTGTCTGCGAAAAATTTGTGCCCTGAAAGCTCTCAAACGCAGACGCCAGGCAGCCTTCCTTTCTAGCGGCCGCCTTTTCATCACTTTTCGTTTGATGGTTTCTTCGTGGTTCTGGGCTTGTCTTTTGGCGTGTCTTTTTTGGCTTGCTTTGAGATGCTGTCGCCCACGGGCTCACTAAAGGTATCTTATTGGCACGGTGTGCTCATTGCCAAGGGAAGTGCGGAGGGGACGTACCAGGAGGAGAGGTTCCAAGGGGGGGGGGGGGGGGGGGGGGGGGGTGCAGCTTGTCCAACCAGGTGACCAATTGCTTTTCTTCTCAACTGAGAGAGGAAGCAAATGCTCTGGGTACAATGTAGTCTGGGTCTGAGCTTCTCCTGAAGACGCTCCGGACTTCCCCACGACCTTGGCTTAAACATAAGCCCGCTTTCGTCCTCGCCTCCATCCCTCACTGAGGATCAGCGCCGCAGCGCGGAATACAGAAAGAAGCCGACGAGCGCCAGAAGGGGGAGATATTTCCTCTAATGGGCTTCATACTGCCTGCGGTACGACTTCTCGTGGCGGGAAGCTAATAAAAGAAAGATAAACGGTACGAGCACTCTAAAGGCTGGAGGCTGCTTACACAGAGTCCTCAAGCTGACGCCTTAGGCATTTATCTGTATACAATGCCGTTTCAACTTAGGGTGGTGGGACATATTTTAGGAAAGGCGCCCGCTACCCCTTGTCTCCCCTTGGCGCCGTCTTTACTTTTCGAGTTAAACGCGGCTTCTGTGGATTGACGGCAGAGCTTTCCCACGGCTTTGCAGGAGCGAATATGTGTGTGTCGAACGGAACAGAGGCGGGGCTTGCTGGTTTGCAACTGCGGCTTCGAATTCCTTACCTAGGGACTTGGGGTAAACGAGCCCTTTCAAAGATGCGACTATACATAAATTAAATAGACAGTGCCTGTGCCTGTTCGAGTGAACACCGACTCCCAAACATCCATGCAGCACTCGTGATCGGCCTTTAGCCCAGTTGAGATTCGCCGACCGGACAACCGCTCTGCCCCATCATATCTCTGCACCTGTCCTCTCGACCCTGACGAATGGGCTAACTACCCAGAAACAAGTAAGTGTTCCTTTCATACAGAAAATGTTCAGACGAAGTGCAATTAAATATAATTTGGAAGGATCCATTGCTGGTTTAAGGTCTTGTCTAAGTTTAAAGTTATAGTTGCCGAACTGCAACATGCTTTCAAAAATATTCAACAACTATTCGCTTTCGTTCTCTCGAGTTGCATCCAAAACACGTGAAAACACGAGTTTGGGTTGGCAATGCCGCATGTGCTGTGCTCTGGACATTCCAAATATACGGCAAACAACCGACGAACTTGCCTGGCAGTGTTCGTTTCGCTCGCTGCGTCAACAGTGTTTTGACGCCGCGAGCAGCGTCGAAGCCGCCGGGCCATTTTTGTCGCTTGTTTGCAACGTACTCGCTCCATTGAAGCAACCGGCAACAACGAAAAGTATGTTTTAAAACCACGTTCTGCATTTTGGCACTGAATATAAAGTTCTAACTACTATGCCAAGCTTAATCTCAAAGAACAGCCGAGTTCTAGATTAAAACGTTTTTCGCATTGTCATTAGCTGCATGAGCTTCCTCCGTCTAGCTGGCAAAGATTGGCTCTCCGTACATGCTCTGTGGGTGTAACGAGAATATATAAATATTCAAGCAAAAGGAGCCCAAAAGTTGTAGCCCCGCCGGGGATATCTGAGCCATCAAGTTACACTGTCTGCAATTGTCACAGCCGCTATAGCACCAAACATTCATCCCCAGTAGTTAAACTTCTTTTTCTATTTCTAGCGCGCTGCCACGCGAATGGAGTAATCTCGTTTCCTATGAACTACAAAGTTCCTTGCGTTATGGTGTTCAGAAGGGATAGTGCCACCACAATTTTCTAGATACTTACCTCTAGTGTGGTCACCCGAAGCCGAAAGGTTTTAATTCAAAGAGTTCATCCCCGACAGGTAAGCCGATACAAAAGCTCTCAAGATCTATATTATGTCATCAGAGTTTAGTAAAAACGATAACTCCACAAAAAATATAAACACCCCTCCCCCCCTGCCGTTTTACACCGACGAGCCGCCCCCCCTAAAAATGGAGGTCTGGATCCGCCCCTGCCCCCAGGTCACGTGACCTCCCTCCCCGAAGTCACGTGACCCCCTTCCCCCCCCGACGTCACGTGACCCCCCACCGAGAACACGTGACCCTCAGTACCCTTCCCTCCTCCTCCTCAAGAGCTGCGCTCTAATTCGGTGTTACAGGGAGCTGTAAACGGCTTTCACTTTTTGTTTCAGTGTCGTTTTGTGTCGACAGAGCAGCCAGTTTAATTAACATTGTGCGAAACCAACTGCAACCACTGACAGCCTAAAAATGCGGGGCGAGGCAAGTAGCGACCATCTGACTATCTCTTCACAGTCAACGAGGTTGCGGCATGAGCCAATAACAATGCCGAAGAACTAGCCGCAAAGTAAGAAACGTGAGCAAGAGCCATGCCCCGCGTTTCTTAAGCTCTCGCTGACCATAGTCCATTCACAAGCTTTCTCTAACTTCGTCCCAACTACAGTCGCCGACCAATTTTTCAGGTGCCGATTTTTCGGACACGTCCGATTATTCGGACGTTTTCGCCAAACCGTCACTCACCCCAGAGTTAATGCATAACATTGACAAAAATTTAGAATGCGATATAGCTTATTGCTTGATACTATTTCTGACATAATTTGGGTGACTTCCTCAGTTTAGAGCCACAAAACAGCCGCCGCGATAGCACCCCGAGCTTAGTCATCGCCATTTGGTTGTTTTGATTTTGCCCTGTAGCCTTGATACCACGTCCTACGCAACAAATAAGCTGGGTTGAGGCAACAGTCGGGTTTTCCCGTTCTGCTACAGCCAACATGGCCAGCATCTGCCCATTCTTATGACTGCTCCGGTTCTTCTCGTGGCCCATGTTTTTCGAGTGCGGCCACAAGAAGAACGGTCGTCTGTCGTTCTCGTGGTCTTTGAGCGCGAAGGTTTTTTGCCGATAGGGTATTGAAGCGAGCTTGGTGGACTAAACATTGTCTACATACAGTGCCAAATGGTGCCAACTTCAACTTCGCTGTTTGTGCCAACGAAGGCACCGACAAAGTGCAGCACCATGATCAAACAGATCAACAAACAAGTGAAAAGTGAAAAATATAAAGCGGAAGTTGTACGAGAACTAAAAAATTACATCAAACAAGTGGAAAGTGGCCAAGACAGCGGAATGTGCACGGAAATTTGATATTATAACTAAAACTGATTTTTCGGACCGCTTGATTATTTGGACAATTTTGGGATCCCCTCCGAGTCCGAAAAATTGGTTGGCGACTGTATTCCCCCCCTTTCCCAAGCCCAGAAAAATTCCCTCGGCAGTTCCGGGTCGTTGAGATCCCCGGACGGCCCCGGCAAAAACGGGAGGGCCGTGGCACTGACCGAATGTTCTCCACCCCGATGCTGGCACAGAAGTCGGAAAACACCCGGTCCTCGATGCCGTTCTGGGCTTGCTTGAGCTCGTCGATCTTCAGCTCCCGCTTCCGCATCTCCTCCTCAATCTTCTTCACGTGGGGCTGAGTGGGCCAAGAAAGGAATGTGCACCACAGTTCCCTTCAGTATGTCTACCGACAAACTCCCAGATTTAACACCACACCAGCTTTCCCGATATCGGGGAACGCCCAAAAACCCCAAATCTGAGATGCTCTTGGATGAGAAAAATCTAAGCTTAGCAGAAAGAGCTCCATCTACAGCTTCGTTTTGCGCCGATCCAAAATGCAGCTCATGCAGAAATGACTGCAAGGCTGCTTTGGGAACCATATTCTTTACCTAGTTTCCTTCTTTGATTGCTACAGGGACATTTTCTAAGTATATTAGAGGCCCGAGCGTGTTCCCCAAAGAGTCTGGAATTCTATGCTCGCGTTTGGTTTTCTTCGACACGAGTCACGATAAGTGCCAATTTTTGTCTTGCACCACGATAAGACGCTGAAAAACACAGAATCTGGGGGAAAATGTAAACCTCCCCATAAAATACCTTCAAATTTAAAGAAAAACAAACCCTCAAAATATGAGGAGCCCCATAATAAGGCAAGCAAAATCGAAACATCCGTGCAAGCAGAGACCTAATGCACAAACTCTTGGAGGCCGGCACTTCGGGTTTAACTCACTCGCGCCCAGCTCATAACCTCGCACGAGCTCACGACCCTCACTCTAATTTAGAATTTTCAAGTTTTGGAGGATTACGAACACGATCGCTTTCCAGTCCCGTCGGAAGATGAGAGCGAGCAGCGAGTGCGAGTGTACTCACGAGAAAGCTTTGCTGAGGCATGCCGACAGATTCTCAAGTTAGATCTCTAGAAGCCCTCACGCAAGCAAACTTACGACCTTCGCCGCAACTTGAAATTTATGAATAATTTGGGCTTACAAGCTAACTCCCCTTCACCCTATGTCCGAGAGTGAGTACGAACAAGCGTCGGTGAATGCACTTACAAGTGAGCTTTGCCGAGATCAGACGACAGTGCAATTGGGGTCAACGAGCGAGTTTTGGCTAGAGTGACTATGGCCACAGTAAGATAAATTATAGCGCAAATTTCCTTCCTTAATTAGGATCCACCTACATTCGACATACTAGTTATTTTATTATAGTAAAGAAGCTTTGCAGTATAAGGGTCGATCTAGATTCGAGCAAATACAGGCACATTGACTCCTTCATTCCTAGAACGTCCTCCAATTGCAAATACCTTCCCGCACCAATAGTAAATATACCATCGATCGATTTATGTAGAGTCGCATCGATTAATCGTCTTAGCTAAAACATATTAGGATGAACTATTTTTCACTTTCCAGCAATAATGTATTGTTGGCCTTTGTTCTTTTTTTTGTGTGTGCATGCTCTTGTTTATGTTGTTGTTTTTACCCACACCCCTTTGTAATGACCTCTGAGCCCTGAGGATATGACATTACTTAATTAATTAATTAATTAATGATCTGCCGCGCATTCTAGCCCCGGTTTCAGGAGCGAGAAATCTCGGACCCACCTCGTACTTGGCGACCTCTGCCTCAAGCCGGGCGATCTCCTTTTCGAGGTTGGCGATGCTCTTGTTCTGGATGTTGTCCCGGTCCGTGACCGAGTAGCGGATGCGCGTCTCCAGGCCCCTGATCTGCGACTGTATGGTGGTCAGGTCAGACTCCTTGCGCGTCCGCTTCATCATCTCCTTCAGCTCCTCCGTCAGCTTCTCCTTCTTCTGCTTCAGCGTGTGGAATGCCTTGTCGTCCCACCGCCGGGCACGCTTTGCAAGGTCCCTGTGCACAAAAGGCACTGGGGTCTCCAAAATGCACCACCACAAACGGCAGAGGGAGCAGTTTACAAGGATGCCGACGTTCGGAAAGAACTAAACATTTTTTCCTGCAAACACCTGTACATGGCTTGAGTTAACGTCATGTGGGTGGCCATTGCAATAGCCTCGCTGATAAGCATGTACCATCCAAGAATCTGGAGCCCACGCTTCGCCCCAGTGATTTTGTTTTTCTCGACGGGAACAAGTAAGGCTTATCACCGGCGTGGTGTGATGACGTCATGTGCAAGCCACGTCTACTCGCTACAATCGGGTCAACACTTCGAACCCCGGAATTTCAACTCTGGCAGGATCTCAACCACGGAGGCACCAGCTTCCAAGGGCTGCCATTAATTTAGACGGGCAAGACTGAACGCTCTAGACGTAACGAAAAGAAACCTGTGCAGGAACGCAACGAGAACACTTACGTGCTGCCTCCCGATATGAACCCGTTCTTCTGGTAGTAGGTTCCGTCCAATGCCACAGCCTGTAGAAAAGTAAAGAATTAAAGTTCTTTAATTACGAAAAGCCTCACTGTTATTATGCATGCTCAGTCAATTGGCAAAGGGAATCTTTCCCAAGCAGAGGTACACTTTGCACTTCTCATTTTTGCTAAACTTCCTCTTCTCTTCATCCCTCCCATCATTGCTTCGATACCGTTGCAACTGGGGAGACAAGCAAAGTAAGGCAGCTTTGCAGAAGAAAAAAATCGGAATATCAGCCTTCAACCAAACACCTCTGGACAGGCACATATCCATGTGGGGGGGGGGGGGGGGGCGTCCATAAGGCCCTCTATTCATTTGAAATCTTCTATTTTGGTGGGGCCTCCTCTCCCCACTCCCCCCCCCCCCCCCCCCATACAGCATTTTGACATCAAATCACTAACCGAATCAAAATCCTAACTATGTGCCTGCCTCTAGACAAGAACACACTGGCTCAATGCAGCTTCATTCTGATTAATCAAATACTACACTACAGACATATTAATCTACACACACTTCTAACTAATTAAAACAAATCCTAAATGTCTAGTTGGCTGGCTATTACTCTAATGTGCCGGTAAATCACTTGGCTCAAAAGCAAAATACCAATAATTCATGTTTCATCACAAACTACAGGCAAGTTCTCAAAGCGACACGTACTAGCCTCGCTATCAGACTCGTAAAGTCATGCTGTTGGCACTATGAACATGCAATAATCGGCAAAACTGGTATGCTGCTCTTCCAAGGATTCCAAATTTTATACAGCACCTCCCGTCACTGTCCCGTCTCAAACCCTACTTCCAAGTTACATTTTACCAGTCCTTTACACATATTAAAGTTCCGACGACAATCTGGGCCCCGTGGGAGTACACAATGGCGGCTCTATTGTCAGTGCCAGCTCATGGAATGCAAAGCGTAGCTCATTATGTTCCATTTCTCACTCCGTCCTTTGTTTTTCAACTTTCTTATTGGCTAATGCCACAATCACATTGACTGTGGAGCGATAATAAAAAGTTTGAGACTCAATAAGCCCCTTGTTTCTTGTGCTGTCAGTCGCCTATGTGCTCCACCATTTCAAACAACTAAATGTGCATAAAAAAAAAAATTTGGTGCAAATTGTAATGCAGAACATCGCATAAAAAAATAAAATTGCCGTGCAGATTGCCGTGGAAAGGTAAATGCTATCGTAACACTGCAATAGCATTTAGCGCCGCCTAGTACTAAATGTTTCTTTATTGTGCTGCTTAGGATGTGCTGCAAAAACTCTAGGAACATTTGCTGTTGACGTCCAGCAAGTCTTGTACACATTTAAAATCAATTCACCGCATTTTCTGCTCTAACCGCCAACTTCCCCAACGTCTTTTGTAGTAGCATTAATGCAAAATAAATGTTTCTCTCTTACTATATGTGTATAAACATAGTATGCCTACAAACCTAATAAGACCCCCGATAACTGATTTGCCTTTCTCAGCTACTATGTCGTACCACGTTCATTGGGCACATTACCCCCTGCACCGACGACCGAACTGAGTATATAACGGGTGCGTGCCGCTCGTTTTGTTGGTTACAAACTTAGTGTACGGACGCAAAAAAGCGCAAAGTCCAGTCGGAGATTCCGTCGATCTACAGTGCTCACGTCGTAGCGCTTGTTGTCACCCAGGTCGTAGGCGACGCGGCTGGCATCGTCGGCCGTCTCACAGACCAGGGCGTTGTTGGTGGCATACAGCACGGCCCGCTTGATCGCTGGGGGGTCGTACTGCAGAACGTCGTACAGCAGCTTCACGTTCTTGGGCTGCGAGATGGTCCTGTGCACAAGACGTGGATGACGCTCACCCTGGTTCGACGTCTTTCTCCCTCTATACATACAAAACATGAATTCTTAAACTGTGTTCCTAGGAACCCAAGGGTTCCCAAGGGTGCCTTCGGGTGGTCGCCCATCTCCTAAATTTCCTCGACCACCTTCGCGACTAAGTAAAGCATCGTTCCTTTTTAAGCACCATTTGAGCCATCCGTCGACGCGTAACTATGTGGCAAATGTTCCTCAGTATGTAAATGATAGTTTACAAGGTCTATAGGCTCCTGTACTGATTTACTGCATCAAAGCCTAGATTTAGAGGGGTTCCTTGGCTGTCGGCCAAGGCAAGTAAGCGTTCCTCGAGAACAAAGCCCGAGAAAACTCGACTCGGCAGACGAGACTGGATGGAGGGGGAGGAGTAGGGCGTGCCTTACCTGAGGCGCTCCTTGAGGGGCTTGGCGTCTATGTAGTCCAGGGGCAGGAAAGTCTCTGCCTCGAGCATCTGCTCCTTCAGGTACTTGATGCAGGCCCGGCCGGTCTTCTCCGAGTCCACCACAATGGCCTCCATGTTCTTGCCCAGCACCTTGGTGATGGCCACGTTGTACTTCTTGTGTACTGGCTGGCACATGTTCACCAGACGGTCGTACTGCAAGGGCAGGGTGACACGCTCAGTAAGCGCCTACGGCAAAGCCGCGCGAACCATAAAAGCTGGTCTTCGCGGCACCATTTTCTTGCATTACAAAGCTTACGCATGCTTACGTCGAGATACAACCGCAAGTCCCCAGCACGTTCGTGCTTCGTACGAAGTGTTACAACCAGTTAAAGGGAGACATTGCTTTTTGAGGCAAAAAAATACAACAAATAAAAAAGCATTTTTTAAATTACTTTTTTTTTTTAAAGATTGGTAGGCACTTATCATCTTGTCCTCAACAATTTTTGTAAAGTAAGTCTTTCTCATTTTTATATATTTTCTTCGAAACAACGTAAAATGGGTCTGTGGATGCTTTTTTGCTATTATCTCTGAGTGGACTATTTACACACTTTGCTATATTATGGAAGCCATATCTCCACTGGTACCATATTCAATCTTCATTATTTATTCTTTTTCTCGTAGGTGTATGTGTGACATATGCAATAAGGGGTGTAAATATATTAAATATTGTACAGTCGAACCTCGATATAACGAACTTCAATGTAACGAAATCCTCGATTTAACGAAGTATTTTATTTTTCATAATTTCTTGCCCATAGACCCCATGTATTTTTAGTCTCTATATAACGAAATCGAGTTTGCTGCTATTTCAATATAACGAAGCGCCATTGCCATAGAAGGCAATAAATAAATCAACTCTAAAAAACAACTTCGCAAAAAAATTGTGGTTAAAAAAAAACATTATGCGCAAACGCGAGCGCTTGATAGGTTACTTCACGGGGACAGGCCTTCCAACGTTCCTATAGTCGGTTACAAGTCAAGAAGGTAGGAGAAGCTCCTCCCACAAGTGTGATGCGCCCGTTTCAAATCTCTCCGCAGTCGAAAGAAGAGTTCACTGGAAACGCCCCTTGTTCCGCTTCAATGGATTCCCACTTGTCTCCGATCCCACTTTTTAAGAAAGCGGCCTTTGTATTCATCGGAGAGGAAACCGAGCCCCTGAAAGCAGCCTTTGTATCCATCGGGGGGGAAGCTAATCCCCGAAAGTCGTGTTTGTTTCCGTCGGTGGGGGAGAACTCTAATCTCCCTCTCGTGGCTTCCACAATGCTAAGTCAAAGTCGAAAGATAAAGCAAATATGTACAGAAAGGCAAGACCCTCCTCGCGCGTTGGCCGCGACGTCACGGAAACGGTGGGACGCTATTGGATGCGGAGGTGGCGGAGGGATATCTGATTTCCTTTGAGGGGCATTTGCCGCTACCTTCTTAACCTGTAACTGACTAGGCTGCCCGAGGATGCGGCGCCGGTAGCGCCGGCGAGGCATGCGGCAAAGCGGATTCCGCGGGGCTGGCCAGAAAATGCCGAGCAAAAAGTTAACACGACATAACAGCATCACCACTGACATTCACTGATCATCATAGTCCACTGTACCGCGAGTAGCGCGGGAGCCAACTTCAGCGGGGGAGTGGGGGGAGCGACGTGATGGCGCGACCGCGCGACCGCACGGGCAGTGCCATCTAGGAGAAGACCGAGAAGACCGATTATCGTCTTGCGAGCGTGATGTAAAGCAAAGGCGCAAGCACACTGTGGGCGCAAGAGGGCAAGTAAACCAAGTAAACTGTGCGGTCTGTGCGGTCAAGAGTGCTATGTAGGTTGGAAACATTGGCACCGCCTAAACTAAACAACTTTATTTTTTAACCGGGCGGTTCACTCACGTGCTTGCTGCCATAAGGAAACGTAAAGTTCTTTCTTTGGATGAGAAAGCAAACGTTTTGGACGCCATCCTGAAGAAACTGCCGATATCACGAGCACTCGGGAAGTGCTCGACACAATGGACGTACTGAGGAGGTACACGGCGTCACATGGGCAGCAAGATGCCGTGTAAGCGCTCTGGGCGCTCGAACGCCGTATGACTGGTATGACGCCGCTGCTACTGTGTGACAAGGCGCAAGCAAAACTCGCGGACTACTTTGCCCCTACATAAATGTCATTTTCGGTGAGTTTTCATACCCGTAAAATGTTTCGGAATTTTTTTTTTCGCATGCTAAAGCCGAATTTCGATTTAGCGAAATTTCAATGTAACGAAGTAAATTGCGAATTTTACCGACTTCGTTACATCGAGGTTTAAACTGGTTTAACTGTATCACGTTTTTTGACAGCGCAGCTCTTAAAGGAGCTGTGCAACGATTTTAACTAGGGGTGTCGCGAACTTTTGTCGAACCGGATTTTTAGGTCGAACTTTCGTGGTTCGACTGGGTCGAACCGGTTCGACGAACTTTCGAACTTTTAGCCAAATTCGACCGGTTCGACTTTGTGGACAGTGTGGCCAGACCACGATACAAGCATGCCTAGGTTTGGAGAATTCTTTTTTTATGCAAAAAGGTTATTTTAATTTTATGAGCAGTTGCAATTAAAAGCAAGTAATTCTAACCACTGAATAAGTTGATAACTTAATTGTTTGTATTGTATTAACTGAAATAACCAATCAGTGTTGCCCTTCATTCATTCCTTAGCCATCACCATCCAATCCGAAGCCAACTGGCCGGGTTGCCGCGCATGCGCACACGAGTCGAACCTCAATACAAGGTTCGACGAACTTTCTACTAAAAGTTCGAAAAAGTCGAACCTGGTCGAACTCGACCTCGGCCGGTTCGCGACACCCCTAATTTTAACGTTGAAAGAATTGGCATCTTCTGCTTTTGATATTGTTCACCTTGTCACAAATGACAGAAAACACACCTCCTTTCATTGAAATGTTGCGATTACGCCGCGTAATATCGAGGCAAAATTTAGAATATTCCCCGACCTGCAGCCGCGAGCGGCGGCCATGAGAAACACGCGGCGTGACGTTAATGGGGAATTTTGTAAGAGATAGCAAGTTGTGCGAATACCTGCTTGATAAAAGGTAACTTTTCTATAAATCTTTTCGTTCCAACATAAATATAAATGCGTCAAAACCCTGGTATCATCGACAAAACTTTTATTATACGGAGTTTTAGTGGCGCCATCTATCCAAGGTCCACAAAACTATCGGCTCCATCTGCCACCGTGAACAGCCGCCAGAAGCCGAAGGGGGAGGGGGAGAGAGCCTAACCTCCTTGAGAGAGCCGGACGGGTATGGCCGGACCCGGATGAGACTTTCCTCCTTTCACCCCATTGTTCGCGCTGCGCCCGCCAGCACGTCGTAACGCGGTCGCGAGCGGATGAGTTCTCGCTGCTCACTGATGGCTCTAAAGAGAGAACTTTTCCGGAACCCCGCGCCTACCCCATCAACGTCACTGCGCACGTGACTTGGAAGACGATGTACGAGTTGAGAGGCGGCAAAAACCTGGATCTTTTTCATTTTTTTAAATAAAAACTAGGGTATCCAGGCAAAATCTGTTTTTTCTGTAGTTCACTTCAGAAGTGTCAGGCATCAACTTCCATAATAATTTAAGCAAAGCCCTGAAATTGTTGCACAGCTCCTTTCAGCGCCTGCTCCCGGGATAAGTGGCATCAACGTCGGCGTAATTGCGCGTTGCATTATGGGACGTTTCTCCACTAAAGTTAGTGGGGAAATTTTCCCACTGAATTCAGCAGGAAAATTTTTCCGCTAAACTTAGCGGGAGAATGTTTCCACTAAATTTAGCAAAAAAATTTCCCCGCTAAATTTAGCAAGAAAATTCCCCAACTAAATTTAGCTGGTTAAGTTTCCCTGTTAAATTTAGCGGGCTAGGTTTCCCCCCTAAATTTAGCGTGTTAAGTTTCTCTGGTAAATTTAGCCGGGAAATTGACGTCACGTGACCTCAACACCAATTTAGCTTCCCCGCTAAATTTAGCAGAAAAATTTTCGCTAAATTTCCTCGCTGAAACTAACGGGAAAATTTCCCTGCTAAATTTAGCGGGAAGATTTCTGCTAAATTTAACGAGTAAGATTTTGCTAAATTTCCCACTAAATTTAGCGGGAATATTTCTCCGTTAAATTTAGTGGGGAATGTTTGCTAGATTTAGCAGGAAATTTAGCAAAAATTTCCCGCTATTTAAAAGGGGAGCAGGAGAGGAGAAGGGGAGGGTATGGAGGGGAAGGGGCATACCCTCCCCTCCGTACCCTCCCCTCCTCCTCTTCAAGGGCTGCGCTCTAATTCGGCTTTGCAGAGAATTGTAAATGTTTCGTTTTTTCCAGGTGCCTCTCTGCATCAATGAATCATTTCGAAACTAGGAAATTCAAAAGTATCCTAAAAAGCCTATAAGTCATCCTAGAGCTTTCATTATGCCTTACTAGATTCCACAGACCTTTTACTGATATATGTTTATTTTCTGATTTCAGTATTTCAATTTGTCATAACCCTTCCCATAATCTTTTCAAGTTAAATTTTCAATATTAGCACAAAACTAATTAGTAGGTTACATCAAAACCAGGTACATATTTATAGTAGTCAGATTGTAACAGCAGATAAGCTATGTAAATTTGATTTGAACTCAGTTATATAAAAAATGCTCTAGAAGCAGTGTGGACCCTTAAAGGACAACTCCGCTCAATTCCAGGAATTTCGGGGTTTTTGGTGATTATACATTAAGGTATACTAATAAACGGCTCGACGTCGTTTGTTTCTCAAAAAAGGAAATATAATTCTCGTAATCCTTCTTTACTCCTGATCACAAACCGAAACCGAAACTGCGCCCGCGCCTGGCAACATTGGTCCCGCGTCGTCATAGTCTGGGACAAACCACGTGGTACGAACGTCACCGCACGACCTCGCCGACCGCGCGGACGGACGGATCGGCGGAGCAAGCGTCGTTGCGCCGTGTCGTCTGCTCCACGGTCTCTGCTATCCAACGACGTGTGCACTACCGCGGCCGCAGAGTGTTTTGACGCAGAAAAAGGCAAGTTGTTTTAAAGTTATGTTTTGAAACCATTAGTAGTTGAAGCTAAGTAAACCACTCGTAATATGCCAGGCATTGCAGCACAAAACGTTGCTCCGAGACGCAGCAGGTTCGGTCTTCCCGACGACGAGCGCGGAGCGCTCGCTCAGACACTCATCAGCGCATGCGCGTTTTGGATCATGTGGACATCGGTATGCACGCTGCTGGCGCCGCCTGTAAGCTGCGCCTCAATAAAGTAAAAAACAAGAAAAAAAGCGGTCCCAGACTATGACGTGCGGCGCAGTGTTGGCTGTGCCAACACGCGGTATTGACTGCGCTGTTCTCTGCGCCGCACATCGGCCGCTAGAATTAGCAGATTTCGGAGACTTGAGGCATCTCAAACTTTGTTTACCAGTTTAACAAACTTTTAGGCTTAATTACGTCGTAAAACTTGACATGTAGTCTTTCTAGGTGATACTAAAGAGAACTGCGTTGTTTTTTTAGCATCGAAAATGAAGCGGAGTTGCCCTTTAAACGAGTAATTTAGCACGCAGAATGCGAAGCACGGACGGGCCGGTGATTTGCCGTCGTACCTTGACGTGAGTTTACATAAGCTTTGTAACCTAAGGGAATGGTGATGTGGGAACCAGCCTTAATCAGATGGCAGCATCTTACGAGTGCTGCAAAACCCAGTACGGAAGAGTGTCGAATTAAGTGGCACCTTAATTTAAACAGGGCTCGGTAAGTTCCTTTCTCTGCCATACTTTTTGACACTATAAACATCCCAGGGGATGCCATCGATGCCTTGCAGTTGAAATTGAATCCTTGTTTTTCTGCTGACACGAAGGAAATCACTCGCAGCAGTGCAGTTACAAACACTTGTCCGAGATTCTGAGCCAATTTCGCACTAGCCTCCGCTAATAGCACCTGTCCAGACTCAATCTTCTTCATCTCCTTTTTCTTCAGACCCGACTCAATCAATGACTGCGCATGTTCAAGCATAGTCCGCGAACAGATGATGCACTGTTCAAGTTGTCGATCTTCCTGAAGACGAGCTCTATTCGTTCTCGCTTCCCTCGCATCACAGTTCTACCCCTTTTGCCTCTCGTCGTCTTACTTTTCGACTTTTAGCCTTTCTGTGTAAACTTTATGAGACTTCTTCACAGCTTGCAGCAAGTCTGCTGTCAAAGGCACTTTCGTGAAATCACTGCCAAATCACTTTAAACTGCAATCAGCGTAATCACAATCTGGCGGCTCGTATCTTGCTCCGTCACATGCCTCACTGCTCGCTCCCCTTTGTTGCCGAGTTTTCCGCGCAGGGCCGCGGCACACGTTTGCTCCACCATTGGGCACATTCAGTAGTGGTCAAGGAGTCACTGACTCCTTCACTGGACAGCCAAAAGTCACTTCCGGTGCACGTAACTCCGGGGCTTCGGAGTCAAGCTCCGAAGCTCCAAAGCACCGAGTCCGGAGACAGTGCACGTAGAGTCAAAGGAGCTAAAGATGACGTCACTTCCTAACTGGTGACGATTTCCGGCGAGAAAATCCAAAGAGCTCCGACTCGAGTCACTCTGTTCGGAGCAAAGGAGGCGCTACTGAACGCGCCCATTCAGATCTTCAGGTGAAAGGAATCCAGGACTTAAGAAAAGCATGGTAAGCATGCAGCAACGGCAGCTAACGTTGGCGGCAGCAACCTTCAGATACGGATTTTCGAATTCAGATCCACTGGCGTCCCTTTTGGGCCGGTAATTCCAGGGTCAATGTTGCCAACAGAAACTGCGAGAAGGCCGATTTCGACGAGGCTAGTTTATAATTTAAGTTTGGGCACACCTTGGTGCAATTTTGTCCTTATTTATACTTTTGTATCAGTGTGGAGCACAAAAAGTCGTTAGGCACACAGTGGCGCAATTGACGCAGCAGTTCCATCCCTGTTGTACGATCGTGCCTGCTATAATCAAAAGCCCCTCTCGTCTTGCGCTTCTTGTAGTTTTGCCGATACCTCTTGGTGTGATGACAGTGAGGTGTCAGGGCACTTGACGCTGTAGGAAGTGTTGAGCGTAACTTTCGTCCCACTAGAAGTTCCACCGGGGAAAACCCTTCAGGCCCGAGTGTAGTTCGGTGGGCCAGAAGAGCTTGTGCTGTATTTGAAGATTTTTGAAGCAGGTTTTTGCCGTTTGACTGCTCTTTCTGCTTCTCCGTTGCTCTGTGGGTAGTAAGGACTCAAAGTCTTCAGCTGGGCTCCCCACTTAGTCGCAAATACTGTAAAAACCCTTCATTTTCGTGGCCCCTATTTTTCGCAAATCAGTCACAGAGGACATAATCGCGGCCAATAAGTTTTGCGAATTCCAGGTGCCTGCATTGAAACTCTTAAGGACCAACATTTTCGCAAGCCCTTAAATTTTGCAAATTTTTCCATTCGCGAAAATTAAGGGCTTGTGGACATTAAGGGTTTTACAGTATCGGCAGAATTCATTAGATCCAAACTGAGGAGCGTTGTCGCTATGAATAACGACTTCCGTGCAGCCATGTCTTGAGAAGTTCTGTCCAGAAAGTTTAATCACTTCTTCAGTGGTTGTTTGCTGTAGTTCTTCTAGCTCGGAGGTCTTCAAGGAATGTGTGAGGAGAAGAATGTCGACAATACTGAGCCAGGAGAGGCTGTCCGTATCAAGATCAACCAGATCCCCATCGCAGCAGAGAAGACCTGCATGGCTCCGAGACTTTGTTAACTTACACTGCTTTACTTCCACGTCCTGAGTTCCCTGCTTTTGTTTGTTAGAAGGGGAAGATATTGTGTCAGCAACATTGGGTAACATCTGTATATACGCCATACCATTGATGTAACCATCAGTTTCATTCTGCTAGTCGTTCTGGTCGCATCTACTTCTATATGGTCGCCCCAAGGGGCAAGGATACAGTACTGTCGTCGACACTGTATGTTGGATATGCTGTGTTATTTGAGATCTTTCTTATATAAACCCTGTTTGGATAATGCGACACCGTGGGGTATGTATAATATGTTGTTTTGGCTATCTTCTGTGGTCAAATATTTTCGACAGTTAAGATCTTTGTAGATTGACATGGCCGAGTGTATGGCATCATAAAAAATCAGCCTAAAATGAAGCAAACCTTCCAGTTGCATTTGTTCTCTCGTGCACAAACTCACCGAAAATAGCTTTCCTTCGTTTGTTATCATTCTCAAAAAAAGTACAATGCTTTCTTAAAAGCCTCATGAAGTTCTAGTCACCATAAAACACTAGAGAAACAAAAAAATGCAGCAATATAGCCGCCAACAGCATCCGGAATTGGGCCTATGCAGACTGCAGCAGCCCACTGACAAAAAAACCCACAGCCCGGCGCAGTCGGGCAACACTGACATACACTCTCAAAACCAGGGACGCATGCTGTAAATTGCTTCGTTTGAGACTGCCGCTAGAAAAGTTTCTAGGCTGGCTTTCGCCTCTCCAGGCCCCTACCCATATACTTTATCTCAGAACTTCCGTGCAGCATTATGGAACTCACAGGCAGGAAGGGGAAACAAGCCCATTTTGTGCTAATTTTGAGTGGCAAGATAATTCTTAATGGACACAAAAGCAACGCTCGGAACAAACAAAAGAGAGTCAAAGTAAGAGAGGAACACCTCCCTCCCCTCCTTTCCAAATGCATGCATTACACTCTTGCCCTTGTACCTTTAAGGACACTGCACACAACTAGTGAAATATAGTTATACCATAGATTTGCCGGTGTTTATAAATGTTTTTCTGTGTTCATTCGTTTTTCAAATATCGGTCTATTTTGAATATTTGTTTCGGGCAGATGCTAAAAAGGGTGATAATCAGATCAAAAATCTCACGAAAAAATAAGAGTTCACGTCTAAGAGACGACAATTTCAACAAAAACAGTCCTAGGTGAAGTGAAATTTTCCAGAAGTTTTTGTTTTTCGATTTGAACCAATCTTGCATTTTTGATACCGACGGAATCAGTGTTTTTAGATTAAAACTGGAAAGGGTATGGGCTAAATGTAGTATGAAGAGCCCACAATGAAGGAAGATATGGGCATACCACGCCGGAGTATAGCTGCTTGAAGTGGTCGACAATCTCGGCCTTCTTGCGGCGGCGGGAGTCCTCATGCTTGTCCACCTTGGCGTCGCCCATCTCGTTCATGAGGGCCTCCAGCTCCCGGTTGATGGCCGCCACCCGAGCCTTGGCCTCCCCCACGTCCCGGCTCACCTCCTGTTCCTGTCGACGCAGCTCCTCCAGGCTTGCCTCGCTCGACCTGGGTCATGGGACAGGGCCTTGGCAGTCGCCCACTACCTTTTAGCATCCACCTACACCTGCTCTTTATTGGCTGGCCCTCTTAGTGCCCACCCATTATTGTTTGCTAACAATCTCATTAGGGGGCCCACTGTCGGCTATCTCTGGACCACTTCTGTTCAGTTTATTTCTTAGAGGAACCGTGAATTGTTCGTTTTGAATGACTGGTACTGCTCAGAATAAACACGCCAGATTCGCAAAGCATGAAACGGGCATAAATTTTTGTTTATGCACGTAGCTTCTAGCTGCGAGTGCATCGACGAGGCTCTTTTACTCCTCAACTCGCCGTTGTTTCCCTTGATTGACCAGCCCCACCCCCCTTTGAACGAAGGAAACTAGGAAGGAGTCCCTTCCTGGCGACAGAAAATCCGTCTACCGTAAAATCCCGTAGAAATGCCCACCCCCGAGTGACTGCGCATCCTGTTTTTTGGGCCGAACATCTATAACACAAACATTTCGAAACATCGCCCACCCTCCCGGTTTCTATCGGAAAACGATCGCGCGACTTCTCGACAGGAATCACGCCAACTGCGTGATATTCAGTACCGGTATGTACGACAAGCGTGTTCACCTCGTGTTTCCTCGTGCATATCACACCGTGACACGTGAATCCACCACATCCGCGATCTACGGTATCCGTTCCTGTGAGGTACAAGTTCGTTGCTCATTTCCACATTACTCTGTTTACGATCGGCAAGTGCGGCGTCGGTTCCCGTGACATCTAAGTTTGTAGAGGTTTCTCATTCGTTTATCACACCGTGAAACGCAAATCTGCTGTGTCCACAATCCGAGGTATCCATTCCAACAGACATGCGAGTTCAAAGACGACTCACGCATCTTTTTGTCCGTGATCCGCATGCGCAACGTCAGTCCCCGCAACGACCGAGTTTGTGGTGGACTCGAAAGTGTTTATCGCACCGCCAGCGCATATTTGTGGCGTCCGCGTTCTGCGGCGTCCGTACCCAAAACGGGGGGTTCATTGCGAATTCCCGCGTGCTTGTCACCCTGCAGAATGCGAATTCCCCACATCCGCAACCTGCGTCGCCGGTTCCTGTTTTACATAGTTTTACGTAGCGCGGCACGGAGGCACGAGTGCGGCAAACGCCACCCGACACCACTCCTTCCACAGATTCTCCCCGAGACGGCAGACTACAGCACCTGGAACGCAACCCCGACTGGTGCGCTTACGGTCCTTCCTTGCCTGCGCATCAAAAGTGGTCCCAAAGTGGCAACAAAGCGCGTCGCGCAAGTCGGCGTGCCGCGCTGTTGGGTGTCACAATCCAGACGGTTGGTCGTAGAAAAGCCAGCGAAAAAGGCGAACAGACGCAAGGATCGTCATCATCGTGGTGTCCGCCTTGGTTACCGTCGACCATCTGGTTGCGGAGCGACCCACAGCGAAACGGGCATTCTCTCTTGGTGGAGGCAGAAAGCTTCTGGAGGCGACATGACGCCACCAGAGGTGGCACTGTGTCTTTTCCAAAAGCTTCTTACCTCTGTGGCTCGGTTCGACTCTGCCGCCACGCCGTCACCGGAAACGCGGCAAGCAACGAAGCAATGCTTTTACAGCGTCATCAGAAGGCGGTCGAGGGACCGCTCTTGAGCGTGCGGCGAGCGCGGCGATCGGAAACGCGCTACAAGCCCCATGGCGGCACGCACCTGATCTGCTCGCCGAGCTTGTCGACGCGCCGCAGGTTCTCGTCGAGCTCGGCTTTCTTCTGGCGGGCCTTGTTCTGGGTCTCCTGGCGCTTGCGCACCTCGTTGTCGTGCCGGTCCTGGTCGGACTTCTGGTCCCGCCGCACCGAGTCCAGGTTCTGCAGGTGCAGCGACGCCTGACGCCCGGCCTCCTCCTTCAGCTGGTGGTACTCCCGCAGCTGCCAGGGGGAGAGCACATAAATTTCATGAGGCAAATCTAGAGCAGGGGCTCTCATTCAATCGATCGATCATTTCTTTTATTTTTACGAGGCAAGAGAAATCAAAGTTGCTTCACTGAGTACCACTTGAACTTGTTCCAGTAAGTTTCTGCACATGCGCACACCCTCTCTCCCGGCCTCGCTTCCCACGGTCTCCATTTTCGCAGGGCATCATCCCGCACAACCAACATTGTCAGCGCCTATCTTTCCGCATATTTCGTCTTTTATTACGATAGCATTCTTTAGCTACACCCCACCAAACTTCTTGTACTTTATGGCCTCCTAATGCACAGTAGACCATTTCAGCTGCGGATTTTCTAACAGTGCCCAGTGGTCAAGCAACAACCACTTTCTGCGTACAGCAAGCAAGATGACTGATTTCCTCTGGTAGTCCTTCATCCCACACCCAAAACTTCTTTGCAATCAAAACAAGGAACGCCAAGGCGAGTCTGTCATTATGCTGGGGGATGCGTCTCTTCCTGTGCACCTAGTCCAGGTTCTTGAGAATGGTCCAAAATTCTGTATGATGCCCAAAGGGCAGAGCGCCCATATGTTATCTACCGTTCATGACATTGCGGCTAAAGCATAGAAGACAACAGGCCCTGATGCATCATGACTGGGTTGATGTAGTAATGAAGGTAGGTTCTAATCATGCAAGCGAAGTGAAACTATCAAGCATTGTGAGGCACTTTCATCGTAACAATTTAAATCTGTTAATGTCCTACAAAGACAAAGAGGGAGCCTTTGTTGTGGCACCGCAAGATATGTACCTAGAAAAGGCAGAGGTGGTCATAAGAAAAAACATCAACCGCCTGCCCGGCTTCAAACTGAAAGTTGTCAAGGCCAAGGCTCTTCGCAAGCCATCAGCAGGTCTCCAACGAATCGAATTTGACAAACAAATCGCCGTGGGACGAAAGGACAGCCTCGGGCTTTACACGGGCACACCCACCTGGGAGTCCTCGAGGGAAAAGTCCCTGCCCTGGCTCTCGGATTCCTCGCTGAGCTGATGCTCAAACTCCCGTATGCGCTTGTTGATCTCCTCCAGCTCCTCTTCTAGCTCCGAGATCTCCCCCTGGTGCGTCTCGTCCACCTTCTTGGCTGCCTTGTACGACTTCCTGGGAAAAACAACGCGACAAAGATGGGTCAGCGTAAGCAAACAATGAGTACAAAGAGCCACCAATAAAGTCTATGCCTATTTCTGCTTATAAAAGCTCAAGAATGTGCGAGAAAACACACCTTAAATGTTTTCTGAAGCGAGAGTTGGCTTGAGGCACCAACTACATGAGCTTTAGCAGACAAGCCAACTCGGTAACATTCCAACCTTTCTTTGCTATTCGCTCGAAACCGGTGGGTACAGCGCACACAAAAGACAAACGTGGAAGAAAGTAGGACACGAACGGCGCCATGTACATTCTACTTTCTTCTGTGTTCCTCTCTTGCGTGCATTAAACTCGCCAATTTGAAACATGTTCCACCAATTAGCCCGACCCTTGGTCTTAACAAGTTTCTTTGCTATTACTTTGTAAAGCACTAAAGGTTGCCGACAAAAATAAAGGTTGACAGTTGCCGGTAAGTCAAGACTTGGCAAGTAAGACGAAGACAAATTTTTCAGTCTTTTACCACGGGACGAGACGCTTGTTTGTAGGACTCTCAAGTATTTTTTTTACCTGCACTCTTTTACCACGGGACGTGACGCTTGGTTGTAGGACTCTCAAGTATTTTTTTTACCTGCACTATAAGAATATTTTGCGGATACTATAGTCAAGTTTATAGGGATTCCATTTCAATCGAAACCAATAACTTACACACACTGCAATAATAATAATAATAATAATAATAATAAGAGTAATAATAGTCTTTATTTTTCCTGTGCCCACAGACAACCTAACGGTCTACTGAGTGGTGCACATAACAAGTGAAATACTATTTATATAAGATACAATATACTGGTCATTAATACACTAAATAGGAAACACAAAATCTAGCACCGTGTATCGACGGTTTGAAAATCCTACCCCATTCTCCGGGGTATTTGGGAACAATTTACACTGACACACACGAATCACGCAAGACGCGAGACGGCTCCGCACCTGGCTGCCTCCAGCTTCTTCTGCATGTGCGCCGTTCGTTCCTTGGCTTTGATGAAGGCAGGCTTCTTCTTGTTCAGCTCCACGTCCTGCAGTCGAAGAAAAGGACCGGGCGGACAGATCATCGGCCAACCTTGCTCCCAAATGCCGAACTTCTAAGGTGCTTATGACGAAGGACGCCCGAATAAACAGACCGATTTCTAAGTTAAGCTTCGCGCACCTGGGTTGGTCCCACACCTCTTGGGGTTCTATGTAACCCGCCAGAGGCCAAGGTGGGTGTTATATTTGTTTGCAACACTGGGAGGCCACCAGGGGGTTACAGTTACTAGTACGGCCACAGATAAGCGTCCCAGCGCTCTCGTCTTCCCTCTCGTTGACCGCGCCGGGAGTACTGGCAGTGGGCATTCTGCCAGCATCCAATAAACGTGTAACGGTGGAGCAGATTGGACTTGAGTGCCGTGCCGGGGTTCAGCCGGCGTTCGCATTCAATTGGTGAGGACACGGGTTATGGCCAGATGCCGACGTGGCGCTCGGTCCGTGCCCCCTGCCGGTCTATACACCAACTCATGTTTACAAACAAACCAGAGCGCCCCTAGCAGACGCCACCGGCGCTGCGCATGCGCAATGGGGGTGTGGGCAAGAAGCTCGCCGTCGCCCATAAACAAACCATTGGAATGCAATGTTGTCGGCGTCAGTGTGAGCCCCCCTGCCCTTTTTCGCGTTCGAATTGTTGATTCTATGTCTTCCTGGCGATGTCTGACTATCGTGAGCAGCGTCAGGGGAATTACCGAGGCTCGTTACACTGCAAAACTTCCGAGTGAATAATGTGACATGTGGCGATTCATTCCGCGTGGACGCAGCAGTATGTACGCTAAAGCCTGATTCGCATGATGCGATTTCGCTCGCAATTTTCAGTCGCGACACCGCTCGGGCTGCAAAAGCGTGAACCGTAGCTGAGATAGTCGACGTCGAAACTGAAAATCGCAAGCAGAATCGGACCAAGTGAGTTAGGAATAACAAGTCGGTGATGGTCACTGGTAACAATGATCAACATCTCCTTGTATCTACTGTTTACATCGAGCCTGCTTACCAACCTTCAAATTTAAGTCTTTTGAGGCCTGCACTTGCTTCTTATCGCAAGTACCGGGCCAACATTTGGTCTACGGGCCGGCGTCGTCTAAGAGAGCAGACGACAAGCAGAAACGTTTGAAAGAGCAGACGACAGTTCGAACGATCAGACAGCCGTTTGAACTTAAAGACGCACTAAACGTAGTCCACAGGTGGTCCGCACAACTTGACGGTTTTCTGGCGTTCATGTTGAAACAAAACAAATAAATCTGATGACCACAATTATCCGTGAATTCAACCCAAAGTGCTTTCCGCCCAAGCAATCGTTGTCCAACGGCGTCTGCTTTTCCCTTTTCACGGCACATATCCAGATTCTCGGACGAACCGAGCACGTGAAAACTGACCTTCACACTTTTCTCGACACTTTTGGTACGACCCCAGTCACGGCGTTTTGACGAGAAGTCAAGTTTTTGTCTGGTTCCTTTCAAAACAACGCAGGAATACACGTCTGGCATGGGGACTTCTACCCACAGCCCCAGACCGGAAGTGCGACCGACCGACGCGCCACCACTGTGCCGTGACGTCACAGAGTTGAGTTTGTGTATGGAGGGTGACATAAAAGGTTTAGAAATACGGCCTCGCTATCTAGGAGCTGCAGGTTGGTCACGGCTTACAACAACAGTGCCAGGACATTTAGTGAAGCGGCGGGACTTCAATAAAATTAGAGGCAACTCTTCTAAGAGGAACTCCCAAATGACAGGAACGAATTGAACCCAACCCATTTATATGCTTGGCTCTAAGTAGGGTTCACCTGCTTTTAATAAGAGAAACTCCGACAAAGGAAACCAATTCCAAGGGTTCCAAAGGTTTAAAGAGTTTCTTCTGTAGTGAGGTTTACCAATATGTTCACTTATCCATTCCCATTGCAATAAATGTCGGGCTATTAAATGGTAGGTTCCCTCTACTACAGAGACAATTTGGATTATTCTGCTCGAAGCTTCCGCAACTGTCGATAATACCGATATGACTAGCCAAATCAAAAAAGAGGCAGTATAGAACGTCTGAAGCAGGACAGCATTACTTTTCTGGATTCCCAATATGAGTCACAAATGGACCCTAGCCTTGGGACTCTTCAAACATTGTAGCTTCGAAATTTGAGGGACGGCCAAGGAGCCCTCGCCTTTCTTGGCATTTGTATAACGAGCAGCTTGCGAGTTAACTGCGCCATCATTGCAAGATGCTAAGGCAGCTCACAAACAGACAAGTTCGGCAGGAAAAAAAGAAAGAACAGCTTGGCAGTGTCGCAGAAGAAAGAGCAGCTTCTATGCTTCATTTGCAAAAAACCTCTTTGGGGAATTGAGTGAGGAAAGCAAATAATAAGACGAAAATTACAAAAAACGAGGTCAGCGAAAATTTAAAAAACAAGGAAGCAAGAGAGAAGGGAAAGTTAAAAGAAAACAAGAGGTAAAAAGAGAAAGAGAGAGACGGAGGGAAGGAGATGCAGGAAACTCACGGCCTCCCGTATCTGCTGCTCTATCTTGGCCATCTCCCGCTGCATCTTGCCGTGCTCCTTCCTCTTGTCCCTCACCTCCTCCTCCACCTTCTCCTTTCGCCTCACCACCTGCAGGGGAAAAACGGTCCGTGCATTCCAACACTCTTGGCCTCTCTTGTGAAGCTCGGTGCATTCCTCTACCAATGTGCAGACATTGAAAACTAGATTGCACGCTTGTCAGACAAGATGACCTTCTTTCCGTCGCAGGTCTCAAGACCGGCACTACAACTCTGAAGCCATGGTGGCCCTCGCGTAAGATGCATCCAAGTAAAGATGTAGCGAACGGCCTTTCTGATAACATCTCTTTCTGGGCTCTCGTCTGCTGCTCTCCACACAAAAGGCATATCCAAAGTTTAATTCATAGTATTTCAAACGAGCATGATGCACAAAGAATGGCAATAGCTGACTGTTAGTGTCCCAGCTTTTTTTTTCCAATTTTTCGTGACTTCTGGAGACAAGACAAAACAAGATGAAGTCCAGTCCACAAGCAATAATGTGACAGCCTAAGAGGTTAAATAAGGGCCCTCCAGTCTTACAAAGACAGCTCGGGAGAAAATTGGGTCTGGCTCAAAATCGAAGACCCCAAAACATGAGCAGCTTGAAAAACACAGGAGAACAGCCGTGCTGGCAGGCCACGCACCTTCTGCAGCTCCGTGGTCTTGTGGCTCATCTCGTCGCTGAGGCGCTCCAGCTCTTGCTGGATGTGGTAGAGCTTGAATGTCTGGCACACCACCTGGCGCTCGTTCTGGGACAACCAATCAGGTTAAGCAGACTCAGAAAGGACGGCCACAATAGAGAGAAAACACGTTTCCCTACCCCCTAAAACATAAAACCTAGCCTTGACCCGCTTATAGTGCTGAGAGGATTTTTCTAATGGATAGGCCTGTGGCTCTCTATATTCCATTACTCCTTGAGCTGACATTGCAGTGGGAGCCATGTGCTTGCAGGACCAATCAAACGCCTTCCTTTCGTTACCAGACCCCGCCTCCTGCGCATGGATGTGGGCAGGAGCATGATCGCGTGGCGAAAGATTAATGTACAACTTTTAGCTTAATGGTGAACAAACGATAGAACAAGTCTAAAAGATGACTTCGCTCTAACACATCATGGCAAGCTATCTTATCATGAGACGGTCATGGTTTGTTATGTGTCAATGACACAACTAGGGGTGTCGCGAACCGGCCGCGGTTCAAGTTCGACCAGGTTCGACTTTTTCGAACTTTTAGTGGAAAGTTCGTCGAACCTTGTATTGAGGTTCGACTCGTGTGCGCATGCGCGACAGGCTGGCCAGTTGGCTTCGGATTGGCTGGTAATGGCTAAAAGATGAATTAAGTGCAGCGCTGATCGGCTATTTCAGTCAATACAGTACTAAAATTTAAGTTATTGACTTCTTCAGTGAATAAAATTAGTTTCTTTCAATTGCAGCTGTTCACAAAATAAAATAACCCTTTGCATAAGAAAAGAAATTCTCCAAACCTAGACATGCTTGTATCAAGGTCTGGCCACACTGTCCACAAAGTCGAACCGGTCGAATCTGGTGAAAAGTTCGAAGGTTCGTCGAACCGGTTCGACCCAGTCGAACCCCGAAAGTTCGACCAAAAAATCTGGTTCGACAAAAGTTCGCGACACCCCTAGACACAACAGGCAGAGGGAACATGCCGTTTCCCAGTTGCCAGACTCCCAACCGTGGTCGTTAAAGCTGTCGGCATCTCGAAAAAGACTGACGAGCTCATGATACAAGTGTAAAGCAGTGAAGAGAGCTGGTTGTAATAAAAGACAGGCATTTCGTCAATTTTTACATAGACTCAATAAAAAGGTGGCTCTTACCTGCATACTGTCTGCACTTGACTTAAGACCAGAAAATATTCAACGGAAGGATAACAGTCACAATCATTTGGTTAATTAACTGATATATGATAATTAACTTGTTAACTTACTGGCTTTAATCGCGATGTAACTACTGTCTTGAAGGTAGCCAATGTTGTTGGCCAGACCAATTTTGCAATTACCGAAAAAACAATGTTCTGAAATACTATTCCATCATTCTTCACCTTCCCATTAGGGAGTTTTAGGATCACGCACCCAAGTTTAGCGCATGTTAGCACTAACGTTAGCGCAAGTTTAGCAAAGATTCTGATGAAAAGAACTATAGAAAGGTACTACGAAGGTACTGGGGAGGTACCAAAGAGGCGTACCAGGTCCTCCTTGAGCCGCTGGTACTTGTCTGCCTCCTCCTTCTCGAGGCGTGCCTCCTTCTTCTCGGCTGCAATGCCCTTCTTCTTCTGGTACGAGAACTGTGTGTCCTCCTCCGCCTTGATCATCTCATTGCGCAGCTGCTCGTACTCTGCCTTGTGGTCCAGAGAACTGGGGGGCACCACGCGCAACTTCCGTTACGAGACGGGTTCTATATAGGCTGCACCCGAGAGCAACCCAGAAACCAATTTGTATGGGCAGCTTGCCGGGAAAATACTGCTTGCATAGGCAACGGTTTTTAATGAGCTGTCCGTGGTAATTCCATTTAGAAATTTTCCCACGTACCTGCTCAGATTGTCAGCCGCTATGTCACTTTAAATTCATCCACTTTTATAACTTTTCCCTACGGCTTTGCAGCGACCTGGTAGTCAATGTTTTTGTTTTACTCTCCAAAATTTCCAAACTAAAATAGGGGGGGTTTTTTGGGGTTTTTTTTTTTGTTGTTTTTATGTGTGATTGGATTATGAGTGGAATTTCCACTCCCAACCTTGAAACTAAAAAAAAAAAAAATGAAATGCTTTTTTTAATTGAAACTTGTAAAGTTAAAGTCTTTGCAGTTGAAACAGGCAAAACTGCTCTTCTCAATAAGATGGCTACGTCTACAGATATTTTCAATGACAGCATTAGGATAATCGTACTAGGGTGGTGTCTCATTTTATAGAGAGCGAAAAATAAACATTATGATTTCTCAACTCGGGTCGCGCTTACGGCACAAGCGTTGGACAAAACCAAGTTCTTCCAACATCTGCAATGCGTTGCGTTGCAGATGTTGCAACGCAACGCACTGCGTTGCGTTGCAACATCAATGAAGGGCACTGCGTTGGAGAAACTCGGGCAGTGGGCACTCACTGGGAGATCTCTTCGAAGAGGAGGGTGCGTTCCTTGGGGTTCTTCATGGCAATGGTCTCCACGTCCCCTTGGAAGACCAGGAAGTTCTTGGCCTTTACATTGATGCTCAAGTCTTCCAATCGACTCAGGTACTCGTCCAGGGAAACAACCTATGCCGCAAAGACATTCGGGCCAGGTCAACAAAGCTGCAACGATGCTGGCATGGAACGATATTGGGCTCATTGAATTTACCCACACCAGCCTACAACGGCGCGGTAGAGCGTAACGTGGTGCGGAAAACTGCAGGGCAATGTATAGACCCTTTTCTTAAAAGCGCCAGAAGGAGGCACCGTTGGCAATTTACATTCCTGAGAACTTTTAATCAAATGAGAGGAGACAAACAATCTTCACTGCAGCACAACTTCTTGCAACGTCCCTGAAATTTTTTGTGACCAGTTCTCCAGAAGGTTAACTAAAGGTCTGGTTAGCGAGATATTTGTTGATATTTTATTACTCCTGCGAGGCGACCGATCCCCTCTTAAGCGCGGTTCAAACAGACTCGGAATACGGAACCCGGGAGCCGGAACCCGTACCGACGTAATTACTTCCGGCTCCCGTTTACGGGAGCCGACGTCACGGTTTGATTTGAACGGCGCGCGGCACGGGTCCCCGTATACGGGAGCTGACGTCAAGGCGGCTCCCCAGGCAACCAATCAGCGGCTGTCGTCAAGTCGGGTCGTCGCCCGGGCAGCCCGGACGCGCGGCGCGCTCCGTCTAGAGCGGCACACGCTTTGTTTCGTGATGGCGTCGTCTCGGCAGGATCCCGGCTACGAAGCTCGAATTGCCTCACTTGTGAACCTTTGTGTAGTGAGGTGCGTCACAAATGCAAGAACTATCAACTGGCGTCGGCTGACTACTTCCGCGGCTGCGTGTGAGCAGTACCTACGGAGCGTGAAGAAAAAGAAGAAGCGAAAGGCCGTCCGCGAGCTCCTGAAGCCTCAAAAAATGCTTGACGAGTATGCCACCATCGTGAGACAGATGTTCGAAGACCCCGACGGCCGAGAATTCTTCGAGTGCTTCCGAATGTCACGAGCCAGGTAGGGTGTGGTGCTTTTTATTTTGGATTATTTTCATGTTATATATCAAGTGGCATTCCACGTGGGCCCGCACGTCACTCACAGGTATACTCACCTGGAGCGTGTGCTCCCGCAGTAAAAGCACCTTTATACCATTTTTAACGTGGCAGGATCACGAGAGCAGCTTTCGTAAGAGTCACACGCTTGTCAAATTTTACTGCGTCTGTGCTATAAAAAAAATAGCAATGGCATGCACATGTGCAGCTCGTACGAAACACTCTTTCGGTCCACTAAATCTGGTCGTGGTGTTGTGCTCCTTTGAGTGCATGTATGACCGAAGCCCGTTGTGCTTCCTTGTACTTTGTGCTAGCTATGGTGTGTGCTTACAAGCTGCTTAATTCTGCACGAAAGCTCGCGCTGCAGAACCCAGGGATCTTGGGTGCGATCCCCACCCCTGCCCGTTTCGATCTGGATGAGCATCGTACCAGCAGACGTTTGTGTTTCACTACTGCGTGACGGGTGTTAAAGACCCTAGGCGAGCGGTCGTACAGTACTGCCTAAAAACTGGTCTGCAGCGCGTACCAGTGTCGTTGACCTTTTGCCGGATGTAGCTCGCACACACAATGGTTGCAGCTAGGCACGTAGCAAGGATTTTGTTTCGGGGGGGGGAAGGGGACTTTGTCGGTCGCAGAGTGCCCAAGGCTGGCAAAACATTGTGTATAAAAAAAAAAAAAAGAAAATGAACAAATGAGTTGCTTCATTACAAGTGTAGTGAACAAGCATGCCCTCAAAGCTGGAAGCTTAGCACATTTGCTTATTAATAACATCCCACTGCCTTTCCAGGTCTCTCTGCAGTCAGTCAAGTCAAACACTGCCTGCCTCTACAAACGGCCTTTCTAAAGGCCACTCATATTTGCATTGAAGATGCCGTTTCATTGGGTTGCAGCCACCCCCGTGTCTCCGAAACCGTGTCAATAAATTATTAAAAGCAGTATCGAGTTCTTTCACTTGTCCCGGTCCTTGTGGTCGCTACGATACCTGTCGTAGATCCAGGGGTACCGCTGAACTAGCTGAACTAATCCATAGGCTTTCTCGGGTACGTCAAACGCAGCGGCACTCTTTGCAGCTTCAGCTGCTTTCCTCGCGTCGGAGACGGGCGGGAAGTTCATCGCCGGAGCTTTTCTTGCAAGCAAGCACAAAGCGTCTGAGGCATTTGCACACCGGTGGCAAGGAAGGCGGAGGAGGGAAGCGCGCATGGCACGCCGCGCTGATTGGCCGCGGAGAAAATACGGAAACCTACGTCACGACCCGGGAAGGAGAAAGTTGAAAATTTTTCAACTCTTCACTCCGGGTGCCGGAAGCCGTAATTACGTCACCGCCCGTACGGAGGGAGCGCTGACGTCACTACGGGTTCCGGCGCCCGGGTTTGCAGTCCGGGTCTGTTTGAACCGGGCTTTACTTTTTGAATAGCAGAAGCAAGTACCTCACTAAATCCCCGACTTTGTGACTTCCATAAAACTTCGTCCTCGAACATTTTGACATCCACAGGCTCAGAAGGCCTGCCAAAAAAGGAGTGACCTGAAGTCTCTTGGGAGCCAAGAGGCAGCTTGTGTTTGCAAGCGGAAAAAGGGCCTAGAGGGTGTCTACCAATGGATATTACCACCGTAAAACGAGCCGGAAAAATCATTGCCTGAACACAGAAAGCTGAAACTTTTACCGGATGTGCATTTAGGTTGTGCATTTTACCTGGGGAAATGTCAAAGCATAGCTCCCTTCCTGCAAAAATCGAGATCAGCAAACTTGTTCCGGTCAACGGCAGACATGTTTGCAGACGACCTAGTTAGCAATGATTGTAACTAACGGCGCTATCTGCAGATAAGTGCAGTGAGCGCATCATACGCTCTTTCATCTATTTACAGGTGCCAATTTTTGAAGTATAGACGCTTTACACACGCGCCAGAATACAGCCGCCATTGCTGACCTTCTCTTGTTTTACCGAGATACCGAGCCACTGAAATTGGTGTGGACGAGCCTCCACAAAGGTTAGTGCTGGGGAGAAAGACATAATTAAATCTAGGATGGCAATGACCTAGCCTGCTGTGGTAATAATGTAGTGAAGTAAACGTAATAAGAGGAAACAAAAACTGAAGGTCAGTTATGGCGGCGACCATGCACAGCTGCTGCAAAGCGTCTCTAGGCACCCGATACTTCTGGCATGTGTTCTAGAATAGGCTGCAGTGGTAAATTGAATATGGTGGTGTGCACCAGGTGCATCAGGTATAGGCAAGTGTAATGGGACTACTGTTGTCCACTATCTGGGTTTTCATCGCGAGTGTTATACATTGTCAGCATTGTACATTACACAAAAAGAATATGCAAAGAGGTTTCCTCTGCAGAAATGGCGGGCAACTGAGTGGACCTAATGCAAATGTATCTTGTGTGCGGGAGTGACTACTTTAACAGTAGCAGATATTAATCTAAATGTGCGCTGCCACCCACAAAAAACCAGCGCACACATTTAGTTTATGATAAAAAAAATCCCAATCCTTCATACAGCCACAGTTAACAAAGGTATTTCAATATCTTTTATCCTGTCAAAGACAACATTGATAATCCATCCTGCTGCAAAGCACGCACCCTTGAGCAGGCGACATTGCAGTGTTTTCGCAACGGAGCCACGCTGATCTGTCTAGTGGAGATTCACGATTGCAACTATGGGCAGAAGCACATCCAGAGACCATCACAGTTCTTAAGATTTATGGCATTCTAACTCAATCTGCAGGTTCTAAGCATCCTAAGAAACCCGAAATTACTCAGGGGCGGCCGATTTCCCTATTAAAAATCAAATCAAAGGTTGTGATATGCCCCTCTTCCCGCACCCTGGAGCAGACACTGGGGGCGCCGTCGGACGGCTTTTTGAAACAATATTGCTGTATTACGTCTCCTACACCCAAAAATTTCATTTCTTCTTTTTTTTTTTTTTTCAAATAATAATGTACAGCGCACCTAAGAACAAGAATAGCAACATTCGGAATCTGCATGCAATTAACTAAAGGTGCCCGCCGCCCCCAAAGAAAGTGTCAACAAACAATATACCATCAAAAACAAGCTTGTACAAAAAGCACTTGAGTGCCTGTTTAAACCCATGTGAACTGTTCACGGTGAAGTGAGTTGTACTGCTACCCCTCACTTTATTTCCCTTCTTGAGCCCTTTCATCACACACCAGGCTAGCTAGTATATGACAATATTGTGGGAGACTCTCAGCATCAACTTCTGAAAACGCACCACGTCGTTGATACGAAATTCTGACGAAGAGTGGATGACGATCCTCGTAAAGTGCGTCTCCGTGTCATCTTCGTTGCAGTACACAGCAGTCACGTGAGCCCGGGACGCTACGGGAGCACCGATTGGAGCTCCGTGGATCAGGTCCTGTAAACCAATCAGTGAGCGGAGTGTGGATCATCTTGCTTCAACACCAAGAATGCTTCCTTCAAGCAGGGCTTCATAGCAAGCATTAAAAGAATACTAGCACCTAAAAAAAAATTACTTTTTTTAAGCACGAGATTATGGTGTTACGATTTCTGCAGCAGAGTTGCGCATTGGCTGAAAAAAACTATCAAACTTTTACAGCAACCACAGGACTAGCGCAGAGGACTGTGAAATCGGAGTCTCCAAGAGTCGGGAAGGGTCACTCCCCGCAACTATTGTAATATCCCAGGGAAAGCCCCACTCCCTAAAGATTTTGGTCTAAAGGCAAACTTTGCCTTTAGACCAAAAGCAACTCACCAAGTTGCCGAAATCGGGCGACTCGAGCGGGCGAATTGAAGCGCAACCAACAGCACAGTCAAGGCTATGGCATGGGCGTAGCCAACATTGAGCTAAACTGACCGGTCGTCTCGCTATGGTTACGCCATTACCATTGTCTCTCTCGTCACAACCGCTTCATTGTATCACCGTTTGTGGTTATTGTCTCGGAGTTTCATTCACGCTACGGACACTATGTGCGCAGACTTATGCCATAGTTGTGAAGACGTCGTAGAATGTTGAAGACACCAAAACGTGGTGAAGAGTGCGGTGCAGACGACATTGGTGCCTGGCATACACCACCCCAATCTCGCCCGTCGTTGCGTAGAAAACCATGTGACATCTCATATCACATGATAGCCATGGTCTTGGCAGCCCAAGGCCAATGTTGCCGGACTGAGCCGAAGTTTCAGTTTTGATTTCTGCTCGTGTTTAAAATTGGGTTTAATGATATATATCCCATTTTTCAGAAAGCAAATGACGTAGTGTATTTTACTAGTGATTTTTAATATGAAATCACTCATTATCCCGAAATCTTCATAACTGAGTGGAGTTGCACTTTAAAGGGATACTTCAACAAAATTGGTTGCACTTTAAAGGGATACTTCAATAAAATTGGAAATATACCTGTCGGGTTCAAAAATATGTTGAATATGATCCACAATATCCGGAGATGACAATCGCACGTTTGCATTTTAAGCCTGGTGGCTGTATTTTTCGTTATAAACGGCCCACTCTGACAAGCGCTCGAAGAACAGCCAGCGGCAAACACGTGATATCCAACGCAATCGTGACATCCAACGCAATTGTGACGTAGTTCGTCTCGGGACGAGCAAAGCCACGGCAAGGATGACGTCGAGAGTCGTCCCAGCCACCGAAGCGGCTGCTTCTGTACGAATTTTGAGTGAAGGCCCGTTCACACTCTTGCGACTGCTTGCGACCTCTTAAACCTGGGTTCCTTAAAACTTCTTAAACCAGAGAACACACTGGCGCCATCTATTGGGAAGCAGTGTAAACTCGGCGGTCCGGCATATTTTTTTTTTATTTCTCGCGCAATATTCTTTCTTTTTTGGCTCGAAAAACTTTTGTCAATGTTATAAACGAGCCTTTCTATGGGTATTACGCACATTTGACCTCGGAAATCCCGCAAAACCTTCGCTTTTGTGAAATGCAGTTCTAGGGTCACCGCATAGATGGCGCCACAATGTCAGTGTGTCCCCTCATTCTAGAAACATTTAAGAAGTTGTAAGAGATCTCGTCTCTCTCAGTCGTACTCGGTCGCAAGAGTGTGAACGGGCCTTGACAGGTTAATCTTCGATAATCTTGCAGAGGGACAATAGAGAATTCTGGGTCACACAAAAGGGATTCTCGGGAAGAGGGGAGTTCCTCCTTCCCCTCTTCTCTCATCGTGGCCGGAGGCGAGACAATTAACGTCACTACCTCTCAAGGTTCCTAGACGATCATTAGAAACGAGGCGTTAGCGAAATCCATCAGGTGCTCTTTGCTAATCGTTTAATTTGTGTTAAAATTCCTTTTCGCAACTTTTTTAACAAGATATTGGTATGTTCGATGTGCTACTGCTCCTTTGAACACATATAAACCAAAAAAATAGGCGGCGAAATTTCGTTGTAGTATCCCTTTAAGATGGCTTAAAGAGACAAAAGACAACACAAACTGTTGCAGCACTGTTTATCAAGGCTGAAACACATTTAAACCATGTGCCTCAGAAAAATACTCACACTCAGCTTTTTCACGCGCAGACTGTTCTTTTTCTCTCCAAGCACGAAACTGATGGCATCCATGAAGTTGGACTTTCCTGAGAAAATGAAAAGCAAGCGAGTTCTCACTGCATGCTTGAGCCTGAATTAAGCTCGAATCAAATTAAACGCAGAATACACATCTTGTAGTTTGAGAAGTAGTAGGGGAAGCAAGCGACTTTTCACTGTGGCTTGAGTGCAGTTTTATTTCGGCATCTCTTATCTTTCGGAGACAAAACCCCAGGGACATCTAAATCAGTTTTGTGTCCTTCCAAATAACCTCGAGAAGTGACTATGATTATGTCCAATCCGGACACTTCTTTCAGCAGTGACCTTATAACATCACCATGGGGCGAAGTTCAAGGAACCCGTATCCTTTTATCTGCTAGTTGGGCGAGTCGACAGAGCCTTCAACTTTTGGAATCGACGTGAATAGTCGACCACCTAAAGTGTGGGAAAAATTTGTCAACTTCTGCACAATAAAGAAGGGAGTCATATGCAGTCAAAAACAAAATGTCCCTGACACAATTTGGTCTCACCCCTGTAACATAATACATTGGCCCCAATAGTATCGCGATACCAAGAATATACCCGAAAATGTATTTCAATACAGAAATATCAGAAATACAATAGTTAAAAAATTTTATTGCAATACAGAAATATATAGACACATAATGTATTTTTTATATATTATCGCGATACTGCCCAACCTTGAGCCATCGCCACCTTGGTCGTCTGCAAACATGCCTACCATTGGCCCTGGCAAGTTTGTCTCACTTTTCGCAGGAGGTAAGCTACGCCTGGAAATTTCCCCAGGTAAAATGTACCGCCTAAATGCCCATTCAGTGGATGTCTGAGCTCCCGATGTGCGAGCGCCGATATTTCCGACTCGTTTTAGTGAGAAAATTTGCTGTGGAGCTTTAATAGTTATGTTTCAGTTTGCATAACCAAAGAAGCTGTCAAAACTTTACACGAACGAAAGAAACATGTTTTACTTTCAGCAAAGGCATCAATGAAACAAAAAGCAGACGAACTGTACGTAGGCAAGGCAGACTCCCCGATTGTAACAGTTAATTGGGCCAGGAACTCGGAATTGTTGCCTTTGCGGCGCAAAGCTCTGAAAGCGGAGAGAACATCCGTTTTTCGATTTCTCCGTATTTTTCACAGCGAACGCGCCATAGTTCGCTTACTTTTTCCCAGCGCGATCACTCGTTTATCATGCGATCGAATCCAGCAAGGAATATACGGCTTTCATGCGTCTACGAGTAAAGACTCATCCATATATTTCTACGTGCACGTTAATGCCTTGTAAAAGTACCGACAAGTGAAGAGTCCCAAAACAAGTAGTCTTCCAAAGTCGGCGACCGGCGTGCGCGAAGATGTCCATAGGACGTGTCTCGTCTGGCCCCAAAGTTTATTTTGGCAACAGAACATACTGTCCCTAATCTCTGCATCGCAAAACGATGCGACGGGAGGTACTCTCCTCGCGCTTTCATGCCTCTCCTGGAAGTAAACAAATGCTCGGCGACTGCTCGACTGGCTGCCAGTTTTACGTTAGGCTTAACTCACCGGATCCGTTCGGGCCGATCACTGCAGTGAAGGGCTTCAGAGGTCCGATCATTTGTTTTCCCCTGTAGGACTTGAAGTTTTCAACTTCAATATACCTGAGGTAACCCATTTTGTAAGGGCAGCTGTTGGCCGCCGGAGCAGACTCAACACTTCACAAGAGCGCGCGAAAAAGCTCTTGGTTTGTTTGCAGCACAATAGTGTGGTAGTTGGTGCAGTCGGCGAAAATATTGAGCGCTAGAATTCCACCAGGGAAACTTCGGCGCTCGCACGCTAGTGACTAGCGTGCGAGCGCCGAAGTTTCCCTGGTGGAATTCTAGCGCTCAATATTTTCGCCGACTGCACCAACTGCTACACTATTGTGCTGCAAACCGCTCTTGTGTGTGAGGTTGGTGAGGTGTTGAGTCTGCCAAGTCTGCTCCCGGGCGGCTCCGGCAGCCAACAGGAAAACTTCAAGTCCTACAGGGGACTGTTCATTTTCGTTTTTTGGGAGACACGCTGTTTTTGCATCTGATAAGGCCAACTTTAAACACAGACAGGGTATTTATGCATCGCCAAGGATTTTATTTGTACATGACAGATGAGAGCCCAATTTCGGAGCAGACTAGCGAGGGTGGAGGGAGGGGCGGGAGTAGCGCAATTTTATTTCTGTTAAAAGTTGCCTGAGCGGCATCATGCAGCAAACGACGCGGCGACGTCCCACCGTTGGCGTGACCCGCTCCGGCCAACCCAAAGAGTCCATCTCCGCGCTGCATAAAAGAATCGTCTGCTTCACGCGCATCCAATATTATGAAAACTTTCATAAAGTGTTTAGTGCTTCACCAACTTCACGACAGGCTAGTTTCAAAAAGTGTGAGCTCGGCAAGGCTCGGCGTTTATTTCTTAATCAGCCGAGTTGCGTCGATCTTCGATGTGTTGTTCTCAGTGGTTCTCCCAAGGGTTCTCCTCCTGGAACCCGTGGAACCCTGAGTACCACGTGACTCGCGACGAGCTGCTCTGTCGGCCATGTTGTCGGCAAAACACGCGGATCAAAGGATTGCGTTACCAACAATTTACGGCTCGAAATTCGTTTTCTTTCCGCCCGCAAACCGCCGATCGAGAATGACCGGTTTGAGTCGCGTTCACTCTCTTCTCAGTGGTCACGTGCCGTTTTCAATACTAAAATATAGACAAAAACATTATACCCATTTTCTGTGGCTTCAAAAAAATGCAAATACGTTGATTGAAAAAAAAAATGGTCGCACAGCCCCGTAACGTTTGGTAACTTTCTTTATCCCCAGTTAAGTTTCGGTTTCTGTTTCAAGCAGTTGCGTTTATTTTTTACTTTATTAAAAATATACATGATGCTGTAGTTCTGACAGCATAAAAAATGGCTTGGCAAAAAATAAAAACATGGGGGAGGAAGGCTGAGCGTTAACTGTGTTGATTAATATCAGTGACTGACCGTTGCCGAGAAAGCAACGGTCGGTCCCGGGCTTCCACAAGATTCGCGTTTATTTTCTTTGCCGAATTTTCGAGATAGTAACGCACAGTAGATAAGGAGCAGCGCAGGACCTTGTCGAGTCAGTCTCGCTCTCGCTTGCTGTTACGCCGACAAATCGCCGCCCGCTTTTCTGCTGTCCCGACGCTCGTCTTTTATTTCGTTTGGCACAAGTTCGCCGATGAAACCGCTATTTTTAGTTTACATTTGTCGAGCTCTTTTCCATCCGTGACAATACGTTTATTCAGTACACAGACATACACATATATAACTCACGCAGACACGCCTGAATGAATTGGAACCTAGTGGAGGTTTATATCGGGCCATCGCATTCCACCCTTATCATGTAATTTTTGCCGTGAAGGTGTGTTTCAATTGAGGCACATCTTCAAGGCAAAACAGGATTCTAAGAGGAGCTTATCCTGCTATTTTTGCAAGTATGTGACTGTTCTTCGAGCCACCTTTGTTTTATTTATGCCTTTTTTAAATTTTGGTGACCATGATTTAGACAACTCTCATCGACCTAAGGTATACCCTGAAAAGGAAATGGGATATTGGAAAGGTAGACAGAAAGAAAAGCTCTGCTACTATTCAGTTATAAAAACGCACATATTTCAAGGATCGCGCTAGATTGCGCCACAGCTTTAAATAACTATTTCTCTTCTGTACTATCAATCGAAAGCGTCGATCATATACCTAGTTTGAATTGCTCTGGTTTTGAGCCCATGACTCACATTGACACTAACATTTCTGCTGCCGGAGTACTAAACTCGCATCATCTTGTGGTCCAAACAATACATTGGTTGCACTGACGTCACATCGTGTACTTTTGACCACCATGTAAGAGGAGGAGAGGGAAGTTGCTTTTGTAAGAATTTTGAGTGACTGGTTGATCTTCTGAATCTAGTATAATCTTCTGGTGCAAATCCGGAAGGCACAAAAAGGGGTCCTGATAAGAGGGGAGCTCCTTCTTGCCCTCGTCTCTGGTGGTGATCGGAGCGCTCTTCGAATGACGTCACGGGCAACCTATATACGCCCCAAAATTCTTAGCAACACCAAAGTAATAACTAGTGAATTCCCCAAATTAGTATGGATATGGATATCGGGCGATCACAGTTTTAACAAAACTGGATCTAGCCAAAAGCAGGGTTGCCTACAAGGAGGTTAGAATTACTAGGAGGGGGCACGTTGCAGTATTGGTGAAGCCTAGTCATAAAAAGTTTAAACAATTTTGTGCCCAGCGTGACCGCAGATCTCCCTTGCGATTGGTGCGCGTGACATGTCACGTGCGAGATGGGTGGTTGATTGTAGGAGGATCTCTTGCAGGCTTGCGCGCGCTCCGTCCGGTAGGTTTTATTAGATCAAAGGCTAGGCTGTGGTGTATTCTATACTCTGTTTCATACTTAGTGTGCAACGCTGTCAAAGCTTTTGGCGCGAGCATGGGGCTTGATCTCGTTGATCATTTGCACGCGTTCTCGCGCAACCAAAACCATAGATGAATTAAGCCACGCGCTCGCGCCAGTAGCTTTGACAGCGTTGCACGCTAAGTATGAAACGGAGAAGTCTAGCTACGGTCACGTGATGTGGTCACGTTCGCCTGAGAAGTGAGGAGAGCACTGATCTCTATGTCTATTTGCTGGATCGCGTTTGACCAGCTCCTCCTATGGAGCGGAATGCGGTCACTGGCGGCCATCTTTAGGTAGAGTTATATCATCTCTAGCCATCATAGTAATATGGCGGACAGCGCAATGGCGGCAGGCTGCCATAAAAATAGCCATAGATCTAGTACACTGTACCGTGGGTGACATTTCGTGCTTGATTGAAGTTGTTCGACGAAGCAGATTCTTGAAACCCGGCGTGAACGGTAGCCTCATCTTTGAGGACCCGACAAAAGTTCTACGAAAGCGCAGCACCGGGGGAAAGCAGCGCAGCTCGCATCAAAAGCAGACTCCGTACCGTCGTCTGCTTTCGATGCTTCTTTCGATGCGACTTTCGATACGTGCTGTGCTGCTTTTCTTCCGGTGCTGCGATTTCGTGAAACTTTTACCAGGTCCTCAAAAACCGGACTGCTGTTCACGCCGGGTTTCAAAAACATGTTTCGTCAAATAATTTTAATCAAGCACGCAATATCACCCACGCTATTTTGATCGCAGCCTGCCAACCCACCTGCCAAAACGCTATCTGCCATGGATGGATGATAGCGGCTGCAGCAGCTTACATTGGCTAGAGGTGATATAACTCTACCTAAAGATGGCCGCCAGTGACCGCATTCGCGGAGCGGGCAAACGCGATCCAGCAATTGTCATAGAGATCAGCAGTGGAGGAGAGTAAGGAGAAAAATGAGAAAGAGGCGAGGCGTCAAGGGAGCATGGCTTGTGGAGGCTACGCGGACGACGTCATGCGTTCCATTAGGGTCATAGCAGAGAGGGTAAAAGAGAAAAAAAAAAAAATGCACTCCCCCTCTCACCCGCATCTCGTCCGCTCCGCCGAGTGGGCTGTAGCTAGCGTGCGGCTGGCGTGCAAACTCTGTTTAAAATCGCGTCATTTTGGAACTTTCAAGCGCAGATATTGGTATGCCAGTTATCGTGTAATACTATGCTAGATAAAAAGACTCACAGGGTCCAATTGCTCTGTTACCTGCGTGGAAATAAAAAAACAAAAATAGGGAAAACAGTGTCAGATTGGCCGGTCTCTTTGGCGAAAAGAAAATCCGGTTGCTGTACCTTTTTTACTATACAAAAGTTCGTACTGGTGTAGGCCTTTAGCGACCGTGAGTGGAAGTCTGAAATAATAAATAAAACGTGCTCTCCTGCCGTAATACACGCAGTAGTTGAGGGTAGTACTGCCGGCTGTCTCAACTGCTATTTAAGTAACGGAAAAAATATATGCTAGTTGATCATTTACCGAAATAGAACAACAGGGAGCTGTAGGCTGATTTTGGAGTAGCCACAACTATTCTAAGAACGCGAACCTCTTCACAACGGCAACCACGAGCGAGAGTTCGATGTTCGGTAGAGCCCGCCGATACAGCCCAAAGATGGAGAACGGCAACCTCCCGGTTTGTCGTCTGCTAGCGGAGTCTGGCGCGTGCCCTCTCTCTCGTTTTACCCCGCCGAACCCGCTGAACTTCCCGGATGTGTGGAGAGGGCGCTGCTGTCGGACAAAATGGTGCCGCCCAGAGAGCGCTAAATGGAATTATGGTGGCTTGGAATGGTCAATTCTCCATGGTTGCCTACCACTGAACTGGAACAGTAGTCCGGTACGGTCAAGGAGGTTAGAAGTACTAGGAGGGGGCACGTTGCAATATTGGTGAAGCCTAGTCATAAAAAGTTTAAACGATTTTATAATAATAATAATAATAATTTTTATTTGCACAGATGATACCCACTCGGCAGCGTGCAAGGCTAAGCAGAAAGGTTGAGACCCTTACGCAGGTGCGCCTGCTAGCCCGCCGCCAAGTGGGGAAAAAATAAATACAAACACTCAAAACAGACAGATACATATACAAAAACGGTTAGCAATCCCATGCCATTCTAAGGCAGAGCACGCGCTCTCACACACACACACACATCGCACGCACGCGCACTTATTTATCCATCTATTCCCCCCCCCCTCCCCCCCCCCCCCCCCACACACACACACACACACACACACACACACACACTCTCGCGCGCGCAGAGTTTACCAAAAATTGCCTGCCCGCGCCCGCCAACGCTCGCAGCAGGGCGAAACATGGGTGGTTACGTCCCTCCCCCCCGCGGACATCAGTTTACCATACTTTTTGCACAAGTCCAGGGACTCCTCCCTGCACCGCGGGAGAGGCTGACGCTCCTTCAGCGGAACAGAGAGGAGTTCCCCGATGGCCGCGGGGAGCAGTGACAGGCCGTGCCTCTTAGTCCGAGTGTGCAGAGGCTCAGGCTGGCCGGTGCGCCTGTTCAAACGTACGGCTGTGGACAGGTATGTGCCAGACAGTGAGCCGTCCAGCACACGACACAACAGACGCATACGGGCGATGCTGCGACGCTGTTCAAGGGATCGCCAACCCGCAATGTTCAAACGTGTTTTGTAGTGCGTGTCGGCAGCACCTGTAGCGCGCGCACAAAAAGTTCTTGTTGCTCTTCTTTGTACACTTTCAATGCGAGTAGCAAGGTGCTGCTGCGATGGAGACCACACCGCACTGCAATATTCCAGCATAGGCAACACGATCGACGTGTACAATGTGCGAAAAGCCAAAGGGCCACATGGCTTCGACACCCGGGAGACAAAACCCATAGTGCGGCGAGCCTTCGCAACAACGCCAGCCACGTGGGTGGAGAAGTCAAGCGTTCGCGTGAAGGTGACACCAAGTATGGTTAGCCTGTCGTTCACGACCAGCGGGGCACCATAGAGACTGTATGTAGGGGCCTCCACCCTATGCGAACTGCTAAAGCGCAATACAGAACTTTTAGCAGGGCTCAGGCACAGAAGGTTCTGTGATGCCCAGGAACCAATCTTAATGAGGTAGTCCTGCAGATGGTGGTGCGTGGCAGGTGAAACCAGTGGGGCCAAGATGGAGGTATCATCCGCATACTGGACGAGGAGAAACTTGTCATCCTGGGGCATATCGTTAACAAACATCAAGAAGAGTGTGGGGGCTAGGACTGATCCTTGAGGCACTCCGGAAGGGACCCTCGTGTCCACCGAGCACGCACCACGGTAGACAACACGTTGGCTGCGGTCCCTTAGGAAGTTCGTAATCCACTTGAGGAGGGAGCCCTGGACGCCAGCTTTGGCCACTTTCTTTAACAGAAGGCCCGTGTCTAGGGTGTCAAAGGCGTTGCTGAGGTCTAGCTGGACGAGGTCGGTTTCTGTGCGGTTGTCGAGGTTGTTGCTTACAAAGTGTGTGAGGGTCGCCAGCGCTGTCTCGCAGCTGCGGTTGTGGCGAAAGCCATGCTGCGTCTGTGACAGATAGCCAGTATGCTCCAGAAAGTCAAGAAGATGAGCGTTCACGACACGCTCGAAAGTGCGGCAAATAATTGAAGTCAGGGAGACTGGGCGATAGTGTTGCACATTGTCCGTAGACTTCCCCTTCCCCTTGTGGATGGGGGTGATCAGGGCACGACGCCAGGTGGCAGGAACGGCACCCTCGTCGAGGAGGGCCTGCAGCACTTTGGATAGAGATGGCAATGTGTGCTGCGCTATCATTTTGAAAAAGGCTGGTGCCACACCGTCTGGGCCAGGGCTTTGGGAGGGCTTGATTTTGGAGATGGCGGTGCAGAGTGTCTCTTGAGTAAAGGGGACGGATACCAGCTGCGAGCCATCGTCGGTATCTGCAGGTACGCAGGCACCAGCTTGGGGAGAGGGGCCACTGTGCGGTGTCTGTATCGCACCACCATACACGGACGAGAAGTGGTTTGCAAAGAGCTCTGCGACCTCAGCAGGTGCATCAATCATCCTCCCATTTGCACTGAAACTGGGACGGTGCCCAGGAGATCTGAGGCGGCTTACGTAGGACCAATATACTTTCGGGTCGTCTCTTGCCTTCTGAGCTATTCCAGCAGCGTACTGCTGGTGAGCAACGTAAATGGCAGCCTTCAGAGACCGCTGATGATCCTTTGCCACCTGTAGAGCTCTGGGGCTTCACCAATATTGCAGCTTTGTGCCCAGCGTGACCGCTGATCTGTCTGGCGATTGGTGCGCGTGACAAGTCACGTGTGAGATGGATGGTTGATTGTAGAAGGACCGCTTGCAGGCTTGCGCGCGCTCCGTCCAGTAGGTTTTATCAGATCGAAGGCTAGACTGTGGTGTATTCTAGTACCCCATATAAAGACGAAGGCTAGCTACGGTCACGTGATGTGGTCACGTTGGCATGGTAAGTGAGGAGAGTAAGGAGGAAAATGAGAAGGAGGCGAGGCGTCAAGGGAGCATGGCTTGTGCAGGCTACGCGGCTGACGTCATGCCCTCTCCTACCCTTCTATTCTCCATGGGTACGGTACGCCGACCACGCTAACGGTTTGCTAAAAGTCCCTAATCAAGCAGGCTATCTGTCTAGTGGTATAAGTCGAGAGGACAATGGATGGCGCAAGCAGCCCCCCAATTTTAGGTTTCAGCTTTGTATACATTTATCCTGGGTGGCGGGCTGGCAGGCTGGCAGGCGCACTCGCGTACGGGTTTTAACCTTTCTGCACAGACATGCACACCACTCAGGATAATATTTTTTGTATGCAAATAAATATTATTATTATTATTATCTATTCATTTTTTTCGCATCTCGATTATTTGGGTTAAAAAAGCTATTATACAAGCCAATCCAATCCTATTTATGTTCGGTTTGTGCAAGCTGTTTCGCTGTTGCTGAAGGCAGAAATCGCTTCGACTCTACAGACTGCTGCGAACTTAAGATTTTAGTTGAATTTTGAAGAGTTTGCGCATGCCATTCCTCTCGCCAGCTGATTGAAAAGGTAAATGCATCCAAATATGTGAAACCGTCAGGCTGTCTCCATACTGGTGAGTCGCGATCAACGCTTGGCGGCTGGCTGTCTTGTCTTGCGCTCGGTTTCGGTTTTTTACTATAAGGTGGGCTAGAATTGGTTTAACTTAATAATTTAAAAATCACAAAGGACAGACACGGACATGAAGTAGACAGAACAGCGCTATAGCTGTCCTGTCTACTTCATGTCCGTGTCTGTCCTTTGCGCTTTTTAAATCATCGGTTTTGTATCCGCGCTTATATACTTGAACGGTATGATGTTGAGTGCTTTTTCTACAGAACACAAGATTTTCCCTTCAGTTAGGGCTTTAGTGAAAACCGTAGTTCAACAACATCAAATTGAAATGAACTGCGTACAGCTTTGCGTGTACGAAAGGCAGCTGCTGGCATTTTAACTATGCCAGCAAAGCAGTAGCTTACTTTCCATGCGCTCATTGACCGCGTACACGTAAGCTACATGCTGTTGTTTCCATTTAGCTACAGTGACCTCGATCTAGCTTTCCTCAATGCCATGCCCTCTTCCTGAAACCTTCAAAGCCAAAGGAAGCTTCCCTCTTCCCTGTACCATTGAAATGAGAGAAAGAGAAATACAGCCAACCACTCTCGTGTATCTGCAGATTGAAGCATCTCGATCACCAGATAAAACAAAATAAACATTAGGATGTTCAGGCAGGGTGAGTCTAGTCATGCCAGAGTATGTCAACATATTGTTACACACTCTAGATGAAAAATTTGGCCAGTGCTGTACACTGTTAGCCTGGGGACTGATGTGCATCACGCAGTAGGGATACACGACCACACGCCGGTACGATATGTTCCTCCACATCGAAACAGGTGGGACTGAGGATTGAACCCGTGGGTTCGCTGGGTTCCGCATCAGCTGACATTTTTTTCACAATGTCTCTTACGTGTTGACTGAAGAAGACATATTCTATATAAAAAACTAATATTGCACACCGAGTACCGTTGGTTAGATTTTCTGCAAGATAATGCCACCACATCCTGTTTATTGTGATATGACTTCCGTTTACTGATGCAGTTTCTAGCAGGACACAGCCCGCGTCTGGGATGAGCCAGCCTCGAACGCTGAGCTCCGGTGCGCCGGCGCCAGCGTCGATCGGGCCCAAGAGCCAGGACCTCGTGATTCGTCCCGAAGGCCTCAAGCCCGGTACAAAGCTCCCGGTCGTGTACCACCCGGAGTATAACATCTCCTTTTACGGCCTCGAGAAGATCCACCCTTTTGACGCTGGCAAGTGGGGCAAAATCTTCGACATCCTCAAAAGTAAGGGCCCTCGAGTGCCACATACTCGTCACATCTCTCTCATTCAGCAGTGTTTCATCTGCAGCGGGAACATATATGATGCCACTTGCGGTGCAGAGTTGGCAATGCACGCGGCTGCCACATGAAGCAACGGGTTTGAACCCCGCTCAGCGTAGTTATTTTCTTTTATCGATCAATGTTCTTTAGAAAATTCTCAGATGTCATCGTGTGTTCTGGTTCGAAACAGTCCTAAACGCACCGCGTGTATAAGAGCAGCAGTAACGCGCGCTTCGTGACGGTCGCCCTTTTGTCTTCGTCGCAAAATGCCAGTATACTGTTCTCTTGGTGACTCGTCAAACATTTTAACGAGGCGCAAATTCATCTTTTTAAGTTATATTTATTTCCAGTTCACATTCATCTTCTGTTTTTATTTGTAGCAATATACTGGATGTTTCATAGAATTCCGAACAAATTGCCCATGCATAAAGTGTGCGTTGGGCAGAAAAAGGTGGTGCCTTATTGGTCTCCGCCAAAGAGCCCTATTTATGGAAAATTTAAAATGTTTGGTATAATTAGATTCTTACGGCAAGAATATTTGCTCCAGGAGCCCAGTGAACACATGATAAAAGTTTTAAAAGAAAATGGCTTCACCTAACAAAATACAACACTTCAAATAAAAATCCTTAATTGCCTATGAGTAATGAACTTATGATGAATAAATTAGAAGGTATATGGTTTTGATTAGAAACTTTTCTGGGAATCATTGAAAACCTTTAAGTGGGAGCATCGTTTACAAAAATATAAGGCAAACAACTTTATCCAGCATTTAAAAAAAGAAAAAGAAATTCAATCTGAACGCGTTTTTAAGTTTTAGTTTCCTATCAGATTGTGTCTTGGCACCAGCGTCCCGCTTTCTCTATGGCCAAAGCTCGCAGCTAATTCGGCATTCTTTGAAGCTTATTCTCACAATAGGATTCAAACCTCTTGGCATTTTATTTCACCGACTTAAGCCACACCTCCTTCTCTTCTATGAGGGAGCTGAGGTGATAGTTTTTTTTTATATTCAAGGACAGTTCCAATTAAAGATTTTTTCGGCTATCACCGATTTTGATGAAACCGGCTCGAAGATTACTTTCCGGGGATCATCAGTACCGAAAACCCTGAGCCCTGCTCATGACATGTGCGTTGAATTGAAGGGTGTCTTGTGGCTGGTGACATAATTCCACGGATTTCTGTGCTGAGCATATGCTTTGTTTGCAGGGCATGGTTGCAGGCTTTAACCAATCATACAAATTTTTACAAATGGCTGTTTTTTTGTTTTTTTTATTTATGCCTGAATCGCCAATTGAACATTCACCCAAGTCCTTTTGGAATCTGGGCTAGTACCAGTCACTTCTGTAAAAAAAAAAAATAATAATAATAAAAAAAAAAATAGAATAATCATTTTGAAGACAGAAAAGAAAAATTAAAGGAAGAGAACTTTATGGGGTAACCTTACAAGTGGATGCTCTTTTGCAGTTGTACAGGAATGCAGTCGCCAGGAAACAGATCCTAGGACCGATTCTGAGACACGCCAATAAGTAAGGTATTAAGCCAATCATGTGCAAAATATTAAATTATTTGTTTCTATGAACTAATGCCTGCCAGATTGGCACCTTCAGTTTGGATGTCATCTAGAATTCTGAGATCATGAATAGACTCGGTGAGCGTCCTTGTGATGTACAAGAATTTAGATTGTTTTCTTCAACATGAAAGTTAGGACTTTACCGTGGTGTCTATTGCACTCTGTGCAGATTCTGGGTTGTTGAATGCCACCAACTTCCATGTCCCCCATGAAGCTACCAAGCAGGAGTTGCTTCTGGTCCATTCCCAGTCCTACCTCAACAAGCTGAAGGTATGCTGCAGCAAGTTTGGCTTTCTGCACTTGTTGTTCAGCTGTCAAGCTTGAAACTGTTCATTAATAGCCAACTGCATGCTTAATATAATTCAATCACAGCACCTCTCATGAAACAGTTACATAGGACTCTGTGGTGGGCTCAGTGATATGGACAGCCTTGTGAGTGGTAGGCAATGGCTTCTGCATCATACAACACTAATTCTTATTTTGTCATGATGTTAATTTCTAGAATATTATTCCTAGATTTTTGAAGTGGCAACTGTCAAAGGAACAAGCATTTCAATTTGAGTGGCCAAATTGGCCATTGTGACCTGTGTACATATTTAGCAAAAACACTGTCCTTCACATTGAAATTTCACTATAAAGCTCTTTAGTCCAAAATTTGTAGTCACGACAATCGTCTTTTAGTTAAAACCTGCCTAGAAAAAATTCATTCACTATGCACAAAGTGGCCAATTACACTTTAACTCTTTGATGGCCGCCGCCATACATGTACGGTGGTGATTACACAGTTGAGGTACCTGCCTAAATTATAAATATTATATTTACACAGTGTTTCCCTTTGCTGGACTATTTATAGTTTTCAAATTAGATGCAAGGGGAGCATTGGCTCTTCCGATTCAGACTTCCAACGCTTCTTGGAATTCAACTTAGAGGATGAGAGCTCATCAGCCAACGGAGAAGCTCTGTAAGTATCTCCGGTTAGGGATTTAAAGCCTCTGGAATGTCGCGGGAGTGGACGCACCAAAATGAAACCGAATGGGTGAAATGTGACAACTTTTCACTTTAAGTAATTTCATTTGATGCCTTTAAGCTTAAACAGCTTGCAAGCACTGTATGTGCTTCTGCTGGATAATTAAGGAGAAACCTTCGCATTGACCATTTCTTTGTATTGTTCCTTTGGAACCAAAACACTAGGTAACATCTTTTGGGAGAAAAAAAAAAAAATCTGTAATTAGCTACATGAAAAGGAAACCTTTTACAATTTACTTATTTGATAGACAAAGTCCCCTAGCGAGAAGTTGAATCTTAAAAATACTTCAAGGTCACCATATCATTGGGTCTTCAGTGAAACAACCACAATGACCAGTCTATTTAAAAACTTGCATTTCAAGATGCTAAGCTTCCAAACAGCCTTTGGGGCACTCCAGTCTATCAGTAAAGTTTATTGCCTATAAATCCTTAGTGAGACCGGATTTTTAACGTGCAGCAGTTGTCTGGGATCTGCACAACGAAGAAAACAAAAAATAAATTGAAAAAAATGCAAGGGAAAGCGGTTCAGTTCATCTATAACTTCTACATTCGGTGTGCGCCTTTCAGCCAGCTCTTGCAGAATGCCAAACTCTAGTTTAGATGTCGGAAAGATTTATTGAAATATTTCTACCTACCGTAAAATACCGGGCAAGCGCCTACTCTAGATTTAGAGATAGTCTCAAAAAAATTAAGAATGGGTGCTTGACCAGTCATCAATTTTACATATCAATTTGTGCTGTGAATATTTTCTCATATATTACAAATTTGGGAATGGGCGCTTAGTGTGAAATGGGGTGGATGCGCGGTATTCTGCGGTAATTATTATGCAAAGGCAACTGTTTTTTCAGCCATCGATAACAAGGTGACAGTCTCACTTCTCAGTTACAAGGTTTTCTGCTACAAATGATGCATTTCACCATCCATGTTTTCTGCTAACTGTTTCGGAGCAGAATGTCCCTCCAGTTGTTATCGTCAGTAGTGGCCCTTGTCTTTGTTCCTATCTAAAATTGAATAGACAATGTGCTCAAAGCTTTATATTCATTTTCTTTTTTTGTCGCTGTTGTGATCGATTTTGTTTGCTTTGATTGTTAATTTGTTATTTTTCGGGTATTCGGCGGTTATTTTACTGCGGTGTTTTGATAACCCAGCACCCTTACCATGCTGAGAATCTTTTGTTTGCAGCAGTGCAGCAGAGTGCTGGACGAAATTTTTTTAAGTGGTGGTAGATCTTCTGTGTATATGTTTGTGTGTGTACTACTCTTACTGCAGCCTGGGCGAGGCAAGCAGTACCATTTAGTAAATATATAAAAATAAAGCTCTAAGAATAGGAACACAAAAACCATGACAGCACACGTCATGTCATGCAAGCTCTTTCATAGTGCTTATTAGGTCTTATCATATGGTAAAGGCCCGTTCACGGATGCATCTCAGCATTGACATACTGACTCGGTGCTGACTCAGTGTATGAGTTATAGCGCTGCACTGTGCGTGTCAGCAAAAAAGGTGGGGTAGCATGCATCACAGTGTTAACACAGTACTGATACAGCACAAAGTCAGTGCTTTGTGTTAAGTACTGAATTAGCGCTGGGGCGTATACGTGAACACACTGCGTGACACTGTTAACATGAACAACCAATCGCCTTTTTTTTCTGTTTATTTTTCTACAATCAAAAGGCTGTCAAATTTGGGGGCTTTACGTGCCAAACCTACGACGGGCATCTGGCACGCCCCAGCGGAGGACTGAGGATTAATTTCGACCACCTGGGGATCTTTTGACGTGCAACCGAAAGCTCGGTTACACGGCGCCTTCTCCGCAATAAGCCTCCGTCATATTGCGGGCACCTCGGTCGGGATTCGAACCCGCCACCTGGGGATCCGTAGGCCGGCGCTCTCGCCTCGGAGCCACCGAGGCGGCTGTATAATCAAAAGGCTGTCTTCAATGCCTATTAGTGTGATGGAAAGTGCTCGTTTGAATCACTGACCTAAGCTGTAATGTTTGATACCTGCCAATACCCTTTCGACAAAAAACACGAAAGAAAGCCGTTATCGTGTTTGCACTAACAGTATGGCACAGCGTACACACTCCCAATCTCGTATTTTGACGAACGTTTTTGCGGACGGCGGAGTTAGTGGTTACGTCGAGCCCTGGCGGTGCTGAGCAGACTTCCCCTTGTGCAGTGGAGTGCGTATGTGGCCACGGTGACAGAGGTTCCCTTTGTGGCCTTCCTGCCCAACTGCATGGTGCAGCGCCGGGTTCTCAGGCCATTCCGATACCAGACGGCAGGCACCATACTGGTGAGTGAGAGTTAGAAGTTGAACAACCTAGTGCATTTTTGATTATGGATTAAAAAATAAACAAAGTTTGAGCGGTCATCAGTTTGAAACGTGTAGCGTTTACAGGGCTAGCCTTGGACATTTTGTGTTTGTGGCATGTAGCCTCGATGAAATCACAGTGTCACATGACATCATGAGGTAACGTGACACTATGATGTTACATCACTTTTTTCGTGTGCATCAAGATGTCACACAAAGCAAAGTGTCATGTGACGTCATAGTTTCATGTGACATGGCATAATGTAACACTGGCATTATGTGGCACCGTGATGTCATGTGACATAACGTCATGTGGTATTTTGAGATCACATGACACTGTGACATGTGACATCATGATGTCAGGTGACATTATGACATTGCGTGACATTGTGATGACTACATATTTTTTCACTATGGGCTAATAATCCTGGCCATATTTATAAGCAACCATTTCTTATAGATATATCCGTAGATTTGGTCTCCCAATTTCTGCAAAACATTCAGGCTATAGTTGGTGACAGGCTATAAATTCAGCGGAAGCTCTGCCTCCAGCACACATCCGTTGCCTTCCGACAAGCGTGCGATGGAGTGTGACAGGCTTCTGTATTCTTAAAGGGACACTGATATTTATGCTAGCCAAGGTTTTTAGTTGTACATGACATATGAGAGCCCAACTACCCAGAATAGAATTGTCAGTTCGAAATTCGTTTTTTTTCCGCCCCAAAACCGCCGACCGAGAACTGGCTGGTTTGAGTCGCGCCCACTCTCTTCCCCGTGGTCACGGGCCGTTTTTTAAGGTTTAGACACAACTACCAAATTTAATCAAAGTTGTGGGTCATTAAAGGCACTCACTAAATATTAAAAATACAAAAAAATATGAAACCCATTTCTTGTGGCTTTTAAAAAGCTGCAAATATGTTGATTGGAAAAAAACGTTGCACAGACAACTGGAAGCATTCTGTGCGTTCAGGGCATAATTCTCAACATGGCGTCGTATCGCGTATCGTGGGACCCAAGGGGGGCGATGGCAGCGGACGATGGGCGTGGGACCTCTACTTCAGAACTGTCATTTGCGCTACCGGCGAATCTGTCTTCTATTGAAAGAGAAATTTTGGACTGAAAAACAATTAGGATTTATTCCGTACGACCTGCCCGACCACAAGCCGATTTGCACAAAATCGTTACCGAGTCGTCGCCCCTTCTTGTGGCTGAAGACATCGCTTGTCTTATGAACACGAATTGGTAAGAGCTTGAAAAACGCACCAACATCAAGCGCAAAGTGCATACTTCGAGTTGAATATGCATGCGTACGATTTCTTTACTAGGTGCGAATGTGGCCAATCCGGGGTGCTGCCCGACTTCAAGCCTGGCGAGTGTCTTTGCTGCAGGGAAATTGGCAACAAACTTCCCGACCTACAGTCGACCGGCAGCATTACTACGAATGAGGAGTTCCCCCTTGTCTGCCTGAACATTGCGATGTTAAAACTATCATACTTCGAGCTCCACGATAGGAAGCTGCCTATGCCCAAGGACATCTGCAAGTCTATGTTGTTAGGAAAAACAATTATTTCACGTTGTAGAGTAGCTCAGTGGAAAGGTGTCCGCTTCGTACACAGCGGATCCTGGTTCAGTCCTTTGTGTGGGCATATAATTTTTTATTTTTGTTTTGTCCAACATTTTGGTATACTCACATATTTTTTTTTTTTACAATTATCACTGAAAAAAAAAAACTCTCTGGACGAAGCGTCGCTGAACTAGTTGTATGGAGCTCCCCTTTTGACATCTGCAAACTCAACGTAGTCACTTTGCAAGGGACATATAAATCGGCTAGCGTCTGCTTTCCGAGGTGCTCAAAAATGTTCTGCCGGAATTGCAGCCAGCCGTTGGGCTCGATCCCGTTGATTTTTTGGGAACTTTTGTGCACTCTGCCGCACAATGCCACTTTTGGATGCGGAGCCTGTGAGGCAGCTCCCCACGCAACATGTTGGGGGCATTCTTTTCGGAGCCGATCACGGGCATTCGACACTCATTTCCAATTCTTCAGTGTACAAAAAAAAAATCTCATCTTGAAGTGCAGAACAGCGAGCAGAACGAACATAATTGGAAAGCAATCGCACAACAAACGATACCCGCGTCGTCTGCTGCTCTCCCCCCCCTCCCCCTTCCCCAGAAGAATGCGGTTGGGTGTAGCCACATAACTTCCGGCACTCGCTTTCTCCTCTATATTTCTCCGACCCCCGTGCGCAGGTTTCGGTTTTGGTTTCGAGCAGTTTTGTTTCTTGGCTTTATTAAAAATATACATGACTCTGTAGCAAAATATTGGTTGTCCTTTGACACCATACTAAATCGCCTGGCGAAAAATTTAATTTTTTTTAAGGGGTGGCAGTGTTCCTTTAACTTGTCACTGACTATAGCACAGATTGGACGTGCTCATTCTGCAACACCAACCTCGTCGGAACTGCCTTGTGTTCGGCAAGCTAGGCTTTTGTCTGGACGCCGGCAGCCGAGACGGTGTTTGCAGAAACGCGCTTTAAACTTTGCAAGGTGTGTAGACAAAACGAATGTGGGAGCCTCTCATTGAAGTCAACACAGCAGCACTAGGCTTACGCCTAGTGCTGCTGTGTCGGCGAATTGATATGTTGATGAAACGTCGTTGGTTGAACCGATTGCCACCGCAAGTGTGCGAACCAGTCTCGAAATTGTGGTGCTACGCGGCACAGGCGGCCGGCCTGGCTCTGGACCACGGCTGGGCGGTGCACCTAGGAGGGGGCTTTCACCATGCAAGCGCCAACCAGGGAGGCGGCTTCTGCTGCTACGCCGACATCACCCTGGCCGTCCAGACCCTCCGGGGACAGGGCCGCATACGCCGGGCCATGGTCGTGGACCTGGACGCACACCAGGCAAGTTATTCCCTTGTCCGTACGTGCCGGATCTCAAAGGGCTTCAGAGATCTACGGCAGTGTTTCCCAAACTGTGGGTCACGACCCCAAGGGGAGTTGAAACAGATTCACCGGCATGTCACGAAGTGGCTCGGGAACTTGGAAAAAAATGCATATTTTGCTTCTTCCCAGTGAGACGTCGATAATAAAACGAAGGACAAATCTTAGCTGAGCATTGACATAGTTACTGCAGCGTTCAAACTTTGCCCTCTTTTTGGGAAACCGTGCTCTGGCAAACAAGCTCACTTAGTGCAGTCATTACTGCTGGCGTGCATTTAATTTTGTGATGGCTTTTAGCTTGGCATGTTCTATCTTCCCGTATTAACCGAAATAAAGTTTCAGGTTGAATCCTGTGTGTTTTCGGTCATGCACCGAAATCGAAAGGCTTGTGGACAGTAAAAAGCTGAGGGGGGGGGTTATATTTTTGATGGGTCTCATGGTAGCAGAGTTTGGGAAGCACTGGCCTACACCATAGACCCAATGGCGTGACGGCCCTTTTGAAGGGACTGCAGACCGTATTTTCCGGTGCTTAGGTCACAGTTTTACAGCGGTAGCTTTGAGTGCCCCATCCCGGCAAAAAATGGCCATATATGAATGCAAAGCCCCATTCTACAGCAGAGGCACTGATCTCCTCCTCCCCATCGTCCCTCACACACGGCAAGGCCCTCTCTTGCTACCCCCTCCCTTCCCTGCTGTAGGCCACCACTGTTCCCACATGATCATGGGAAGAATGCTCTTCCTTCCTCCACCTCCTCCCCCCTTACCTCTCCGGCAACCACCATTGTGAAATACCCACAGGGTCAGAATGTGCTGACATGCCCCCATGCCCGACCCACTGCCGCCACCCGAAGTATGTACAGCACATTGGCTACAGGCAAATGTCCTTCAATATGCCTTTTCACAATGTAGCAGCTACCGCTGTCCTTTGCAGCACACTTTATGTGGTCATTTGCAATCTTTTTACAAAATTACTGTCGCTGCGTTTCACAGGTGCGACATACAGGGTGTTATTTATTAACAGATTTGTTTAAAAAAGGCCATGAAAGCTACACTTATATGGATTGTGCAGGTGAATTATATGGCCAGGGGGACGTCATATAGTGAGCTAATTGTAACAATCAGTTGGCTGATTAAGTAAACATTGTTAATTAACTCTTTAATTAGAAAAAATTAACATATGGTTTCAATCAGAAACTTGCTGAGCGTCATTGAAAATCACTGAATCAGTAAATGTCTGAAACACTGAGCGCATGAGAAGTGCAGTAGTGCGCTAAAGTTACCACTCGTGCTGCAGGAGCAAGGCTACCGGTGCGACAACGCGCCCACACAATCTTTTCCCGCCTCTTATCGTAGCCCCAGCCGTGTACCTGCTGCACGAGTGGTGCCTTTAGGTCACTACTACCCTTCCCATGCACTCAAAGTACTTCTGAAAATGATTGATTGAGTTGTTTTCCATGACGCTCAGCAGGTTTCTCATTGTAACCATATGTCTATTTTAACTAATTAAAGAGTTAATGAACAAATTGTACTTAATTAACCGACTGATAGTTACAATTAGCCCCTATACTATGTCCCCCTGGCCATATAACTCACCTGCACAAACCGCGTAACTAGCTTTCACAGCTTTTAGAGCGCAGCTCTTAGGCGCCCGTTTCCGGCTTGAGCGACGTCGCCGTCGGCGTAACTGCGCTTTGCATCCTGGGACGTTTTCATAATGACGTCACGAGGGTCATGAGTGATGTCACAGTGTGCCTAAATTTAGCAGGAATATTTCCCCACTAAATTTAGCTGGCAATGTAGTGAAAATTTCCCGCGAAATGGGAGGGGAGCATGAGAGGAGGGGGAGGAGGGGCATACTCTCCCCTCTATACCCTCCCTTTCCTCCTCAAGAGCTGCACTCTAATTCGGCATTACAGGGAGCTGTAAACGTCTTTCATTTCTTTTCTAAATGAATCTGTTACGCGTAAAAAAAGGAATGCTTTGCACATGCCTTTTTTTATACATCTACTGACCTTAGAAGTGCACTAAACTGCTTTCTGTGATAGTCTATTGGGCATAACTAAATCCATGGGTTCTAAGCATCCTAAAAAACCAAACACTATATTCACGCATGGCCGATTTCTTTATTAAAATCGGTAACAAGGACAGATTACCTCGGAACTATCGCAGACACTGAGGGCTCCGTCAGACGAGGAGAAAGGCTTCACCTTCTCTGTTGGTGCACTCTGGTGTTTTCGACAGTTCTGGGGTAATCTGTCTTTGATACCGATTTGATACGGAATATGTGGTAAATTGACCTAATGGGTCGTGCTACGATTTCCCACAGAGGTGTCTCTAAGTGGTTAATTTATTTTTTGAAAGTGGGCAAATATGAGCTCACTTCAGTCACAAGGGGAGTTAGCTATTGTCTGCCTGATTGGAGTCGTTTGCTGTGTGATCAACAGATGTGGGAAGAAAATTTGTCACGGTTGTCTCGACGTCGGCACACTCTCGTTCATTATGTGAATATCGATAAGTGGTTGGACATGGCCTCTGCGGAAAGTCAATTCACGGACCTTGTTCGTGAACTGCATGAAGGTAATTTTTCAGACACGCTTCCACTGATGTGGATTGCCTCCAGGGCAGTCTCGAACAACATCCTTTCAGAGTTAACAGTAAATCACTATAAGCAAGTAAATTAAGCCTGTTCCTCCATAAAAGAAGGCTTATTAACACAAACTGTGGTTGAACTCGTCGCAGGGAAATGGCTATGCCCGAGATTTCATGGGCGACCAGGATGTCTACATCATGGACGTCTACAACAAAGGCATCTATCCTCACGACGAATATGCCAAAAGTTGGTGAATGCTTTTGTTTTTTTCGTCTTTAGTTTTTTCCTACTGAAGGAAACACAGGCTACTATCCTGGCTTTTGGAAAAGCTAAAAGGAACTGTTATATAAGTACCTCAGATTCGATTTCATCGGTCGAGGTGCGTAATCAGCATATTATTGCCTACAAGATTTGCATACAACATGATGGCATTGCGAAAATGAAAAATAGTACATTAGCAGTTTTGTTGGAAAAGTTGCAGAACCTTGCACAAAGCTTGCACTGAGCAGCTTCTTTTCGTATAACTCAAATCCTGCTACTACGAAATTGACAGGACATAAAAAAGATTATTGTCGTGGGATCTTCAAGCGTTGAAAAATTAACTTAGGTAATACTTCAATATCTGTATTGCTAAGTACCTACCTAAAAAGGCCTCCCTGGCAGAGCTATGGCATTACTAGTCTCTTCTGTAGAATGCATAGTTTTTGCAAGATAATTTTGACCTGTATTTTGTGTAATACTTATGGCCTATTAATGCAGACCAAAGTAAAGAAAAATTATGATAATTTGAAAAGATCAATTAAACCAGATAATTTTATTTAAATCAGAATAATTTTATTTGAATCATTGTAGAATATTGTGGGGATTCTTTACCAATTTTTCATCATAGCAGACTGATTGATCAATTCGTCCGATTACTGATAACAATGTGGAAGAAAGCATTACCATATTTTCCAGACTATAGTTCGCAGACTACACATGTTTAAAAGTTTGAGTTTTACGTGGTGTGGACTATGCAATGATTTTGTTTTTTACATCATTCTTGATGATGAGACATATTGTTAATGACATGTAGTATTAACTGTGATTTATGTGTGAAAGAACCTTCTTTGTATGCTAGTAAAGAAGGCATTTTTCAAGGTGTGCTGATCATCATTTTTATGTTCGGATTAGCTAAGTGCAGACTGTGCATGGCGTGCGGACTATCTAAGCACAATCTTTTATTTTTTACCCCGAATTTGCTTTTGCGGACTCTACATCGAGTGGGGACTATAGTCCGGAAAATACGGTACAGTAAATGTAAAGTACAGATTAACTAACTTTTTGTTGCTGTAATGCCCGCTATACTAAAACTATATAAGCTTGATTATCTTTGTTATAAAACCTTATTTGATTTTAGAGCGCAGCTCTTAGGGGCCCGTTCCCGGCTTAAGCGGCGTCGGCGTAACCAAGGTCACACTAAGGTCACGCGGCCCCCCAAGGTCACGTGACCCCCAAGGTTACCCCAAGGTCACGTGACCCCTCCCCCAGAGTCACGTGACCCCCAAGGTCACGTGACACCCAAAGTCATAAGACCCCCCGAGGTCACGTGACCCCCCCCCTCCCCCCCCCGAAGTCATGTGACACCCCCCCCCCCCCCCCCCGAGGTCACGTGACCACCCCCCAGGGTCACGTGACCTCCCCTATGACGTCATCGTCACTGATGACGTCACCGGCATCCGCATCGTCATCGTCATCATCACTGATGACGTCATCAGTGACGTCACTGATGACCTCACCGGCATCCGCATCGTCATCACTGATGACGTCATCAGAGACGTCACTGATGACCTCACCGGCATCCGCATCGTCATCATCACGGATGACGTCATCAGTGACGTCACTGATGACGTCACCGACATCCGCATCATCATCGTCATCATCGCTGATGACGTCATCGGAGTCCGCATCGTCATCGTCACTGATGACGTCATCAGTGACGTCACTGATGACATCATCGGCATCGTCATGTGACCCCCCCCAGGTCACTTCACCCCCCCAGTACCCTTCCCTCCTCCTCCTCAAGAGCTGCGCTCTAATTCGGTGTTACAGGGAGTTGTAAACGGCTTTCACTTTTTTTCTTTCGAGTTTTTACTTGGTTACAGTAGGACATTACTTTCCTTGTGTTTGTTTCTTACATTCTGCACTCTGATTTTATTGCAGTAGGACATTATGTACGTGAAAAACAAAGAAAAATGTAAAAATCAAGCTCATCATCGTTCCGATTTGCTCGTAAGAGCACTTCTTTTTGCTTGTGTTCTGCCTTATATAAACCTTTCTTGCTCAATATTTTGTTAAACTAAATACAAAACAAATGAATATAGGAAGTTCTAACATATGATAGACAAACATGAATTAAAAAAATATTTACGGGGATACTTTTTGAGGTAAAGGTTTGATTTATATCGTCACAGTAAAACTGTCTTGATATAAATCAGGACTTAAGTCACAATTTAAATCATATTGATTCTTATTTTCCACCCTGATATAGGCTTACAGACAAAATTTTGGGGAACATACAGCTAGGTTAAATATGTACATCTTTGTCTCATTGTCGCAGACAATTAATTTTTTTGGGGGGAAGGGGGGGGGGGGGGGGGCAGGAATGGAGGTGTTTCTATTAAAGGGGTGGTGCAGCAATTTGCGGACTTTGGCTAATTAATTGCGGGAATTGATCCCGGCGACATATAACACGAAGGACCGAAAACTATTCTTTCCCGCTTGCCCTAGTTTTCATTAAAAAAAATAAAAGAAATTGGTATCTCTGGCACCCCTCAACTCAACATTGAAGCGGCACCAGCTTCGCCTGTGACGTCATTCGGAGTGGCGTTGGTTTCCGGTTGGGTGCTTCTGGCTTCCGTTTCCCCAGCGCTCACCGGCTCGCCAGGCTCGCCGCTCTCCCGTCGATTCCCGACCAACATGGCGGCATGGGCGGACGGCCTGAGCGACGTCGAGCGCAAGATGCTTGCGTATAGTAAGTCAGTTGGACTTGTGCGGCGGGGCAGTCGAAGTTGAGGTCGAGACACCAGGAACAATAACGATACCACAATACTACGGACCACGACCAACGCACTCCGTCGAGCGAGGGAAAGACAAAACGTCCGGGTTGCTCGTGTAGCCGCCGTAGGCGCCTCGGGCGTCGACGGATGACAGCGACGGCAGGTTTGGTTGACTTGCGGTAGATGGCGCCACAAATCTTTTAGCGGAAATTTTAGGCTTTTGAAGCGTTTCTGCATGCCTAAACAACAAGATTTTTTCAAACTTAACCTTAAATCAAGCTTACAATTGCCTAACTCTATCACTTACAAAAACCACTCCGAATGACGTCACACCACAGGTTCCATTTGCGGCCACCATGTGGCCGCAGGTTGGAAAAAAAAATGTTTTTTATTTTGCGATTACGCAGCGAAATAGAGGTATTTTGGGGTATGGTGGCACTTTTTCTCTTACTTATGCCGAAGTAAACAATATAAACAATACAAGATGCACATTTGTTCAGTGTTAAAATCATTACACCGCCCCTTTAAAGGGACTCTGAGGGGGCTTCTGAGATCGCCTAATTGTGGTGATAACTCGCTCTGCGGTCTTTAAGCGTCCTAAAAATCTTTAAATCATGACGATGTGCAGCCGATTTCGCCATTAAAAAAAGCTATTAAAGGTTGAATACACCAAAGTCACTGCAGAGAATGGGAGGAGCCTTTCCCGAAACCAGAACTAGTGTCGGGCAATAGCAACTGGAAGATCTTTGAGTCTCCGACGGATGGACCCGCGTAGTAATATCTCAAATGGGCGCGGCTTGTCCCCTGGATAGCCCAGATGTAGCCCGGGCCAGACTTTGGACGCCCAGACAAAGTCGATTGCCATTGTAGCCATCGCGGATGATGACGGATCATGGATTGCAAAGCACGCTTGGAATTCACCTGCATCGCTGACGCAATCTGCAAGGAAGACCGATGCGATGAGTTAGTCTAGTGAGCGGGCGCTCGAAAGCAGACGAACAGACACATCACTTCCGCAAAAACCGAAAAAAAAAAAAAAATAGTGCACTGTTTTGGAGTCAATTATTGCAGTACAGTGCAACCTACTCATAACGATACCAAATGTAACGATGTACTGCTTATAACGATCAGTTTCTTAAGTTTCTAGACTGGAAATGATCAGTTTCTAGTCCCGATACAATGATAATCGGTTATAACGATTGAAATTTCAGGTTTCCTCATTTATCGTTATAAGTGGGTTGCACTCCGTGAAAAATTTACATTTTTTTCATACTCTCGTTTGCTCTTATCATCTACAAAAGCATACATATTATTCAAGAACAGCGTTTGCAATCCCCATGAAATGTCGCATTTTTCATTGGTCACATATAGTTCCGGTTGCTGGAACCACACTCCTACCATTCTCTGCAATGACCTCGGTGTGTTCAATCTTAGACTGCATTTTTAATGGGAAAATCGGCCGCGCATCGTCATGAGTTAAAGATTTCTAAAATGCTTAGAGCCTGCAGTGTGAGTTATCGCCATAATTAGACAATCTCAGAAAACTCCTCAGGGCCCCTTTAAAAAGATATGACCTTTCAGAATTTTAAATGTCGTGATGCAGCTTGTAATTTTCCTACTGTAGCCATGAACAAGACGAGAATGGGTGTCTTTTCCGAACGTCCTGCTTCCAGCGTGCACTCCTTGCCTTCCGCCATGCTTTGACTGGGCGTGCACGTTTGAGGTTCAAGAGACGTCGAAGCATTATCGAAGGTGGGATACTCGGGCTGGAAACGGGTAACCGAAGCCCCCCCTCCCATTCTCATTCTGTCGGCAACTAGGAAAGAAGTTCTGCCCCAAAGCTTTTGCAGCATCGCAGAATGGGGCACTGCGTGCTCTTACGACCACTTCAGCTGCTTACAAATTAGCGTTATGTGTTCAATGGAATCATCAGATCGATGCAACGCCTGCCACGGAGCGGTGGTTAACCGGATTAGAGTTACGGGTACACCGAGCTTCGTGTGGGCGGAGCATTCCTTTTTTGCGGACGTTACGTTGCAGTGCGGACTATACGCTTGCCGTTTTATGACTTTCAAATCTAGCAAACTGTATGGGTTGTGCCGGAAACTCATTTCCGACTCTTTACGTAGCCTTTGGGAGCAGCTCATGAGGGGCGAGGGTGGTGGGTGTCTGTTTTAAGTCGGACAATACTTTCTCCTTTCCGCACAAACTCCCGCAGCCGCCATCAGACGGAAAGTGGAGATCCGGTCTGGCACGTCGGACGAGCCCTACCTCAAGCTGGTGGACGAGTAAGTCGATGCGGCCGATGTTCTCACAGCCTGGCAGTTCCTCTTTCTTTGTGCGCATTATTTTCTGTTCGCTCCTTGCCAGACCACAAAGTACAAAGGATATACTAATATTTAGTAACTCTGCGGATTTTCAACGTTTTCGGGGTAATGAGTGTTCTTGATCACGTTAAAGCTCGATGCCCTCCGTTTCCTGAAAAGTTACCTATCTTTTGTGCAATCTCGCCTTAGACGTCGGCCGAAATTAAAACTCTGGCTGCGGCGGCAACATTGACTTCAAGTTGTTGATGACATGGGCACCCACGTCGTACAAGCAGTCACGCGATCCACAATGTTAACGGGTGTAACGCACGTGTCGTCTGCTTTGCAGTAGCCTCTGCGTCGAATGGCGTCTGCATAGTTGCTACCTGCGCGCATACTGTTCAGAAACGTGGCCGATGTTTGTAAGCAAAAGGTTATGGAGACGGAGGAGACGTACGCCACGTCGAGATTAATGGGATCAGCCTCTGGCAGTTTGCTAGTGTGATGCATTCACAATGCTGCGTCCAGCTCACTGATGCATGCACGTCCCGCGAAGCACTAGAGATCATACTCCAATCACGCCAGTGGCACCGTCTGCGGTGTTACCTGAAAAAGTAAAAAAAAAAGCAACAAAAAATTGGAATATTTGCGTATTTTCATCGATTCATGCATCTCGAACTTTGTCAAACCTTTTAATAAATACCTACCTGGAATTACGTCGTAATAATTCGACAGTTAGACTTCCTAGGTGGTGTCTGCACCGTCTGCACTTGCTCGTTTGAATGCAGCATGCTGACATACGAAACGGTCATCTAGGGATCTTACACGAAGTCGCTTCAATAGCGGTTCCCTGTTTCGTGCAACATCGTCGCATTTGTCCCCGACTGCAACAGCATGTGGTGCCTCGGCTCCAGCAGGGTGCCTGGAGTGCGCGTCTTCGATCGTTGTGTTTACCGCGTTCCCAAAAATGGTTCCTCAATTTTCCACCCGACGACGTAGTAAAAGTTTCATGCTGTTGCCTTCCGCAATTCTGGCGGTGTCATAGGGGCGGAGGCAGATGCGGCAGCGCTTGTTTTGCCATGGGTCGGTTTGCAGCCAGATAATTGACGAAAACTGAAGCAGACGCGAGTTAGGACTCCACGACAACGGCGACCCTCTCATCCTCTCGCCTTTTCACCAACATTCCTACGACCAACCGCCACGACCGCAACATCCGACAGCACGACACGCTAACTCTTGTGACATTTTTTGTTGCCTTCGGTGTCACTTTTGATGCGTGGGCGGGGTGGGACGGAAAATGCGCTGGTCGAAGGTGCATTCCAGGCGTGTAGTTCTGCTATACTTCGTTTCAGCTCAAGTCCAGACGCAGCCGACACTACGCAATAATGGGACCAATCAAGCAGCGTCAAAAGTGGAAGTCGCTAGGCCTTTTCTGTTTATGATTGGCTGAGCGACAATAGAACACGTACAGAAATGTGACGAATGCCACGGCGATGCACTTTTGATGCCGTCTGATTGGTCCCATCGGCTCGTTGCGTCGGCTGCGTTGGGACTTGAAGTGAAACATATATATGCCCTGCCCCTGTGTTTCCTTCTCGATCACTGTTGTGCAGGAACCTCATGCTGGCCCTGAACGAGTTCAGCCCGGACCTTGTCGTGTTCAATGCGGGCACGGACATCTTGGACGGGGACGTGCTGGGCCGGCTCAGCATCTCCGACCAGGTCAGCCCATGTCGTCGGCGGAGGTTCACCCGGGATGGTGCACCACAGTAAAACCAGCGAGGCGACCCATTTAGGTACCTCATTCGTACCTAAATTGGTACCAATGAGGTACCTAAATGTGTATTCAGGGCTTATTTTTCTTCGAACTCAGGAGGGGTGTTTTCTATAAGTTAATTTTAACGCAGAATGTGTTTTATACCTGATAACCTAACCATTACCGGTTAGGTGCCAGCGACGGAGATCGACAGGTCGACTGTCTGCCGAACGCCTACGCAGCTCTCACCAGGTGAGGGGGAGGACGGGAGGAAGAGAGGGTACGGAGGAGGAAGAGGGGCATACCTTCCCCTCCTGCTCAAGAGCTGTGTTCTTATTCGGCGTTACAAAGAGTTGTAAACGTCTCATTTTTTTTTTTTTACTTTTGTATGTGATAGTTTTTCAAGTATGACTTCGCACACAGTGCCTTGTCACGATCTGGGCACATATACCTGGTGCCCTTCCTTTTCTTTTATCGTTGGACTGTGTTTGCGCACACAAGGCACTTTCATTGTGTGCGGCTGCTTATTGGGCCAAGGTTTGGGGCACCCTCTCAACGAAATGTCATTCTGTCAGTCTCAATAGATTGTCACGATTCAGTCGGTGTTCCGCCGTGTTTTGTCGCTGTGTAATGTAGTTTGATGATCCGGTACGCTGTGTTTTCTGAATTCGGAAAGTGAGGTCTTCTGGGCACTCTTGTCATGGCGAAGGATGTATGCATTCAAGAGTGGCATGTCGAGTAGGTTAAAAAAATACACTTCTTAATACCGTTTGAGGATGCTCAGCTGCATGTCCACCTTGTCAACTAATAGCATTTTACAGCGGAGCTGTTAAGGGCTAGGTTCCTGAGGATCGTATCCGACATGTCGACACAAACCTACCTGGACAGCTACCGCCATCTATAAGCGACGGCAGCAAGCACACAACCATTCTGGTTGTTGCCATCACTCGTAGATGGCGGCAACCTTACCAGCTATTATAAAAGAATGGATAGTTGGGCTTGTTGGTGGGAATTCATCGTAGGAGACAGTGCAAAAAACAGACGACGACAAAGAAGAAGCACACGTAACAAGCACAGCGCTTGTCACATGTGTTACTTCGTCCTCGTCTGTTTTGCGCGATGTTTCCTACACTGTTATCAGTTTCGGTTTGGACTTAGGAGGGGTCGGCCGCGCGCCCGTTCGGGGAAAGAAGACTGGCTGTGGAAGGAGCGGCAACGTACGCAGCAGCGCGAATGGGTCCGCAACCGCCGCAAAGCCGCTGTCGCTTCAACTTTCACTGCGTCGAGCGCTTCAGATTTGCTTGTCAAAGAAGGGCACATCGCTCGCCTGGAAAGCCTCCGCCGAGAACAGAACCAGCGATGTAAAGGGCGCCGACGGGTCAATGCCACGGACGGCGATCGTGCCACAGAGGCCAAGTGCAGCAAGCATGAGGCCCGGCGACAACTGCACTCCACGCCGGCTGAACAGTTCCCGGGTGCGACGGCGAGATGGCGAGGTTCCGGAGGGAGTTCGTGGAGTACCCGTTTGGCGTCACGTGCGCCGTGTGCGACCGACTCTGGGTCGCCGGAGACGTATCCAAGATCGGCGGCATGGCGAACGAGAAGAAGTGGGAAACAGACGCGTGCACGTTGCGGCAGTGTATCGAGTACAGCTCCGCTGGTCTTTCGTCTTCACGAAAGTAGAAAGGCTGAACGTTTTTTGGTTTTTTTTAAACTCAAGTACACGGGCAGACTTTCTCATCATTTTCCACTCTGTCCACCTTGCCTGCATCCTCAAAATGGCCACCAAGCAGCGATGTTAGCTTTAGAACTTCTTTCTTATTGCACAACTTCAGTGCTAGAAGAGTCTTTGTAGGAAAAACCTCCACTTCTCCTTTTATCGTCTTTTTTTTATGTTTTGGGGTTTATTAATGCTTGCACCATCCCACGAGCGTTGGTTTCTTTCTCTCAAAGAAACTGGAATAGTGATGGACTGTTTTACCGGATGTGTACAAAAAGGAAGTGTCCCTTTCCAAGGTACTGAGAGCCGGCAATTCCATACAGACCAAGCTCGAAAATGCCAATTTTTTTAAAACCATTATGTTCGTAGTGCCCCCATTATACACAACCAACTCCAGGATGTACCTGGTCTTTACAACAAACAAGACAAACATATTTACTCCAAAGTGGTGTGACGGAATTGACGGAACGAAAGCCGTCCTTTGAAGGGCAAGATGGACTCATCAATACACAAGTCTAATTTGTATAAGACTAGCAGGCTCGAAAACTTTGCCTGAATTGCCAGCATGAAGGTTTATTTTTTCTTGGGCAATCTGTTGCATTAGTGCAGGCACTGAAATGCACAACTCTCAGCAATAGGCAAAAATGGTTCACAAAGAAGAGCGTTGAAAAATATGGTGTTTCAGTCATTGAGTCAGTTATCCAGTAGTCTCCGACTGTGTTTTTGTTAACAAGGCCCATCGAGAGAACGGTTGCTAGAAAGCAGCACATCTCTGAAACGCCGACGTCTGCCCACTCTTTCAGTCGGAATGCATGCACAAGGTCAGGCTCTGCGGAAATAGTCTTTTGTGTCCGTTACAATCAAAGTCGTAATGGTGTGGTTGAAGAACAGTACAAAATATACTGATTCTTGGGCATTTGGTGGAACTTTGGACAGCAGACTGTCCAAAGTTTGAATCATCGAAAGAAGAAAACTGCAGGCGTAAAGATGTCACCTTTTGTCCAATCGTTTTCGCTTTGCCTCTTGCACTTCCGAGACGTTCCGGCAGTCTTGGACTTGGAACCACCAAGTACTTTCTAGCGCTTCTTCATCGGATAAAGAGCTCTCATCCTCCGAGTCGAATTCCAAGGTGGGCTAAAAGTCACAATCTAAAAAGGCATCGCTCCAATCTCCGCTACCGCCAGCACAGCTGACACGCACTGCCATCTCGAAACACACGTGCAAGTAGCGGCGCGTCAAGCCTCAAAACTACACATGAGATAAAAAAAATTAAAGCATGACGAGAATTGGTTCATTATAGTTCTATAAAGCTTCACTAGATGATTGCACCTTCTAGGGAGCGCGCAGTTTTGCATTAGAGTGGGAACTTTTCTATGTATAATTGCGGCCGCACATATACTGCGGCGACCCTCAAAAAGTTAACTCAAAGGAAAAGCTGGATGTAATGAAAAGTGATATTATTTTGGAGATTGCAATAGAAATTAAAGTTCCATTAGTTGACCGATTGTACAGTGCTTAACTAATATCTAACAAAAGAGAAAAAACGCCTGCTTCAGAAATTGAAATGTCTGCCATGGTACACTCATGTTGTCTAGCACCAATGCTTACCTTGTCATCAACAGGAGCACTAAGCGCATTATCAGAAAACACAGACTAAGAAAATTGTTAAACATCTTGGATACACTCTCTGTGTTATTAACAACTTGACCATCAACTTCAAGACTAAGAAAAGTCGTTATCGCAGCGACAGACAGCGCCAAAACCGTTTTGGGTCTGATTTCATAAAATTTTGTATAGTCACAGAAGGAAAATGACTCTTCAAAGCGCCTAAGCGGTCCTTCAACAATCCAGAAAGTTGCAAAACTAATTGTTTATTTACTGTTTTCTTTTTTAACTTTCGCTTCACCTTTTGCTTTAAATGCAGGAAGTCTCTCGTAATCCAAGGGTTGCGTTTCTTTCTGACTCACTTCAGGGGAACGTATTGCTAAATACAATGGTTTACTATTCGTTTAAAATCCTTCCACGTTCTATTCACCGGCCTAGGACGGTCAAAATCAGACAAAGCTACCTCAAGGTAGTCTAAAATATCAACATCACTTGAACACTCAAAAGTTCCTTACAAACTTTTCCTGGCGTTTTTTCGATGGCTCAATCACTTTCAGATAGCATGTCAAAGAGACTAGGTCATGATCTGATAGCCCTTTGCATACAGAAACATCATAGTTCGAAAGCTCTTTACTTACTAAAACCAGGTATGGGGTATTGTCAACTATTTTGCTATTTCTAGTAGTACTTTCACCGACAACTTGGAGTATAATCAAAATTGAAAGCAAAGTGCAAAAGGATTTTAGAGTGTTCTACGTTGCTAACTCCCAGCGAATCCCTGGTGGGTTAAAATCGCCTGCTAATATTACATTTGGTTTGTGGTTTATATTAGTTTCAATGTGATCATAGAGCTTTTCCATGAACGATATGTGTGCACCAGGTGGACGATAAACGGCAGCATTAGTAATAAAGTTGTTATGCCATTTTAACTGACCAAAAAGGCTTCCATGCTCAGGTGTTTGATTCAACAAAGGGTTACATTCAATGTGACACTTAAAAGAACACTGACACCCCCAAAAAGTTTTTACAATTTTTTGTCAGGCAGGGTGTTTTTATGTGCGCTTTACTTAGGGTGGTGGCATCTCGCCATTTTGTCCCACACGTTTATTTTTACTTTTTGTTCAGAAGCACGTGAAGGAGCGTGTCCCTGCACGTGTTTGTGGCGGACTGTGCTATGGCGACATTTTGTTTTCGTCGATTTCTTTGTATTTTCCCCGTGAGTGTGTGCTGTCGGCATCAGGTACTACGAAGGGTGACATCACCCTAAACAGAAGGACATTGAGGCACCCTATATCAGGCGATTAAATATGGTGTCAGAAGACTACCCAATTAACATTTTGCTGCAGGGTCACATATATTTTTTAGAAAGCAAAAAATGCAACTGCTTAAAACCGAAACCGAGACTCACGCACAGAGGTTGGTGAAATATAGAGGAGAGAGTGAGTGCCGGAAGTCACGTGGCTACACCCAACCGTGCGCATATTTTTTCCCTCAGTTTTTTTTTTTTGTTGTTGTCTGCAGCAGACGACATGCGTTGTGGGAATTGTTTGCCGTGGTGATTGCTTTACAGTTATGTTTGTTTTGCTCGCTGTTTTGCACTTCAAAATGAGTTGTTTTGTACATTGAAGAGTTGGAAATGAG